TGGTGAAAAAATTATCAAAATCCGTCTGATACATTTTTTAAAAATCGCGTTTTATCGAAAAAACCGCACTTTTACAAGCAACTAGCTCGCAGCGAACCAACTTTCGGCGGCTCGTTTTCAGCGTGGTCGAAAGATTGCGCCCTCAAAACCGATAACTTTTGTGTGGACGTTTATAAAGATCATTTTGATACCAAAAAAATAAAAATTGATCAACTCTGCGAAAACTTGATGCCTTTTTAAGTTGAAAATGACGTTTTGCGACTTTCTGCCCGCTAAAACATTTTTTCGAAGTACGGGCGCTTTGAAAAAGATGAAATACTATAAAAATTTTGCGACTACGCCGACTGTACGAGTGGGGTGGCGTACTATTATAGTATTTGCGGTAGCTTTCTCATTTCAACACAAAATTTATCGCGTAAAACAATACTTTCAATTAATCTGATAAAAACAAATGATTTGAAAAGGAAAAAGAAACGACGACGCGGCGCTCCCATCGACTGCCTCCAAATGGCGGCCACGTCAATTGGAATGCGACGTCGCGCGAAAATTGGGGTAGGCTAGTTTCTGTAACTTTTTTGCGCAACTCGCCAGAACTTTTTTCTAAGTCAGCCAATCTTTATGATTTTGGATTCTTTTTGTAGATCTCAATAAGTGCAACAAAATGACACCAACATCATAAAGATTGGCTGACTTAGAAGAAAGTTATGGTGAGTTGCGCAAAAAAAAATTGCGGAAACTAGCCTACTCCAATTTTCGCGCGACGTCGCATTCCAATTGACGTGGCCGCCATTTGGAGGCAGTCGATGGGAGCGCCGCCCAAAATTAACATTTGCGATTTCAGCTTTTTTTGATACAAAAGATGCATTTTTTGAAAGTACGGGCGCTTTGAAAAAAATGAAATAGTTAAAAACTTTTGCGACTAGTTGACTGGACGAGTGGGGTGGGGTACTATTACAGTATTTACGGTAATTCTTCATTTTAAACATTGCTTGAGATAAATCAACATTTAAATGCATTAGAAAGATGTGTTTAACAAAAAAAAAATACATAGTTTACTTTAAAAAAGAAAAACGAATCGTTAAAAATTCGAAATTTAATGAATTGAACTGAAAGATTCATTGAAAGATTAATTAAAAATGAATTAATATTTTTAACGAATAGAATAACGAATAGAAAATCGACAGATCTTTTTTTACATTTTTATTCACTATAATTTCTAGAGAATTGGTCAAAAATGGGCAATTTGAATTGCCGAAATTCTCCACACAATTACAAAACAAAATGAATGAAAATGAAAATGAATGAAAATCTCCACACAATTACAAAACAAAATGAAAAAGTTCACTGGGCAATGACGAGTCAAACGATTGATTACACGAGAAAAGAAAGAAAGAAAGAAAGAAAGAAAGAAAGAAAAGGGATTGGAAAAAGATCTTTTGCGAGCTGTTTGATCAATGAAGTAGTAAAAGATGAGTCAGGAAATTGGCTGTCAATTGAACTTTTCAATTGTCAAATCGAATTTTGAACTTTGTGTGATAAAAGACTGAAGAAACGCACCATTTCTAGCACACTGTTCTTCAATTTTCTGAACTGCATTAAGCAGTTTGTTTGTTTCTAGTCAAGAAGAAAAGAATTTAGCATATTTTTTCGAGTTCAACTTTGCCAGATTCCGATTTTTCTGTTTGCACAAACTGCTTAATGCAGTACAGAAAATTGAAGAACAGAAAGAACATCAAGCAAGCATTTGTAAATTGTAAGTAAAAGTAAAAGTTTGGGATGCGACCCGCTTTAACCTTATCATCGAGGATGATTTTGCTTCCGAATAGCACAAAAAGGTTAAAAGGGTTTCCCCCCAAAGCGCTTACAAAATAATAAGAACACGCAGCATCAAACATAAGTAAATACTCATCGAAAATTGTAGAAAGAACCTACCAACACAAATGTTAGTAGGCTCTTTCTACAATGTTAAACCAGCTATCTAAATCTTAGTAGGCTCTTTCTACAATGTTAAATCAGCTATCTAAGTATTAGTAGGTTCTTTCTACAATGTTAAACCAGCTATCTAAATCTTAGTAGGCTCTTTCTACAATGTTAAACCAGCTAAACAGGATCTAAACAGGATTTAAAACCTGAAGGGTAGCGTAAAGTAAATTGAATTTATAATTTTACTGTTTATTAGTAAAGAACCAAAAATGTAACGATACCCGATACAAAAACGATACAAAAACAGCATGCGCATGAATAGAAACATCAAAGTCCCCCAAGAACGAAGGCCAAAAAAAAACATTTTTGGGAAGGGGAAAAAACAAAAAAAAATGCGACGCGAATAATTGCAAAATAGGAACGCAAATAGGAAGGAAACGGACTCGACGTAAATTGTAAGTAAAAAGTAGAACTAATTAAAAGTAATTGTAAGTAGAAAGCTAAAAATCAGAAAAAATCAGAAAAAAATTATCAAATAAATTCAAGAGTACAATAAAATTCGTAGTTTTAACTTGCAAAATGTTTTTTCTTTTTGTTTTCTCCGATCAATTCCCGATTTCGGGATGAGTCAGAGTGTTTGAAAGAGAGAAAAAAGACAAAAACAAAATAGTTCGAATCCTGATTGACCACTAAAAGTGTCAAAGTTATTGATTTGATTTTTGTTTACGAGATTTTGGTTTACGAGAATTCTCATTTCTCCGAAAAGGTTTTAAGATTTATTTCAACTCAAAGACTGATAAGAGAAATAGTGTTATTCGGGTGATTTCTGAGAAAAGGAATGGGTGTGGCTTTGGCTTTGGCTGACTTTGGCTGACTTTGGCTGGCTTTAGCTGACTTTGGCTGACTTTAGCTGACTTTGGCTGGCTTTGGCTGGCTTTAGCTGACTTTAACCGGCTTAACCGGCTTTAACATTAGGTCTGTAGGTCTACTGTAGGTCCACTGTAGGTGTAAGTTATTACCAAAACCTCTAAAAATCCAGATCCAGCTCAAGTTCTCAATTTAGCCCATCAAATGTTTCGGACGAGTTCTCATTTCTTGATGGTTTAACAAGAAGTCCAGGGATTCCGTTGAGTTCACCGAGTTTTTTTTAAGGTGTACTTTGTGTCTAGTAATGTAAACACACCCTTTCTAGTGCACTTCTCGTTCGTTTCGTTTCTCTTTGCATTCATTGAAAGCTCATTGTGCTAGAAAGCATATGTTTCCATTTTGGGCACAAAGTACATCATCAAAAAAAGATAAAATCAATTATGAATGCCTTATGAAACACGGGAAAATATGTGCATATGAATTGAAGATTTTTTGGAGGAGAAAAGAGGGAATGAGGGGATTTGAGCTTGGAGAGAAATCGGGAAAAGGAAATTATTTATAGTAAACATGCAAATTTATCATGGAAACATAATGGTTACAATAAGTAAAGTCTATAAAAGAAATATTTCATGAAACATGTGAAGCGGGATGTACTTTGTACTTTTTGTGCTCACAAGTTGAAACGCACTCTTTTTAGCGCACAGAACTCTTAGAGGAATGACTTGATGTTGAGGGATTCAGCGCTAGAAAGGGTGCATTTATATTTCTGCACATTTCTGCATTTACTATTAGAAAAGATAATATTTATGAAGTTTAAAAGAAACTTAGAATTAGATGATCGTATCAATAGCCGTTGACAGTAGTAGCAAGTAGCCGTTGACAGTAACCGTCGACAGTAACCGTTGACAGTAGCCGTTGACAGTAACCGTTGACAGTAGTAGCAAGTAGCCGTTGACAGTAGTAGTAACCGTTGACAGTAGTAGTAACCGTTGACAGTAACCGTTGACAGTAACCGTTGACAGTAACCGTTGACAGTAACCGTTGACAGTAGTAGCAAGTAGCCGTTGACAGTAATAGTAACCGTCGACAGTAGTAGCCGTTGACAGTTATAGCAAGGAGTTCAGTTCGCCAGAAAGGGTGTGTTTCTGCGTTTATAAGTTAACATGCTAAAAATCTAAAAGTAAGTGATGAATCTAAAGAAAAAACAAAGGAGATAAGGATATTTTGTTTACGAAAAAAAGATGATGATGGAAGAATATCGATCGATCGGTTTCTGGGGAAGAATTGCGCTCACAAAAACAAATAGCTGCAGAAAAGTGATCATATTTTAGATGTTGTTTGTGAAATGTGCGATGAATACCCGATAAAATAAGCAACAAACTTCAAAACTCCAAAAAAGGACTCTTGGACTCCCAAAAAGTCGATGATCTTGTTAACAAACTTTTGAGAAGCTTTGAGAAGGCTTTTACTTGTCACAAACTTTTGAGAAGGCTTTTTCTTGTAACAAACTTTTGAGAAGGCTTTTACTTGTAACAAACAAAGGCTTTTACTTGTAATATTCATTTGATCAAGCTCTTCATCATTTAATTTCAAACAAAAACATTGTTTTTTGTGTTTTTTAATCTGAAATGAATCATTTTCTTTGTTTTTTTTTGAAAGTAAATAAAGATTTAAATATTTATTTTACAAAAAATAATCAAAAAAACACGTTGAGTTCATTCGAGTCGTTTTTATTTTTGCGTGAGATCATTGAGAAAATTTTTGATAGAAAATTTAAATGAATATCCTAGAAAAACATTGAAAAATCGAGAAAATAGAGAAAATCGACAATTTTCAATCGCAAATATCTCATTTTAACTAAGAAAAAAGCAAATTTCGCTTAAAAATTTGGCATTTCACTCTTTCATTTAGGCTATTAGTACACTAGAAAGTGTGCGTTTCCAATTTTTCTCGCTCAAAGTACACTTCGAGAACTAGGCAAGCAGTTCTGCTTGGCTTTGCTTGGCTTTGCTTGGCTTTGCTTTAGTTCTGCTTGGCTCTGCTTGGCTCTGCTTGGCTCTGCTAGTTCTGCTTAAGAAAACTCAAATATGTACATGGATTTTGAAAGTTTCATACAGAAAAGACAAGAGTTGAGCAATTTGGTCAAACGAATAAAGGGAAATATCTAGAAAAAACAAGGCCACAATAAACTTTTACAGTTGTAAAACCTAAACAGTTGTAACTAAAGCCTCATTTGGGAAATACATTCCATAAAGATTTCCATTGCATTCAGCATGGGTGACAGCCGGGAGAATTGGGCCAACAATTGACCCTTGCCGGCTCAATCCATTATCGAGAGAGGCTAATAGACGAGGATCCACCGAGAATTTTCGTTGGATTCTGGAATCGTTAAAGAATTGAGACTTGTTGGTCAAAGTTTTCTTGTCAAATTTTCAAATTTAGAATCGAATTTTCTTGTTTTAATGGTAAATTGGTGTGCGTTCTTCTAATGTCTTTTCTAGGAAAAAGCGGTGTCTGGCACACTGGCCTGGGATAGGGTGCTGACAAAATCATTCTAGCCGGTTTAAATACCCAAGTTTGTGGGACAGAGATTGCGTGTTTATGAAAAGGGTGTGCGTTCTTTTTATGTTGCTTGTAGGAAAAAGCGGCGTCTGGCACATTGCCTCCGAATAGGGTGCTGGCAAAACCCTTCCAGCCGGTTTAATTACCCAAGTTTTCGGTGCGCCAGCGGTTACGGGTGTATGAAAACGGGGTGCGTTCTTCTAATGTCTTTTCTAGGAAAAAGCGGCGTCTGGCACACTGGCCTGGGATAGGGTGCTGGCAAAACCCTTCCATCCGGTTTAGTTACCCAAATTTGGGGGATAGAGATAGCATGTTTATGAAAAGGGATGTGCGTTCTTTCTATGTTGCCTGTAGGAAAAAGCGGCGTCTGGCACATTGCCCAGGGGTAGGGTGCTGGCAAAACCATTCGAGCCGGTTTAATTACCCAAGTTTGCATCCAGATTTTGGGTGTTTATGGTAGAAAAGAAAGTAGGGTTTTTTAAAGTATCAAGTAAATCGGCAGACTATATGATTTTTATTGATACGTCTAGTATTTTTATAAAATGTAATCAATTATACAAACCTCGGTCCATCCATAAATCTGGGATCAAATGTCGACGTCCTTCTCAATAGCGGACGTTCTTTTTGGCGTTTATAAAAAGAACACTAAATAGATTTTGATGTTTAAATGGAAATTTTCTGATTTAAACTTTCGTAATATCAATACAGCAAATGAAAATACACAAAATGAGTGAAGCTATCGTGAATACGAGGAAAACGACGAGACCTGGAAATCAAGAATTTCTTCAGCTAAAGAAGAGATTGTCGTTTTTTTCGAAACTTTTTCGAAACACACTCTTTCTGGCGCACTAAATTCTTTGAAATGAAGAAGTTTGTTTGCCAGAGAGGGTGTGTTTAGCCATTTAAAGCACAAGAATACCTATAGGATAATGACAATTGCAGGCGAGTCGATCAGAGCCGGGCAATGGCTGAGGGTCGGTCATTGACTCCTGGAAGTCTCTTTTAAGTTTAGTGGCTTGATTATTGACAAATTGACAAATATTGATTAAAATATTGATCAAAATACAAACTATTAGCCGATTTAAACAGCTTAAAATCAGGATTTTTTTTATTAAAACAATACTATTGATTATAAATTTGATCAAAAATTCGATATCAACAATAAATGAGACTTACAGAGATGTAAATCGAGATTGTAATTCCCATTTGTACAGAAATGGCTTTTTTAATGACTTTTTTTGTTGAGAAAAGCAAAGGAAAAGATATTTTTAGTGTTCTCGAACAAAGCGTTTACAAAAAAACAAAAAAGATGTCAAATTTTAAGAAAACCCGTCAATCAACAATGGAAAGATCATAGGAAAACAGGAAAAGATATTCAAGAGAAAGAAAGTTCATCGTTGAACACTTTCAAGTGATTTAGACATTTTCTTTTAAGAAACTAGACATTTTCTTTTAAGAAGCAAATTAATTACATAGAAATTTGCCCTGTGTTTTCTTCAGGGATCATTGCTTTGAGTTCTTTCCACTTCTCAACTAATGAACTCTTCTTTGAAAAAAAAGAATCGATAGAGAAAATGAATAATTTGAAGAAAAAGTGAACTAAAAATAGAATGCGACTAATTTACACACAAAATTCTCCCTCATAAACAGCCGATCTACTTTTTGCTTGAAAAAAAACAATCTTTCTCATGGGATTCGTTCGCTGGTACTGAGAAAACTGCCGAATTTTGGCTCTTTTGAGAATTTTTTAAAGAAAAAGCATGATAAATTCGTGTATTTGGCTATCTACTATATAGAAAAGAGAAGTGTCTGTCCGTCCGTCTGTCCGTCCGTCTGTCCGTCTGTCCGTCTGTCCGTCCCCCCCCCCCCCCCCCCCCCCCCCCCCCCCCCCCCCCCCCCCCCCCCTCCCCCCCCCCCCCCCCCCCCCCCCCCCCCCCCCCCTCCTTCCCCCCCCCCCCCCCCCCCCCCTCCCCCCCCCTCCCCCCCCCCCCCCTTTCCTTCCCCCTTTCCTTTTCCGTTTCCCCTTCCTCTTCCCTTTTTCCGTCGTCCTCGCCTGTCCGTCTGTCCGTTCGTCTATCCGTTCGTCTGTCCGTTCGTCTGTCCGTTCGTCTATCCGTTCGTCTGTCCGTCCGTCTGTCCGTCCGTCTGTCCGTTCGTCCGTCTGTCCGTTCGTCTATCCGTTCGTCTGTCCATTCGTTCGTCTGTCCGTCCGTCACACTCTGGATCTCGGCTCCACATGGTGCGACCTTGCGATGTTAGTAGCGCCGAGCGCACCCAGTATAGATGTCATTATTGCGGAGGGTATCAGAGTTGGTCCCGATATTGGTTTGAAGAATTAAGAGCTAGATCCCAGTATTGTTGCAGGGCTCGCGCCGGGCGCTCTTCAACTTGAGGGATCAAACTACACGCCAACTCCAAAACATCCAGCCAGAACAACTCGCGGTTAGGCAGGTTTTTTTTGGCTGGCCTACAGATGTGTGACTTTAAAACATTGTTGATTGTCAATCGGCTATTAATAGAACGAAATAAAGTCGATAAACTCAAAAACTATTGATTGATTTGATTTTAAAAAAAATATAATGAAAAAGTGAGAAAACTCTAGTGAAAGAGTTCAAAGAATCGGTGGAAGTTCGAGATTTTCCAAAAAATCTTTGACTGACCAATCAAAAAGATGAATCCATTCAATAAAAACATAAAAAAATAAAAACGAAAAAGAAAAGAGGAGGAAAAAAACAAGAAAAAGAGAGGATTCTATTTGTCGTCTTTGAGGGTCAAGCCATGGATTTTTGGTACAAAAGAGAAGGAAAAGGAAAAGAAAGGAAAAGAAAAAGAAAAAGAAAAAAGAAATTCAGTGAAGAGATGAAAGAAAAGCCGAAAAAAAAGAAGAGACAAATAGATTTTGTGTGGGAGAAAAGTGATTGACAGACACATTTTTTTGGGGGAGAAATTTGGAGTTGCATTGAGTCAATGATTTGACTGTGGCAAGGATGATGAGTTTCATTTTTTCATTTGTTTCTGACTTTCTTTCATTCAATTCAAGTTCTGAAACAAGAAACAAGTTCTTTTAAACAAGTTTTTTGAAAAGTTTAGACGAATTAAACTTGGTTTAAACGAATTAAACCAATTCAATTGGTAGAATCAGTAAAATGAATATCTCCAATCGATTCGGCGTTCTCGAAAACCCTTTACAAATTTAGAGCTGAATATCTTTTGCAAAAGAAAAATGGCTGAAGAAAGAGGTGTTCTTTGTGCGCGGACGCAATCGCTCGTCATCTGGCACACGTTCCCGAGAGATAGCCGTAGAGGAGACGGAGGAGACGGAGGAGCCGTAGAGGAGACGGAGGAGCCGTAGAGGAGACGGAGGAGCCGTAGAGGAGACGGAGGAGCCGTAGAGGAGACGGAGGAGCCGTAGAGGAGACGGAGGAGCCGTAGAGGAGACGGAGGAGCCGTAGAGGAGACGGAGGAGCCGTAGAGGAGACGGAGGAGCCGTAGAGGAGACGGAGGAGCCGTAGAGGAGACGGAGGAGCCGTAGAGGAGACGGAGGAGCCGTAGAGGAGACGCGCAGTGAGGGATAGAGCTGACAAATCATGGATTTCTTATACTTTAGTCATTTCTATATGAAATTTCATCAAGAATTCTATTATTGCATTTATTTAATTTGGATAAGACCTGGTTTAAAGAGATTGTTCGTCAAAAAAGCGCTTCTGAATATGACAAGTGGAGCCAAAAAAAACCTTTGTTTGTCCCCAAAATTCCGATCCACCTTAGCTGACCCAAGAAAAAGAAAAAGTTGAAAGAAATGAGAAGAGTGCAACGAGAGATCACTCATCTCATTGAAAGTCGAATTCTCTCTTGACAACACTCATTTCTAGTATTTATGTTTTGATCAAGAGAAAAGAAGTTGAGTGATTCTGCAAATGATTGCAGAGGTTGCAAGAATGAGGCTTGCAGAGGTTGCAAAGATGGATCTTGCAGGCTTTTGCAAGAATGAATCTAGCGGAGTTGATTTGATTTGATTTGGGATGAGATTTGGACTGTCTACACCATACAGTAATCAAAATAAGATGCTCAGTAAAAGATAGGCCAGATAGATCTTTAAAATTCCAGCAAGAGTCTTTAAAGCATTAGCATCATCATCAGCAGATTCGGAATGGTTCGGCAGATCAGCAGATTCGGAAATTCAGCGTCCAATGGTCTATGGCTTATTTCATTTGATCACATCCTACTTTTGCCTTTCCCTTGTAAGCCAGCAATAGCAAAATCAAGCAGCCAGCAATAGCAAAATCATCAATCCAAATTTGCTTATTGGCTAGCGCCAAATAGAAATCAGCTGAATATCCTAGTATTTCAAGTTCTTCTCTATATTTCTACCGTAATCCATTGCCGCTAAGCAAAAAAGTGTCGTAAGATTATAAAATCAACAAATCCAAGTTGGATAACTCATCTAGTTCACCTTAAATACTCCATTTGAGCTAGACAAGGTTTACAAAAAAGCTCTCATAATCGTTTAAAAATAGAAAACTTGTGACCAACTTGCACTCAACGAGGAAAAGAGCTGACGGTGAGAAAAGATCTCGAGTTTTTCTTTTCAAAGAAAGAAAGCTCAACTCATCAATGAGAAGTCAAAAATACACCGATAAACTGTGCTTTGAACAGCTTTGAACAGCTTTGAACAGCTTTGAACAGCTTTGAACAGCTTTGAACAGCTTTGAACGGCTTTGAACAGCTTTGAACGGCTACCACGAGACCAGAAGAGGCCCATTGGAAGACCAGCTTTAACGGGGTTGAGCAGCTTTGAAGGGCTGGACAGATTTGAACGGCTCAGAAAAGTGAACGGCTTTGAGTGCAGCTTTGAACGGCTTTGAGCAAGTCTGAAGGCTTCGAACCAGCTTTGAACGGCTCTGAACAGCTTGGAACGGCTGGATGACAACTTCGAAGGGCTTGAGAAATGTGGAGGCAGGTTGTGATCTGCGCCAATAGGAACACCTGAGTGCGAAAAAAGATCAAAATAAATAAATAAATGAAAGATAAATGAAATTAAAGCTAAATTTCCTTTAACATTTCTAATGCAAATAAAACTTAATTTCATTGAATTTTCTTTTTGAGCATTGGAAAATAAACACATAAAAGGAAAAGGAAGTGTCAAAAGGAAGTGCTTTAGTTTACATTTCTTTTGTCTTTGAAATGAAATGAAATGAAATAAGACAAGGAACAATTCTATAAACATAAAAAATTTGAGAAACTTTGAAACTTTTTGTAAGAACTCAAGGTCAATTTTCTATAAATTTAACTATTGAAGCTTTTTGTTATTGTTTTTAAGCGAACTTTGACTTTCATATTCTTTTACTAGCTAGATTTACAGCTAGCTAGATTGCTAGATCATTAGCTAGATTGCTAGATTACTAGCTAGATTGCCAGATTATTAGCTAGATTACTAGCTGGATTGCTAGATTACTAGATTACTAGCTAGATTGCTAGATTACTAGCTAGATTGCCAGATTATTAGCTAGATTACTAGCTGGATTGCTAGATTACTAGATTACTAGCTAGATTGCCAGATTACTAGCTAGATTGCCAGATTATTAGCTAGATCACTAGCTATATTGCTAGATTACTAGCCAGATTGCTAGATTACTAGCTAGATTACCAGATTACTAGCTAAATTTTCAGCTAACTAGCTAGATTTTCAGTTGTTAAACTACAAAGAACGAGTGAAATGACTCTGATTTAGTTACCCAGATGTTCTTCTACATTACTGGAATGCCTTTCATCAAAGCAAATCTCTGTTCGTCAATACCCAGTTTCCATTTCAAACTGACAGTGAGCTCTATAGTGATGCCAAAGCTCATGAGTACGATCTAAAATGAAGTTCATTTCCCGAACACGTGCTCTGATCATTGTTTGCGTCACTAGACACCATCTGATCTACTAAATATTCATCTGAATGCAAAAAGAAAGAGCAAGTAAGGACATAAAAGTTAGATTGGCTCAAAAAGCTTTCCTTATGTTGATGCATAATTCAAATGATTGCAAACGGATACCCGTTTTGTGAGTGGATTGGGTTGAGTCTTTTTGAGAGGAGTGGGCAAAAGAACGAATGTGGAAACAATTTTGCTACAATCCACACAAAGTTTATTTCTCAGAATCGACTTTTTATCCAATTAAAGTCAAATCTTTACTTGCTCAAGATCAAGTTTGTTGTGGATTTAGAAATTTGGAATTGTTAATTGTTTGTCCGACTTTAGAAGAGCTGCACCTTGTCAAAGACAAAGACGAACATGTCAAGGTGGCTGGCTTCTTGCCTAGTCTTGTCTACCAGGAGCTGGGTCTATCAAAAACCAAGTTTCTGGCTAGCCAGACAGTCTGGGGCTGGCCCTGATCCTGATCTGGTCTTGGCCTGACCCTGTCCTAACCTCTAGCTCTACCAAGTTGATCAGAAGTATCATACTTGGGCTAGTAAGCTTGTTGAAGCCAGACAGTCTGGGGCTGGTCCTTATCTTGGTCCTAGCCCTAATCCTGAGCTTGGCTCTGATCTGACCTGGCTTGACCTGGCTCGTGGCCTGGCTTGACCACCTTGACGTGGCTCATGGCCTGGCTTGACCACCTTGACCTGGCTCGTGGACATTCCTAGATTCTAGCTAGCTTCTAGCTTCTTCTAGCTAGCTAGATTCTAGATTCTAGCTAGCACTAGCACCAAAGAATCTCTCCGATCCATCATCAGCCTCTACCTTTTCCCAAATTTCTTTTCATCTTTTCTCAATTCAGGCCCTAATTGAAAGGGATTCGATTCTTTTCTGGGTGTTCTTTCTGCCAAAATCGCTTCAATTTGATGATTTCAAAATAATAGATTTAAGTTTTCTTGATAGCATAAGCCTGTCATTTTTTCTAGTCGAGAAAATTTTACTTTAAAATCCTCTCATCTTGCGTCATTGCCTTTTCCCTAATTGAGCAAAAAATAAATGGAAAGAACTCAAGTTTTCTTTGCCTTTATCTCCGCTTTTTTCCCCTCCAGATTGGTTCTTCCAATTTTCTTCATTTTTCCCTCAAGAAATAATTATCGAAGCCGCAAATAATTAATGCTCTTTCACACCATGTTTGCAAGTGGATTTTCCGAAGTTTTTGCGCCGAGTTCCTCAATACTTGATTCAAAGAACTGTTTGGGTAATCGAAAAATGTATGTGAGATTTTGAGCGGATGATTCAGATGATTCAGGGGAATTTTCAGGGAAATTTTCATTTACAGAAACTCTAATGAGACGAAAGAGGAGGTTTTTCGACGATTTGGAAACAAATTTTTGAGTTTATAGAGTTTTTCACAATTCTACATTGCTCAAATTCGAAAAACACCAAAAAAAACTGTCTTAACACGTTGACGACATTGTCACCTGATGCTGTCTGACACATATTCGTTCGCCTGGGACATTGTCCTGATGTCAGGTGACATTTTTTGTCGAAAAAAACAACCTTGTCCCATGCGATTGTTTGTGCAAAAACGCCATTGTTGTCAACGTGTTAAAAAAAGCGATTGAACTTCTCGATTCTCGATTCTGATTATTCTTTCGATAAAGCAATGCTTTAATTGATTAACTGAATACTTTTTGAGTTTCAAAGGCTCGTCAAAGTCATTTTTTTTCTTTCATGAATTTCATTTTCACACCTTTTTCCAATTTCTTTGTTACCCAAGACTCTTTGTTCCTCAAATTTTGATCTGGCCACACCTTGACCTGGCTCGTGGACATTCCTAGATTCTAGCTAGCCTCTAACTTCTTCTAGCTAGCCTCTAACTTCTTCTAGCTAGCCTCTAACTTCTTCTAGCTAGCTAGATTCTAGATTCTAGCTAGCACTTTACCCACTTTTTCTTTTATGAATTTCATTTTCACATCTTTTTCCAATTTCTTTGTTACCCAAGACTCTTTGTTCCTCAAATTTTGCTGAAATCTCTAAATTTCATTGGTAAAATCTTGAAAAATCCTAAAATTAATCGAATTTTTGCTAATTTTCAAGAATTCCTCTTGTTTTTTTTCTGGAAAAAGGTGTGAACACCTGATGAATTTTTCTGATTTTTGGGAAAGAGGGAGAAAAGGCTTTGTTCTCATTTGAAACAAAAATATATCGATATTCTTAGTGGTTTCGGATGTTGAAATTTTCCCGTAATCTTTGTTGACTTTATAGTAAAATCGTTTTAGATCTGGAGATTCGATAAAAGAAAAGGAAAAGTTGAGAAATATTTGCACAATCAGGGAGAGATTTCTCAGCTTTTTGCCATTTTTCGTTGCTGATCTCTGAATTTTAATTGATTTATATAAAAATTGAAATTAATGTAACGATTTGAAGCTAATTTTTCTGAATTCTTTGTAGCAATTCGTTGAAAAATCTTCGTTAATTTTCGGCGGTAGGCTAGTTTCTGCAACTTTTTTTGCGCAACTCGCCATAACTTTCTTCCAAGTCGGCCAATCTTTATGATTTTGCTTTCTTTTTGTAGATCTCAATAAGTGCAACAAAATAACACCAAAATCATAAAGGTTGGTCGATTTAGAAGAAAGTTATGGCGAGTTGCGCAAAAAAAATTGCGGAAACTAGCTTGCCCCAATTTTCGAGCGACGTTGTATTCCAATTGACGTCGCCGCCATTTGCAGGTAGTCGATGGGAGCGTCACGTCGTCGTTTCTTTTTCATTTCTTTTTCATTTTCAAATGATTTCTTTTTGTGAGATTGATTCAAAGTATTCTTTTACGCTTTGTTTTTTTTGTTTTTTGTTTTATAAATTTTGTTTTGAAATGAGAAAGCAATTTATTTCCATTTTCGAGAATCCGGAACTTTTCGTAGCTAGCCGGACCACAATGAAGGTCAAAACTGGCTGATAATTTTGGGAGTTGATTGGAAACAACGAAAGCAAGGCTCATCACCTTTGCAAAACTTGATAGCTTTTTACAAAAGGGAAAACTTGATAGCTTTTCAAAGGCGATTCTTTGATTGAAAAGAGCTCATTTTCTATCGAAAATTCGAAAATTTACTTAAAAATCTTTCAACTTCTTTTAAAAAACTAGATTTTGTTGATAAAATAGTCTTTCTTTTTTCTTTCTTAATCTATTTTTAGTTTATTTTTCTTTTTCTTAACTTGAAAACTTTTTGACAGCTTTGAAAAAGGGAAAAAAGCGGATTCAAAGTATGAACTTTTGAACTTTGACTTTGAAAAAGTCAAAAATTTTTTTTTAAAGTTCAAGTTTGCAAGTATTGGGTTGGTGAATCGAAAACTGTGGAACTTTGAACTAAAATTTATTCAACATAAACCCATGAATTCATTAGAAATAATATAAAGTCAAAACAAAAAGGTTTATTTAAAGTTTGATTCAAAGTTTGATTTCAAATTTGATTCAAAATTTGATTCAAAATTTCCTCATTTCTTACTTCTTCAGCTTTTGATGAATCATAAATTTGCCAAAAATCGTTTTTCGCAAAGCCAAATTTCGCAAATCTAACGTACAAATTTACTACAAATTTTTGCATTCCGAATCTCCAAAAATCGAGACCAAAGGGAAATCATTGAACTTCTTTTTCCATTTTTTTTCAAAATCTGGCTATAAAACACAATTTTTCCTGTTTTTCCTGTGTCCAATCCCGGAAAAAAAACTTATTTTGCACACAAAAACATGCCAAGAACACTCCTCGAGTCTCGTTCATTTCCCAATTTTGTTTGAAAGTTTTAGGAATAAAATTTGATTTTTTCAAATATTTTCATTGAAAATCCCTTTCACTTGAGCTAAATTTATTGATTTTTTCAGATTTTTCAGATTTTTCAGATTTTTCAGATGATTCTCCGGATATTTCTACTTCTGATCATTTCCACTCAATTGATTGCGAAAAAAGTGAATCGGTGGGTAAATGGCTGAAAAGAATTGCTTAAAAAAAGGGGTAAATCATCAAATTTTCGATGTTTAAATAAGAAAATCGAAATTTACCTTATTCTTCCAGAAAACAACAACTCCGAGCTCATCACTACGCGACGGCAAACTTGAGTCCATTGAACGAAGAATTAGGGAGGCCAAGATTCTATCCGATCGTGGAAATGGATGAGGGAGCGGTGAGGATAATATAATAATAATATCTTCCAAATTAGAAGTCTTCTTTGTCGTTTAATCTATGAGCGCTAAAACTTGGGTAATTAAACCGGCTAGACGGCCTTTCCGATCGCCCTATAACAGAGCTCCGTGTGCCAGACGCCATTCTTTCTTTATGACAGGCAAAGTACGCACACCGCTCACCATTTGACTTCAACAAGTCGATTTTAAATCTATTTTAAGTCTATTGTCTATTGTATTTTACTATTGTAAATCAATTTTATGTAAAAGCTATCCTACTTTAAGTCTATTTTATCGAGTTATCCTTTTGATCCCTTCAAAGCAAAAAAAACGTTCTCTTAGACTGAAATCTTACTTTTTGGCACTCCTCCTTTCAAAGATTGGCCTAATTTTCGTGCAAGATTTTATGCACCAAGTTTTGCTTAAGAAAAATGAAAAACAATTGGTTTATTGAACTTTAAAAAGGTTCAAATGTTCAAAGTATCAATTGAATCAAGATTTCCCAATCAATTTCCAGGATTCGATTGACGATGAAGATTTAACTGAGTATATCGACTCGATCATTGACAAAAGCGAGCAAAAGAACGAGGTATTTGATTGGTTTAATTGGTTTGATTCGTGAGCGAAAATCTCTAACTTATAGAGCTTTTTCCAATGTAAATCTTGTATAGATTATAGAAATTCTTGCAATTGATTTTTAGTCTTTAAAATCTACCACAACTACCACAGCGTCGATTACTGAAAAACTGCAAGGTTCTGCCGAGAAGCCAAGAAATGGAACAGGGAAGAAATATGTGTAAGTCTTGATTTAATAAGTGAAATATGTATACCGTATTCTCTCTAATAGTAGTGCACCCCAACGAGCCGAGTTGGTCACTATTTGACGGTTTCCAAGCTTTTGCAGAAGCTCAACACTCGAATCCCCAAAACTCAAGACAGTCAGACAGTCTTGAGCCTGGCTTCTGATCTGACTAACTGATCTTAGGACCCGATTTCTGATGGTCAGCAATAACACCGTGTTTTACCACGGTGTTATTGCAATCGTAGTGCATGGCAACGAGTCGAGTTGGTCACTATCTCACGGTTTCCAAGCTTTTGCAGAAGCTCAACACTCAAATCCCCCACTAGATCTCATCATCAGCTACATTTTCCGACTCCACATCGAGTTGGTCACGGCTTAGGCTTAGGCTTAGGCTTAGGCTTAGGCTTAGGCTTAGGCTCAGGTTTAGACTTAGGCTCAGGTTTAGACTTAGGCTCAGGCTCAGGCTTAGGCTTAGGCTTAGGCTTGGGCGTAGAATTTGCCAACTTTGAAAAGTTCTTTGTCTCTGATACTTAAACTCCGGTATTCTCTCTAATAGTAGTGCACCCCAACGAGCCGAGTTGGTCACTATTTTACAGTTTCCAAGCTTTTGCAGAAGCTCAGCATTCGAATCCCCCACAAGATCTCATCGTTAGCTACATTTTCCGACCCCACATCGATAGGTTCTGATAAGCGGTTCTCGAGATTTCGAGCAATTTAGGCCACGCTCAGGGTGCACTACTATTAGAGAAAATACGGTATGGAGATTATTGTTAAAAAGAGTTACTTGAGGTGGGTTAATGGATTAGTTTCAAGTTTCAGTTTGCAAAATACTCACTATACCATTCAAATCAAATTAAAATCTTTGAATCTAGTAGTAACTTCAATTCTATGCTTTTTAAGAACAATTCCCCCTTGTTTTCCTTGTCATCTAGTCAAAAAAAACTCATCAAATTTTGAGGTCAACAAAATTGGTTTCTTGTTGGGGGAAAAGAAAGGAATTTGTTTAAAGCTTGGTCGTTAGCAGACTAATTTCTTCAGAAAATCAATTTATGATTCATAATTCATGATTATGATTCATTTCTCACTTATTCCTCTTCTCAAATTTTACTCTAAACATTCCTAAAGTCATTTCTGCCATCATCTTAATCCTGGACATTAATTTTAAGTGTTTTTGATGCAAAAACTTCTAGCAAGCCGTCTAAACAAAGCCCCAACGAATAAACGGAAATATTTTCTGATTCTTTGATTAGAATGAGTTTTTTTTTGAGAATATTGAAACTTTTATAGCTTAAAAATCTAGATATTCCAATTTATTGAACAAAAAATTAAACAATTTTAAGTTTTCAAGTCGTTTTCCTAACTTCTCAATCAGTTTAGCCAGTTTTAAGAAATTCAAATTTCGTAATTTACCGCTTTTTGCTTAAATTTTCCTTGTTTAGCCAATTTTCCACCTTTTCTTTCTTTTTTTGTTTCAAGGACTTGTCTGGGGTCATTTAGACTTAAAAATGGTTCTCTTTTGAAAAGAAAAAAAGATGAGAAGACAAAAAGTCAGAGGAAATGCTTATTTTCTTTTTGTCTTTAATCGTTAATTGTTTTTGCTGATAATTTGGTGAAAATTTAAAGTTAAATAAAAGTATTTGAGTTATTTGATAGCCCTAAATCTTCTCTTAAAAACTAGTACAAAGTCACGAAGAGCTTTCTACAAAATACCGTATTTTCTCTATTAGTATCTAATACTAATAGCACCTCGGCGAGCCGAGTTGGTCACGGCTTAGGCTTAGGCTTAGGCTTAGGCTTAGACTTAGGCTTAGGCTTAGGCTAGGCTTGGACTTAGTGCGAAGGCTAGCGGCTAGCGCCTCGCACTAAGTCTATTTGGGTTTGGGCTTAGGCTTAGGCTTGGGCTTGGGCTTAGGCTTGGGCTTAGGCTTAGACTTAGGCTTGGGCTTAGGCTTAGACTTAGGCTTAGGCTTGGACTTAGTGCGTAGGCTAGCGGCTAGCGCCTAGCACTAAGTCTATTTGGGTTTGGGCTGAGCCCCCATTTTCTGGATCTCAGCCAGTTCTCGGAGCTAAGGGACACCCGCTTGGCGATGCTCATGCGCCCCCCATAGGAGCATCCTGGCAAATTTTCAGGTAGTTCTCATGTCTGAAAGTTGAGATTAGGCTTAGGCTCAGGCTTAGGCTTAGGCTTAGGCGTAGAATTTGCCAAATTTGAAAAGTTCTTTGTTTCTGATACTTAAACTACCGTATTCTCTCTAATAGTAGTGCACCCGACGAGCCGAGTTGGTCACTATTTGACGGTCTCCAAGCTTTTGCAGAAGCTCAACACTCAAATCCCCCACTAGATCTCATCATCAGCTACATTTTCCGACTCCACATCGATAGGTTCTTATAAGCGGTTCTCGAGATTTCGAGCAATTTAGGCGACGCTCAGGGTGCACTACTATTAGAGAGAATACGGTAAATCACAAAAGTTCTTAAAAATAATCGTGATTAGTATGGTCGACGTGGTGAAAACACGTGCCAAAATCACCAAACTTTTGCAAAAAAGCCTATCTGGAATATGCAAATTTAGTCGATTCAATCAAAGGACCCGTTTTTAGGAGAGGAGAATCGAAGGCAATTCCACGATTTTCACCTTTTCTCCTTTTACTCGTACTCACCGGGCTTTTCTCTAGCTTTTGCTTCGAAAAGACTTTTCAAATGATGTCATGACTTTGAATTTTTTTTTGCAAACAAATCTCTCTTACTCTTTGTACAAACAAGTTGAATACGAGACAGTACAAAGCTATGTACTGTCTCGTATTCAACTTACAGTAATCACTCAAAATCTCTATCTTATCCCAGTCATTTGAATCTTTTTCTACCTTTCTTTCACTTTTCAGAATCCTCACGCATCTCTGAAATCTCTGAAAAACTTTTGGCTGAACTTTCTGAGTAAAATAAGGAGAAAAATACGGATGCGATTCTGGAGATTGGCTTCGTTTTCGTTTTTGAGTTGGCAAAATGAGCAAAGGAAAAGATTCTGTCTTTGCCTAGAATCGCTCTTCTGTCTAGGATCCTTCTTTTCTGCATTACATAGCTTTTTTGGTTTTTTATCATTTTTCTATATTGTTCAATTTTGGATGTTGATTGTTTAATTTTGGATTTTTTTGGTATCAAATTCCTTTACTCGATTTTTCGCCGTTGCTATCAAATAGCTGGGATCAATTTTTGCCTTAAATTTTGCCGTATTTGGCCTAGAATCCTAGAAATTCGGCATCTCGCTAAGCCAAAAAACTAGGTGAAATGTTCAAGCTTTAACCTGATCCATAAAGATCATTCAAGCTTGAAACTGATCCATAAACCTGATTCAAGCTTTAAACTGATCCACAAACCGTATTCAAGCCGTGAACTGATCCATAAAGATCATTCAAGCTTCGAACTGATCCATAACGCTGATTCAAGCTTTGAACTGATCCATAAAGATAATTCAGGCTTGAAACTGATCCATAAAACTAATTCAAGCTTTAAACTGATTGAGAAAGATCATTCAAGCTTGAAACTGATCCATAAACCTTATTCAAATACCCAACAAATTATTGATAAGCCTTTGATCATCAAAACTTCATAAAAAAAAGAATTCTAGCACTCCCAATTCCCAACAAATTGTTTTATTCAGTATCAGACTCTTCCTTTAAACGTATTGATGGAAATAAAGATCCCTGAACTTAACATAAAAAGTTTTTCACCTAAATCCCAGTTGAGTCTTGTTTTGGAGTCTTTCTCTGCATCTCCATTCTTGGAGTCAAGAAAGGGAAAACCGAGAGGATTTCCCTCATCTGGGAGTTCAGAAAAGGAAAAAGAAAGAGAATGATCTCCATTTTCTTTTCCTTTTTTCTTTCTTCAACAATTTCCACGCCTCATTAGGCCATTAATATTACTTGTGACTGGAAAGTGTATCCATCTCAGAAAGTGTATCCATCTCAACAATTTTATCCCTTTGAATCACGTTTCATCTTTCGTTTTCACACCAATTTCCTCACTTGATAGACATTTTCAGATAAACTTTTCGCTGTAAACACACTCATTCTAGCGCACTGGGTAATCTAAAAGGATTCCTTGTAAAGAAAGATTTGTGTTTAGGCAAAATTGTTTAGGCACAAAATTTCTCTAATCACTTTGAGATTTCAATAATTCAATTTCAATTGCATATTGTTTTCCAAATTGTTTTCCAAATTGCATATTGTTTTTCAAATTCTTCTCTAGAATCAAGTTTTCAGTTTATGTTCTCATTCTCGCTCTCATTTTGAGCCTTTTTCCTTGAAAACTTTTCCCCAATGAAATGAATCGTTTGACGGAAATCATGTTGTCAACCGTGATTCTCATCTTACAAATGATTCGGATTAGGTATGTTTTTGGATTTAGTTTCGAATTTGTTCTTTTACATCTTTTACAACGACTCTTCATCCGTAGCTTCAGCCTCTTCAGCCGTAGCTTTTGACGTCAGTCAAAAGAAACTCATTTTTTTTCATGCTTGAGACGATTTCTTTAAAAGAAAGGATCTTCTCATTCTTGAAACTTTAGAGAAGCCTAAGAGAAGCCTAAGCCTTTAGCCACAGCCTTTAACCCATCACACCCACGTGTCCATTTTAAAAGTCTAGAAGATTTTCTAGTTTTAGAAATGAAAAATCAGGGATTGAAATGGAGATAAACATTAGAAAATGAGTGAATTCAGTGGATTTGTTTGTTTGAAAGTTTGAATGAATGAAAGTTTGATGTTTGTGAGCTCGGCTGGTGTTATGGGAGTTTAGGGGAGCTGCATAAGCTGCATAATTATATCAATTATATCAAGCTGCATAATTACATCAATTTACCCTTAACTTCTGCAAATTTTCACACGATTTTTTACAATTTTAACGAATTTCTAACAAATTTCAAGTTTTTTATAGTTTTTATTTACTTTACTTACTTTTTTATTTAGTTATAGCAGCAGTAAATAGAAATAGAGTTTAAAGCGTTTAATCTATTCAAAGAATAGCCCAAAATTGCCGTTCGTATGAGGGAGGCATCCCCATGGGTCTTCGGAGGTATGGGGATGAGATTATTGTTGCCTGTTCAATATCCGAAGGGCAAATGTTAATTGCACAAGATATTCAGCTGAGCAACTAAAGACCTTCAAAAACACGGCACTTAGCGGTGTATTTAAAGGTTACAGGTATCCCCATGGGTTCAAATAGGTATTGTTTTTATTTTGATTAAAAAGTTGCTGATAAAATAAATTGTAAAAATTGTGTGGAAATCAACAAAGAAATGAAGTGCAAGTTGATGTAAGTATGCAAATTTTGAGTGCACTCCTTAAACTCCCCATAGCTAAAAAGCTGAGCTAGCTGAGCGCACCGCTGAGCTAACAAGTACAACGCACCGCTGAGCTAACAAGTACAACGCACCGCTGAGCTTTCGTACTCTCATACGAAAATTCGAAATACTAGAATGCTCAGGCTAGGGTTTAAAATTATGAAACAAAGATTCTAAACATAAAATTGCTGTGCAGTGTGTGAGAGAATAGGGGGAAAGGGGCAATGATATTAGATTCTCTTTTGTGAGAGAAAGGGGCAATGATTATTAGATATTTATTCTCAATCTAACACAATACTAATCTAGCGAGAAAATACAAAAGAATAGAATCAATCGTTGGTTCAGTGTTTCATAGCAATACGAAAAGCAATACGAAGAGACAATATAAAGTGGGCTTCGTCCCTTTTATCATAAAGGCGATCTTTCAGAGGCGGAACAAGAGAATCAGATATTCAAATCGAAACACTAAATAAGATTTCACAGAAAAGCGTCACTTTTCTGCACAATTGCCAAATTTTCAGCCGAGGTGACGCATCATCGGATACAGAGATCATCAAAAAACTTTTGAATAAAGGATATGATTGGAGAGTTCGACCACCCGGGATTAATCTCACACTTCCAGGTATTCTAAGCTTTCAACTTTGCCTTCTTTGCCTTCTGAAAGTTGCCTTCTGAAATTGAAACATTAAGATTACATTCTAAATGTTTAAACTTTCAAATTTGAGATTGAAATGAGATTGAGAATGAGAAAAGAGATGAGAAAAGCCAAGAATAGGTTTAGGCTTAGGCTTTCCAAGTTTCCACAAACTTCTCAAGACTCAAAGATGGAAAAATCCATTCGAATTTGGTATCAAAGACTTTTTGCTTTTTGGCTTTTTGCTTTTTTGTTTTAACTTTTGCATTTTAAGCAATCTTAATCAATGTGATTCTTTTCTTTAAAATCATTTATTTCAACTTTCAACGAGACATCAACTTTCAGGCAGTCACGGTCCTGTTGTGGTCGCGGTGAACATGTTGATTCGGAGGTGAGTGAAGCTAAACTTAACCGAGTAAATATTATTCTTGGAAAGATGACAAAACCCAACACTGCCCTAATTACTCTCAAATTTCCCCATGGGATGATCAGTTTTCTATTTCTCAAAAACCTTTTTCTCTGAAATCTTTTCTGTATCTTGTGAGTCCCATTAGTCGGGAGGATTCTCGTTTTTCTTTTCGTCAATGAAGAAAAAGAATCCGATTACAAGATAAAGAAGAAAATCGTGACGATATTTGAAGTTTTTCTGAAGAATTGAAGATTTACCTGGTTTAGGCTTAGGCTTAGGCTTAGGCTTAGGCTTAGGCTTAGGCTTAGGCTTAGGCGTAGAATTTGCCAACTTTGAAAAGTTCTTCGTTTCTGATACTTAAACTACCGTATTCTCTCTAATAGTAGTGCACCCCAACGAGCCGAGTTGGTCACTATTTGACGGTTTCCAAGCTTTTGCAGAAGCTCAACACTCGAATCCCCAAAACTCAAGACAGTCAGACAGTCTTGAGCCTGGCTTCTGATCTGACTAACTGATCTTAGGACCCGATTTCTGATGGTCAGCAATAACACCGTGTTTTCCCACGGTGTTATTGCAATCGTAGTGCATGGCAACGAGTCGAGTTGGTCACTATTTTACGGTTTCCAAGCTTTTGCAGAAGCTGAACACTCTAATCCCCCACTAGATCTCATCGTCAGCTACATTTTTCGACCTCATATCGATAGGTTCTGATAAGCGGTTCTCGAGATTTCGAGGAATTTAGGTGAGGCTCAGGGTGCACTACTATTAGAGAAGATACGGTAAGTAACTCTAGCAGGAGGTTAAAGGAGTTGTTTGTTTGATCTGGTGAAAAGATGATTTTCTGATGTTCTGATGTTCTGATGAAGAGTTAGCTGAAGTTTGTTTACATTGGAGCACAAAGTTTACAGCATAAAGTACACAAATATCTTTCAGCATCTCCAAAATCGATGACGTCAATATGGAGTACAGTGTACAGATGACGTTCCGAGAGAGTTGGGTTGATGGACGGCTCGCTTATGGGATTCTATGGGAAAAGGGTAGAGATTTTGATATTACCTAATGATCTAATGATTATCTAATGATTAGCTAATGATTAGACATTACCTAATGGCTATTATAGACTTTAAAATCTCAATTTCAGACGACAATCTGCCAGAATTCATCATCCTCACCGCTGGCCAGCAAATCTGGATGCCGGACTCGTTTTTCCAGGTAACAGCTTATCGGAATAAGTTCTACAGTATGCAAAAATCCATAAAAATCCTTATCTTACTTGTTCAGAACGAGAAAATGGCTCAAAAGCACAATATCGATAAGCCAAACGTGCTCATTCGAATACATAAAGATGGACGAATTCTCTATTCCGTCAGAATCTCGATGGTTTTGTCTTGTCCAATGCATTTACAGGTGTTTTTTGATAAAACTTGCATACTGACTTTGATGATAATGATAGACTTGGTTCGATTTGTTCATCAAATTTCATCAAATTCAAATCAAATTCGATTTCAGTATTACCCAATGGATGTGCAGACATGTTTTATTGATTTGGCTTCTTATGCTTACACTACAGAAGATATCGGTTTGTTGGGAATTGGATTTCCTTTAGAATTCGAGCTTTGGAAAAGCTTGGAAAAGCTTGGAAGGCTTGGAAAACCTTGGAAATGCTTGGAAATGCTTGGAAGAGCTTGGAAAGGCTTGGAAAAGCTTTGGAAAAGCTTGGAAAGGCTTGGAAAAGCTTGAAAAACCTTGGAAAAGCTTTGGAAAAGCTTGGAAAACCTTGGAAAACCTTGGAAAGGCTTGGAAAAGCTTGGAAAACCTTGAAAAACCTTGGAAAAGCTTTGGAGACAAGCTTTCGAAAAGCAACTGCTTATGTCAAACTTTCAGAGTATGTCTGGAAAGATAAAGATCCCGTTCAACTAAAGGAAGGACTCAATTCTTCGTTGCCATCTTTTCAGGTAAAAAAAAACGGATAATTTCTCAATAACAGCTAGTTGTTGACGCTGAAAACTACAATTTCAGTTGAAAAAAGTTGGTGTCGATTATTGTACGAGTAAAACAAACACAGGAACCTACTCTTGTTTGAGAACGATTTTGGAGTTGAAGAGGCAATTCTCGTAGGTTTTTCGGAAAGAAAAAACTCCGACAAATCCATCAATTTGAGACGATTTTTAAAGGCCAGCATTCTATTTTCAGTTACTATCTCCTTCAACTCTATGTCCCATCAACTATGCTCGTGATCGTCTCGTGGGTTTCTTTTTGGTTGGATCGGTGAGTTTTTAGCGGAAACCATGTCCAGAGAGAGTTAAAACTGTCAGCTCTTCTCGGGGATCTGGGTCTTTTCATTGTGAAAAGCATATGTAAAACCCAAAAACTGCCCTGAGGGTCACAAATGAGGGCCCCAAACTGCCCTGAGGGCCCCAATGCACAAGTTTTTAACATTAAAAACATTTGGGAATTATTTAGACAAAAATTTGGTCAAGAAAAAGCGCTGGGAATATGTTCTTTGTGCGGCCTCGTGCTCGCTTGCAGCCTGGCATACGGGGCGGCGGGAATGAACGCCGTTCAACCTCCCTTTCCCTTTCAAATTCCAAAAGGAACACCTATCTATCGGGAGCGTATGTCAGAAGGCGAGCGATTACGAGACCGCACAAAGAACATCTCCCAGTCTCTTACACAGTTTTAACGTTAAATAACATTTGGGAATTATTTAGACAATAATTTGGACAACAAAAAACGCTGTGTAAGTAACTGGGAATATGTTCTCTGTGCGGCCTCGTGCTCGCTTGCAGCCTGGCATACGGGGCGGCCATGAACCCCCGCTCAACGTCCCTTTACCTTTCAATTTCCAAAAGGAACAGCTATCTATCGGGAGCATATGCCAGAAGGCGAGCGATTACGAGACCGCACAAAGAACATCTCCCCAGTCTCTTGCACAGTGATTTCTTTGTTCTGTAAATGATTCCCAAATGAAATTTAATCTATTGGCAGAGTTTATTTTTGCCATTTGTCCCAAGAAAAGTCCCAAGAGAATCGAATTGGCTTAGGGTTTTGCAGGATAGCTTTTCACTATGAAAAAGACTCCAATTTCCATCGAAGAACCAAACGATCACCACAATAGACAGCTCTAGAATCAGAAATCGAATGTCTATTACCTAGCAGGCTTACCCATCAGCTTATAGATCGGCCGTACCGGCTCGCGTCACTCTTGGTGTCACCACTTTGCTCACAATGACGACTCAAGCATCCGGCATTAATGCAAAACTGCCACCCGTCTCCTATACAAAAGGCTTGTGTTTAAAAGCCTGTTTATTGCAAAAAGCTTGTTTATTTCAACTTAAACCCTCAATTTTCCAGCTATTGACGTATGGATTGGAGCTTGTTTGACGTTTATTTTTGGTGCTCTTCTCGAATTCGCTTGGGTTACCTATATTTCGTCAAGGAATTTTTACAAAGGTAAGGCTTAAATACATCAAAAAGTACGAGAGATTCATGATTTTTCGATTAATTTTCTATTTTATTCTATTTTATTCTATTTTATTTTATTTTATTTTATTCTATTAATTCTAAAGATATTTTCTAAACAGGCGCCAAACACGATCATCGAATGAGTTCTGTTTACGTGAATAAACAACAAGCAATGATCATTCAAAATACACAGGTGAGCTAATGAAAGCTAGAAAGTTATGAAATGAAATAGATAGTTATGAAATTTTTGATAATATTAGTCATTAAATCTAGGCAATCGATGTCCGAACACATCCACAAGTGCCACAAGCTGTCGAGAGTGAGATTTGGGTGAAACAAGGCGCCGATCCGGCAGGTAAACGAGTAAAACTTTTGTTTGAGTTTCGAGAACCAGATTTGTACTTTATTTCACTCACTTTATAAGCATTATAAGTAAAAATATTCGAGCTAAAATGTTTTGATCAAATGAATTTTGTTGACAAGATTGTTGAGAATCTTGTTGACAAGTTTTTTGGGAATCTTGTTGAGAGACTTGTTGATAATCTTGTTAACAAGCTTGTTGAGCATCATGCTGACAATCCTGTTGACAAGCTTGTTGATAATCTTGTTGATAATCTTGTTGACAAGCTTGTTGAGCATCATGCTGACAATCTTGCTGAGAATCTTGTTGATAATCTTGTTAACAAGCTTGTTGGCAATCCTGTTGACAAGCTTGTTGACAATCTTGTTGACAATCTTGTTGAGCATCATGCTGACAATCCTGTTGACAAGCTTGTTGATAATCTTGTTGATAATCTTGTTGACAATCTTGTTGAGCATCATGCTGAAGAATCTTGTTGACAATCTTGTTGACAATCTTGTTGAGCATCATGTTAAGAATCTTGTTGACAATCTTGACACATACAAGTTCTTCTAGAGCACCTCCTTCTCAGCGGTGCTGATTGTGAGCGTCGACTCTCGAAACCGAATCCATTAGAGAGATGGATGAAAGGATCGAAACTTCGAAAATGGATAAGAAATTATTTGGATATGGATGATCCAGCGAAAAGAGCTGATTTGTTATCAAGTAGGTTTTTAGAGAGTTCAATGGCAAAAGTAAAAAAGTAAAAATAAATCAACAATGACAAGTACTTCCGAGTGCTCCTGAAGCCAACTTCAAGCTTACAATCGCGACAAGATTAATTGAATATCCTTAATTGAATGCCTTAATTTGAATGAAAACCGCAATACTGCAATATTTAATTGATTAATTATCTAATAATCATCAAAATTTTATCTTTCCAGTACAGTTACATTCAAAATTTGCAGGAATGTTATTCCCATTGACTTTTGTCGTTTTCAATATCATCTACTGGACTGTCTACTCATCAAATGGACCGTACGAACAAAAATGAATTCAATTTTTCAAAAAAACATATCATTTTCCTTTTCTTAACTGTGAGTTTTTCTCCATCTCATGCTTCCTCAAGGTCTCTCGCTTCCCAAAACGGGTCCACGTTTTTTTTCCGATTCATTTGATGATTATATCGATATTTATTTACGAATAAAACTATCAAAATCACCCGTAACATCAAAAAGTTTCTTTATTTTATTCATTTCCATCATTTTGAATGATGGTTACAGCGAAATCACCGTTTTCCTGTGCCGATGACGTCACTTTGTTCGCTTTCACGCGTTTCTCTTTAGGCAAAAACGGGATGTACTCGATGTAGGGAAGTTTTGACAGAAGCTGAAACATTGGGGTTTAAAATAAGCAAACCAATTTTAAAATAAAGCCTTTTGTCTATTAAAATAGTGTATTCAATCTTCAAATCAATGTATAAATCAGAAAAAATCAAAATCAGACTCAATGTTTTCTAAAAGATGTTCTTTAGAAGAAGCTACGGTAACCGATTGTCTTTAGAAGAAGCTACAGTAACCGGTTGTCTTTAGAAGAAGCTATGGTATCCGATTGTCTTTAGAAGAAGCTACAGTAACCGGTTGTCTTTAGAAGAAGCTACGGTATCCGGTTGTCTCTAGAAGAAGCTCGTAATCCGATTGTCTTTAGCAGAAGCTACGGTATCCGATTGTCTTTAGAACAAGCTCGTAATCTGATTGTCTTTTTGTAAAGTCAAAAGCAAGATACGGTAGCTTAAAGCTGAAAGCCGGAATTGATTCTATGCAAACCCACCTTCATAATCGGTTTTGGATATGAATAAACGTCGTCTTCTAGCGCGACCTCGTGGATTTTCCCCCGTGATTGAAGGCCTCGTTGTTCTCGAGTAGCTCCTAAAATCAATATTTGAGATAAAATATGTTCAAAAGTTCTAGAAAAGTGTCCTTATTCATTCGCTTTTCCATTACCTCCAACTGTATTATCGAGAATACAAGCGGTCATCGCTCCGACAAACATTTGAAGAGTGAGAAGGATTTGCAGCACTTGATTCACCAGGTCAACACCTGCATTTGACTGCTTTGCATTTAAAGAGACAATTTCTAACTTACCAGTATCAACGGGGAATCTTCGAAAGTATTCAGGGACGACTAAACCGACCATTACAGAGAAACCGATAATGCCCATATTTCGGGATAAGGAGAGATCAACCTGGAAAAGGAAAATCGGGGAAAGTTAATGGTAAAGGAAATAGGAATGCTTTTTGAGAGTTTAACCTGATGCAAATTAGCGATAGCAACTCCGCCGACCATTGCCATCGATGTGCCCAACACTCCGCCGACAATCGGCTCGGGCAGAGTTGAGAGAATCGCGCCGACTTTTGTGAAAAGCCCTAGACAGATCAACATCAAACCCGCCACGCACATTGTCCATCGACTAGCCACCTGAGAAAATTGATGAATAGATTGATTGCTTTATTCTTGAATTTGATTTCAATTCATCAAATCGTTTCATTCATTCGTTTCATACCTTCGTCACTCCGATGACACCAATGTTCTCTGTGTGCGTCGTCATTCCAACTCCAGGACCCAGCCAGCCGGAGATGAACGAGCCAAGTCCTGGAATTTTTTGAGAATAGATCGAAAATTGTTTTATCATTTCTACAAACTTTATCAGTTTACCTTCAGACATGATCCCGCGATTGATGGCATGTGATGGAGGTGATCTCTCTTGACTCACTCGAGCCGCTGCATGGTAGTCGCCCACCTGGAAAGCAACAATTCTTCCAATTACTTATTATTGTTCAAGTATTATTGTAAAATTGTATACTTTATAAATTGTAATGTCATTATTCGAATGTCATTATTCTAATGTCACTATTCTAATGTCACTATTCTAATGTCACTAATGACACTTTTGTTTTGTGCCATTATTCTAATGACATTACATTGTTTTAAAGTAAATTTGAGCTTTTTTATCGCACCGATTCAAAGACCGAGGTCATCGCCGAGAGTAGAAAAGCACAAAAAAGCCCAAGATTGAATTGAGGGAAGCCGAATTTACCTGAAAAATAAAGGATTTTAAATTTCAAACAAATTCTTCTAAACCTGGATACGGTACAGCGACCCAGGCAGAATTTTGAATCACTTCGATACTTGTCGGCTTGTCCACACGAGCAGCCGAGCCTTCTGGGATCAAATTAGTGATCGTCAAGAAAACACAGAAAAGCCAGGAGATCATGATAGCGATTAGGTACTGAAAGATTAGATTTATTTTTGTTCAAATATTATATTACTCTAATAGATCTAAAATGATTCTAATAAATACCGGATATTGTCCGAAAAGCGTGACATGAAACCAATGAAATTTCCCGTTTTTCCATCCAGGGATTGGCACTCGAGTTTCCGCCAAATAGAGTGTTGTTGCAACCAAAGTGGCTACTTGTCTAAAGATAATATTGATGTCTAAAGATAACCTGTCAACTATTGTTAACTCCTTTCTGTGTTTTTCTTCTTGAAACAAAACGCTCACATGATTGAAACCCAGTGTTGAGCGATTCTCGTCACAGTCATGTTCACACTTGAAATCACCAATAAGAGAATCAACGGTGAGACGGTGATTGGGCCTAAGATAAAGATAGAAATGTTTAACATTAGTTTCCAAAAGAATTCTTTCCCAATTTCAAACCAACCAATCAGTTTTGTCAATTTCCCAACGATGCCCGTCATTCCAATGAAAATCGGGACTAATGATGAAAGGATCAGAGCACCTTGGATCTAAATTTATTATAAAATTCAATTCTAAAAACATTTTTAGATATCCAGACATACTGTTGATAAATGTCCATAATATAAAGATGAATCCACGGTTGAATTCGCCCCAAAATTGCACTTGTTCTCTCGGAGTTTCATATAGGATTCGATTGAGGGAATGTAGGCAAAAGCTGTGCCCTGGAGAAGGGCTAATCTGGAAGGAAATGAAAAAGGAAAGTTGAAAATATCAATGCTTTTAATAACAATCTTAAACTTACAACTATTAGATCTTTACTTACAGCTATTAGATCTTTACTTACAACTATTAGATCTCTTTCTCTCACTTACCGAAATCCGAACATTGTCTGAATGATTGTCGAGATTCCACTGCTGACGAAAGTGCTCGCGATAAGTTCGGCTCGTAATTTGTACTCATCCTGAATGGAATTTCGAGTTTTATCAAACCAAAAATGTTCTAATTTCTTTAAAATTATGATATTTATCTAAAATCATGATATTTATATAATAAAAACTAATAAAAATCATAATCTAATAAGTGAAAACTCAAGAAATTTACATTCTGATAGAGAACTCTTTGCGAACTCTTTGCCACAAAATGCCCTTTTCCGGGAGAGACTGGGCTGATACCATGGCGCAGTGGTTGCGCTTTCGTTTACAAAGCGGTTTGGGTTCAAAAAGGGGTGGGTTCGATTCCCATTAGAGGCTTCCAAGCAGACGGTTGATCGATTTCAAAGATCACTCGATTACTCGGCAAGCGAAAGAGAAAATTTCCTATGTCCAAGAATCTCCATCGTTTGGAGAACCTCTATGATCGGAAAATGACATTTTGATTTGTATTGATTTGAAAACTTGGAAAATGAAAATTTGATTTTTGGAAACCACCAAATTAGACAATTAAACACAAAAAAGCCCAAGATTGAATTGAGCTAAAAGTTCAATTCAATCAAAGCTCAATTCAATCAAAGCTCAATTCAATCAAAGCTCAATATTTAAAAATTTCACCTCTCCAGCGCATAAAAATGAGGCCAATAAGAAGGGAATTGTGAGCAAAGCAGAGACACAAACCATCACTTGCTGAAAAAGGGAATGTAAAAGAAAGCTGGCTAAAAGAAAGTTGGCTTAAAGATACAGTAACTGCGTAACAGTAACAGTAACAGTAACAGTAACAGTAACTGCGTTTAACCTCGTTACAGTATACTTGCTATATACCTTGATCAGCTTATTGAGTTTTTGAAACTCACTTGAAATCCGAATAGAATACAGAGAGCGAAATTCGGGGTATCTCGGGCTTTGTAAAACCGTCGTTCTTTCTTTTTTGGCTCATTTTCCGTGACAAAAGTCATTTGTGTCAATTGAGGATTTTCTGGAAATTATTCTATCTTTTGAAAATGTTTTTTAGAAAGTTTTATATAGAGATAGATATTGCCTATATTGCCAAATTTGACAAAAAGCAATCACTAATCATTTTGAGATAAAAAGAGAAATGGAAATGTCAATATATTAGGTTGATGCATAAGTGTTTTTGTTCCTTTTCGTCTGCCGTTTCAAGCCAACAAATGCACGAATTAAACTACGGTTGATTTCATTAGAAAAACCAATTATTTTTCTGCAAAATAACATTAAAACGGGTTTAAAAATATTTAATGCCTGGATTTTCTTGAGAGTATGAAGTCGGGTAGTCAAAAAGGGCTAACTCGATGATGCGGTTTAGACACCTTAGCTAAAGAAAACCTATCTTCGTGTCAATAGATAAAAGATAGAGAAAAAAAACGTTTGATATTTCGCGAAAATTTCAGAGAAATTCATTCAGCCAATTTTTCCGTAGAGTTTTTTATAGATTTTTACGAAAAAGGCGTTTTTCACTCTCGAATTTGCTTGAAAGTGAACCGAAATTCATTTAAAAAGATGCAAATTGAACAAAAAAACACTTTTTTTATAGAGCAAACCATAGATTAATTCGTGATTTTGTTACTTTTTAACAGAAGTACGAAAAAAACGAAAAGACTTATGCATCAACCTATTAAATGCCAATGTAAATGCTAATTTTGTTTTATAGAAAGGAACTCGAGCTAGTACACTGAAAAAAAGGAAATAAGTATTCCAGATGATGTGCGTTTGGATGAATACGATTAAAAAGTAACAATATACAATATACAACAATATACAATATACAACAATATACAATATACAACAATATTCAAGTAACAATATAAGAGTGCCAAAGTGGATGAGCACAAGAATGCACAAGAATCACTTCTCTTCTTTTCAAAAGCTTTTCAAAAACGATCAGTACTTCCTGATTGATCTCTAAAAGGGTAAAAGTTTTTGAAAAGTGAAAGATCATGATAACGATCATGATAACGATCAGATAAGATGATCGCGATCCCTTCTCGTCTAATAAAGTGTCACAGAAAAGGTGGAAATGAGAAGAAAAGATAAAAAGACGAAAAGACAAAAGAGTGGAGTGTGAGCGGATCAATCATTTTCATTTATTTCAATCAGCTATTGATCTCGATAATCTTTCACGTTTATTTTGTTCCTCCAAGAGAAAACAGAGAAGAATACAGGGGAATTTGAGCGTTTTTCTTCTAAGCTGTTGACATGTGTACAGCTACAGATTACTGTAAGTGATATTGTAAATGATATGTAAATGATTGATATTGTGAATCTCTTGTTTCTCATTTAGAATCGAGATTCCTTCAAATTCTTTCGCATTTTTAAAAGAGCTCAATGAGGGAAAAGTTAAAAAAAGATTAAATGCTAAGTTTATTTGATAAAAGGCAAAGATGAATATGTACTGAAAAATAGAAATTATACGATAAACCAGCAGAAAACGCTCACTAAAGTTCACGTTTTCCACGCAATCTAAGCCGCGAATCTTTTTGCCAATGGCTGCGCACAGACGAACAGACGAACAGACAGACAGGCAGGCAGACAGACGAACAGACGGACAGACGGACAGACAGACAGACATCTCTTCTGCTTTATATATCGTAGATATGGAAGTATTTTGAAGTATAATATTTATTGCATAAAGAAAACTTAAAAGCTCAACATATTCATGCTGAAAAGCTTTGTTTTGAAAGTTCGAAGAGATGCTGAATCGTTAAGCCGAAAATCTTCAATTTTCACTTTCTCAGGCATTCAAAAACTTGTATAACATGTTTATCGTCTTTAAATGTTAGGTCATAAATAAACTTTTCCTTTGCCAGTCCGCCAAATAGAAAGTTTTCATCTAAAGATCTAAAGAAAAGCTAAAAAGGAAAAAGAAAACAAATATTTATTTTGCGTTGAAAACATGGTTTTGTTAGAGTAATCTATTGTTGAAATGAGAAATATGAGAAAAGTTTGTCTGTTTGGTTTCATCGGCATTTCACCGGGAAACTTTTTGATGGAAAATTAGCATAATCGTTTTAGAGAGTTCAATGAGGGGAAAAGTTGTTGAAATCACTGTCAACCCAAAATATAATCAATCAAAGGGTAAAAGGGTAAAATCAAATCAAATCAATCAAATCAAAAGCGTAAAATAGATGAAGTGCTTTAAATTTAGAATAGAAATATATAGAAATAGAAATAGAAATATATAGAAATAGAATGAGAACGCTAAAGTGTTTCGCTAAGCTAAGTTTCGCTAAAGCTAAAGTTTAAGAGCTGAAAGCTGTACAAAGCAGCTTTTCATTCACATAAACGATCGCAAAACTAGAAAGATATACTAGAATAGAACGAAAAGTATTGCATTGTCATCCTTGTAGATTAAATTTTAGACATTTAAAATTTAATCTACAAGAATGACAATGCAATACTTGGGTTCTATTCTAGTATATCTTTTCAAAAGCATCGATCGTTTGTTTTTTCAATTGTTAACCTCTTAAAAAGATTCTTTTAAGAGCTTTTAAGAGCTTAACAATTGAAAAGAGACAAATCGAGTCGTTCAGCAGCGTTCAGCAAAGTTTGTTGTATTTACAGTTTGACAAGGACAAGGAAACTAAGCTTTAAGCAAATAATTAACAAATCCTATCAAAAACTTGTCCTATTACTGAATGACGTAATGATGTAGAGAGCTTTGGGAAGATGTATGATGATGTAGAGAACTTTGGGAAGAACGTGTTCTCATCATTCATCCGCTCCCCCCAGAACAATGTCAAATGTAGAGTTTGTCAAATGTCAAATGCAAATGTAGAGTTTCATTTTTGAGTGAACCCTATCAAAATGTTGATCTTAAAATTCTCAAAACCAAAACCTTAAAACCTTTTGATCCACCCAAAACAAATAAAAGAAAAATAAAATAAATCACGAAAAAAACTTTTGATTCGATTGAATTCTCTTCTCTTCTCCAGTTCTCTGGGAAGAGAACTCGAGGTTGTACCTATTTTTCTGTTATCGGGTGTGTTACCTAAACTGGCATAAAAACAAAAACATTTGAGAGGAAAGTAAAAAAATCAAAATCAAATCGAGTACACACAGTCATTTCTGACAATTCCGCGCTCTATTTTCCCGATGATTGGGTATTATAGAAAAGAGAATGGAAAAATCAAAAAAAGCATTCATAAACGATATTCGTTTTCTCTTTTTCAATGGAAAAAGTGATGATATAAAGAGAAAAAGTAGACAAATATGAGAGAATTTGGCGATTGAAAGGAGAAAAAAGGAGGAGAAATGGGTAAATGATAGTGATTTGTGTGAGGAGGAGCATCGGGAAATGAAGAGGAGAAAGGAATTCCGGGTGATTCGATTGGGATATAATTACTTCCTGAATTTGTTTTCGGAGTTTGAGTAATATTGAGTGATTGATTGGTGATCAGATCAGATCAAGTTACAGATAAATTATTCAGATAACTTTTGGGGAATAAAGTGGCTAGATTGAGTGACAAAAGACTAGAAATAAAATCAATTTTCTTTGTGAAGATACTGATCATTAACAAACGAAGTAACAAGATTGTTGATAAAGTATTGTTAATAATAAAGTAAACAAGATTGTTAAAGGGATGAAGTTCTTTCGGTAATTGATGGATAAGTACAGTAAAACTCGGAAAATCGGAAACCCTTCCCGAACCATGTCAATTTGCTGACTCGCCTGTCGATGAAGCTCATCTTAACATCAAGGGTAATTAAAGTATGATAAACAAATGAGCTGTTGCTCTAACAAGAAAATATCAGTGTTTATTTCGAGCTACCTTTTGTGCAAAAATGGCCCATTTGGTGCAATCATTCACCAAATCATTATTTTTTTGTAGTACCAGTCGTACAGAACAATACAGAAGGTCTGCTAATGGACTGTTAATGATTGATTTGATCAGTGAGAATGAAATTCAAATGAAAAAATGGGGGTGGCTACCTTTTTTGTGCACCTGGACATTTGAGCACCTTTTTTTCGCTGGAAAAGGCCTTAGGAAAGGCCGTAGAGCTTCAAAAATGTTTTCAGATAAGGGAATCGTATGCATAGATTCCGAATTTCAACAAATCAGACCTCACTGACACGTCGAATTTGGGCTAAAAGGCAAAAACTACGCAACTTAACGCTTTTCCGCATACGATTCCCCTTGATGAAAACATTTTTGAAGCACTACGGCCTTTCCTAAGGCCTTTTCCAGCGACAAAAAGGTGCTCAAATGTCCAGGTGCGCAAAAAAAAATTTGTTTTACCCCCGAAAAAATTAAAAATCAAATATGAATTTGTACTTAAATTAAACAGGTACGCAATCAATTAGCCGAATATCTTTTGTTTAGTCGCTAAATTGCGCGGTGCTAGACAGCACTCGCAAATTCATTTCACTTGTTGAATTTAGGAAAATTATTCGTTGATTGGTTTTTAAAAGAGTTACCTTTAAATTTTGAATATTACATTGTTTCGTTCATCGTTTCGATTTTGTACGCAACTAGAGTAGTTGGGGGGCAGTGACTGGAACTTGACCCAAAATCAAAATTTTGCCACGAAAACTTGCACACAGGGGTTTTTGCCTATGCTGAATCGATTAGTAATACTCGACAATGGCTCGCGGCGCGAAGAGGACCGAGAGGAAAGAAGGATTCGACGACGAGTATCAGCAAGACGGTTGCCGACTTCATTCAGGTTAGTTTAGTTTTAATTTTTAATTTTATTACGATATTTTTATTTTTTTAGAGCAAATTCCCTTTTTCACTTAAGCTTAAAGTTGTTTTAAAATTATGATAGAAACCATGGTTTTATTGAGGTCTGCTTAAGTTTAGGCACATCTCGTGAGCCCAAAGGAGAAGAAACGATCAACAGTCGCCGAAGTGATCGACTTAACGTCGGATGGGTAGGTTTTTATTTTTTATACAGAAAGAATTGAAATCAAAAACATAATGTCTCTGGCAGTAGGACCGTGCTTTCTAAAATGCACCAAAACAACCGTAACCACCATTTGGTGGCCTTTTTTATTTTCTCTTCAACCACGAAGTGTTGCCGCTTTTTATTAGTTTTTATGAAATTCTTTTAGCCGTAGAAATAGTCGTAGCCTACTTTTAGCCGTAGAAATAATTTTAGCTGAACTCTTGGCGCTTAGGTTAGCTTTTTGATTGGTTTAGCGTAGTTTTGATAAGTTTTGTGGGAATTTGTAGCTTTGACTAGGGATTGTTTTGTTTCCTTTTATTTTACTGTTTTTTAGCTTTTCTTGATACTAACTTTTACTTTTCAGTTAACTAGACTTCATCTCCCGGCGAATCGACGATGGCTCGCGGTGCGAAGAGGACGAGAGGAAAGAAGGATTCGACGACGAGGATCAGCAAGACGGTTGCCGACTTCATTCAGGTTTGTTTTTTAGAGCAAATTGCCTTTTTCACTTAAGATTAGAGTTTTTTTAAATTATGAAAAATCAGTGGTTTTATTGAGGTTTATTGAGCTTAAGTTTAGGCACATCTCGTGAGGCCAAAGGAGAAGAAACGATCAACAGTCGCCGAAGTGATCGACTTAACGTCGGATGGGTAGGTTTTTATTTTTTTATGCAGAAAGAATTGAAATCAAAAACATAATGGAACGGTTTTTGTTTTTAGTGAAGAAGACGTTAAAATGGATGATGGTCGAACGGCGTCACACTCTTTTGTTTCGGATGGCCTTCTAACGGACGAGGTATATATTTTATATTGCCGACTTCATCCAGCTCAGTTTTGTTTTTGATTGTCATTTATGAGGTTATCAGCTTAAAGGATATATTTTAATAGTTTTCTAAGTAAGCATTCTATCTGCACTCTCTAAAATTTAAAAAGAAAGCTGGTAGAATAACTTTAAATTGATTAAAAGTTAATATAATTTGAAATAATATTACTTAGATTACACTACATTTTCCAATTTAGGCTGCAAAGATCAAGAAGAAGGTCGAGCTTGAGAATCCTCCGAGCTGGAGCGACGAGGTGTGTTTTTGTTTAGTTTGTAAATGTAAATATTGAAGCTTTTAGGTGACTGACCTAGAGCCGAATGGGGAAGCCCCCGGGGATGGACTGGATGTGGTTGGAGGCGCCACTCCCACTCAACATGAACTTGGCCAGGAGTTGGTGGGTGGTGGCCAGTCCAGCTATTAATTGACGAATTGTTCTCCTCTTTCAATTGCATGTTACCCTTTGTTTTACGTTGTTTCTGCGTATGTTATAATTTTATTTAACTCGTCTTACAGTTTATACATATTTTCTTACTTTAATTTGTTACAAATTTTTAATCAATAAATCGTTAATCATGAAAGATGTAACTGAAATATCTAGGCAATTTCTTGTTGAAGTTCAAGCTGCACTTGTGAAGATCCAAAAAACAAGAATCGCTTTATTCACTCGGCAAAGTTTTTGTCTGAAGGAAGGATCATAGAAAAAGTCTACAATGGAAGTTTTTTTGGGTCACCGGTTTCCGAGAAAAATCAATCTCTCCAACACGTTAACGATTCGAAAAATAGAAAATATAATAATAAAAGAAATGATGCTGGGAACCCGGAAGAGAGGGGTAAAACTACAAAGAAAGAGATGAGGATCAAAATGATCAAATTTCAGAATTAGTGGATCTTGTAATCCCAAAATACGATCACTTGGTACTGCCGGGCGATGGGAAATCGGGACTTTTGCTCTCCGATTTCCCGATTGCACCGATGAGGAGAATGGCGCAGTCGATTGGATGGGGCGCCGCTTCGGGGCGATTGGCTGGCAAAAGCCGCTCGGGTTCGAGCCCCGGAAGCGGAATGAATTTTGTACAGAACACGAAATGGTAAAAAACGAAGAAAATAGAACCCGGCGGACTTGTTGACAGATCTTTGTGTCGAGGGAGTGTTTAGGCAGCGACACGCTTGTGAGCATGCTGCACAACCTCCAACTTGCTGTTGACGTGTCCAGACATTGGCTCGATTCCTGCGTATGGAGCCTCCTTGGTTCCGTGGAGCATCAGGGTGAAACGCTTGAGGGTTCCACGGTGCTCACCGGGGCCCTGAATCTTGTGATTAGTCGAGGTGCATGGCTGAATGAAGGTACAGTAATCCTTAGCTGATTCAGAAATCTGTTCTATAGCTATAGAACAGATTCTGTCTGTTCTATAGCTGATTCAGAAATCTAAGGCGGATAAGTAATCGTTTCTCACCTGGAATCTCGCGATGAGTCTCCACTTTCCGGTGGGATTCTCTCCCCAGAAATGAGTCGACATGAACGGCCAGTTGGTGAAACCATCCTTTGAGTCATCATCCTTTGGTCGACGAGAGAGGATCATCGTGCTGAAATTGTTTTGGAGTTGTTTTGAAAAGTCTTGATGCCTTATAATTAGAGTCTTAGGTTCATTTCATTTCATTTTTCATTTACCGAGTTCCAGATGGCGAGATGAGGTAGAGAGTGGTGTCTCCACGGCGAGTCGAGTTCAGAGTGATCACCGCTTGCACGTGCTCAAGGTATTTCACCTGGAAAATTTTTGTGTCTGTACTTGAAATACTACAGAGTTTTTATCAGATTACACAGAGCAGCAGAAAGCATAGCGTATCTTACCTCAGTGGCAGAACGCATAGCTTATCTTATCTCTAGCGTATCTTACCTCAGTGGCAGAACGCATAGCTTATCTTATCTCTAGCGTATCTTACCTCAGTGGCAGAACGCATAGCTTATCTTATCTCTAGCGTATCTTACCTCAGTGGGTGTTCCAATGCATGAATCGGCGGTCAAGTCAAGTTCGAGATTTCCGTTGGCTGGGATCTCGCTGAAAAAGATCGTTTTAGCTATTAATTGCTTGTAAAATGTCAATTTCTGTATGCTTTTCACTCACTAATTTCCCTCAATCGTTCCGGCGGTGCAGTGGAATCTTGGTGGTGCCGTTTTCCAAGCCATCGATAACATTACCATCTCGGCCGCGTCCAAAACTCCGAAACCGAACAAATGATTGTACTCGAGTCCAACGCCGTTCATCTGAAAATGAAAATTTATTGAATTTTTGAAGCAAAGTCTTTTCAATTCAACATTTCTTCTAACTTTCACTCACCTGCCACTCGTAGTGAGTGCAGTTGACGTTCTTGGTGTCCATATGGTTGTCCTGAAAAAGAAAAACTTCATAGATAGAATAGTTTGTTCTTTAGCTTTTATCAAGACCAATTCCAAACCTTGGTGCCAAGAAGTGGGAGCTCTCGGCATCGACCGTCGAAGAGCGAGTTTCGGGATGAAGTCAAAACGGTGAGATGTTGGAGATCACGCCTAAGAAAATGCTTTGGATACAAGAATTGGATTAAAGTTTAGATTAAAGTTTAGATTAGAGGTTTAGATTAGAAGTTAAGAAATAAAATAATTTCATTATATACTCACCAGGTGAGCGATGGGTTTGCTTCCAGAGCGAGCGCGAAAACACCGGCGGCTTCGGGGGCGGCAGCTGAGGTTCCCGAATGAGATCGAGTGCAGCTAGAATAATTGAATATAGGAAAATACTATACTTAGTCCTTTGCACAATACATAATTTATATTTCGTATTATTTCATATTCTTTACCGTCCATAGAGATCAGTGGTGGCAACTCCGGTTTCCGGGTTTCGGCCACCGTTCGAGAAGGTCGAGGCCAAGGTTGACGAGCAAGATCTGAGAATTGGATTGTTTACAGATAGGAATTTATCTAAAATTTTAAATTCCACAATATTCAACGTTTTTTCTTCTAAACCCACTCATCGTAGTGAGCGTTTTCTCCGTTGTTGATGGCTGAGTTGATCGAGATTGTCCACATGCTTGCAGCGTATCTAAAAAAAGGAAAGATTGGGTAAATGAACGAATGTCCAAAGTTAAATCTTAGATAAAAAACAATGATTACAGTAGATGATGAAATGAACTCCAAATGAACAAACCCATCACAATTGCAATCATCATCCTCTCCACCGTCACCCGATGCCCAAACGAAGATCGATCCAAGTCCGTTTCGGCCCTAAAATTTTTTAGCTGATTAGTTTTAAAACTAATCAGTACCTCATTGACGCCTCGAACAATTGCTCTCATTGTGGCATTTCTTGGCCCATCCACAGTTTTTCCATCATCGGTGGGTCCCCAAGAGGCTGAGTAGATGTGGATCTTGTTCGGCTCGTGTCCCATTGAGTTCGCTTCGATCAAATCGGTCTAAAATTTGAGAAAATAGAAAGCTATATAATATAATATAGAAAGCAGGAAAGTAGAAAAAGTATGAAAGTAAAATACTTAAGTTAGTTATTAAACTTAAGTTATTTTATTTTATAAGTATTTAAAATCATCAAAACTCGCCATCCAAGGCTGATCCAGCATTCTAATTCCGGCGATCTTGCTGTTGTAGGCAACTCCTGAAAGCCAACTCCATGAGAATTTAAGTTAGTAATGATATTCAGTAGTTGGCCAGGATTTCGTTACTTTGAGAGAAAGACAAAGAAAGGCTTGACAAAGTTGGGCTGAAAGGAAAAGTTAACGAAATCCTAGATACGAGCCTGTTCAGTGCAAGAATATTTTGTTTCAAATTCCAATCACTCACCAACTCCACAAACTCCGTTGTCTCGAGCGGCGGCGATCTCTCCGGCACATCTAAAAATTTTACGTATAGGAGTTCATTTTCTGTCTCATGGCAGTAGGACCGTGCTTTCTAATATGCACCAAAACAACCGTAACCACCATTTGGTAGTCTTTTTTTACTTCCACTTCATTTTCTCTTCAACCGCGAAGTGTTGCCGCTTTTTATTAGTTTTTATGAAATTCTTTTAGCCGTAGAAATAGTCGTAGCCTACTTTTAGTCGTAGAAATAATTTTAGCTGAACTCTTAGCGCTTAGGTTAGCTTTTTGATTGGTTTAGCGTAGTTTTGATAAGTTTTGTAGGAATTTGTAGCTTTGGCTAGGGATTGTCTTGTTTCCTTTTATTTTACTCTTCTTTAGCTTTTTTGATACTAACTTTTACTTTTCAGTTAACTAGACTTCATCTCCCGGCGAATCGACGATGGCTCGCGGCGCGAAGAGGATGAGAGGAAAGAAGGATTCGACGACGAGGATCAGCAAGACGGTTGCCGACTTCATTCAGGTTTGTTTTTTAGAGCAAATTGCCTTTTTCACTTAAGATTAGAGTTTTTTTTAATTATGAAAAATCAGTGGGTTTTATTGAGGTTTATTGAGCTTAAGTTTAGGCACATCTCGTGAGGCCAAAGGAGAAGAAACGATCAACAGTCGCCGAAGTGATCGACTTAACGTCGGATGGGTAGGTTTTTATTTTTTATGCAGAAAGAATTGAAATCAAAAACATAATGGAACGGTTTTTGTTTTTAGTGAAGAAGACGTTAAAATGGATGATGGTCGAACGGCGTCACACTCTTTTGTTTCGGATGGCCTTCTAACGGATGAGGTATATATTTTATATTGCCGACTTCATCCAGCTCAGTTTTGTTTTTGATTGTCATTTATGAGGTTATCAGCTTAAAGGATAGATTTTAATAGTTTTCTAAGTAAGCATTCTATCTGCACTCTCTAAAATTTAAAAAGAAAGCTGGTAGAATAACTTTAAATTGATTAAAAGTTAATATAATTTGAAATAATATTACTTAGATTACACTACATTTTCCAATTTAGGCTGCAAAGATCAAGAAGAAGGTCGAGCTTGAGAATCCTCCGAGCTGGAGCGACGAGGTGTGTTTTTGTTTAGCTTGTAAATGTAAATATTGAAGCTTTTCGGTGATCGATCTCGAGCCGAAAGGGGAAGCCCCCGAGGATTTGCTGGATGTGGTTGGAGGCACCACTCCCACTCAACATGGACTGGGTCAGGAGTTGGTGGGTGGTGGCCTCGTAAGGGAAACAACGTTCCCCGGTTGTGGTGACAAAGCCCTGGAAGCCCCCGAAGACTTGACTGACGGGGTGGAAGGGGAGTCACCGACGCCCCCATAGCCGGCCAGATACTCGAAAGACCGAAAGCGCCAAGGTAATCAACCGGCTACCGCCTCAACCAGGCTAAAAGAGGAATAAAGCGCAGGGATTTTGGGAACAATAATTTCTTAAACGTTTCGTGGTTCTTTTGTGCACAAATTTCTTTTGCTTTTCATTTTTTTTTCTCATATCTTTGATTTATTGTTGATTTTTATGGGATAAAGTGTTGTTATTCTTTGGGTTAAATTCTAGAGCCTATCACCTTGTTCCGTGAGAGTTGAACCAATCATCCGTGTATCGAGGATAGGGAATGGATCGTTCGAGGAGAAATCGTACGAGGCTTCAGCATTCTGAAAAGAGGACGCCATTGGGAAGAGCAAGTTAAATTTTACTTGAGCTCAAAATCAGAACTTTAAACACCTATCTGGTGCACTCGCAGTGCAGCGCTGAGATTTCAGTGCTCCAGAAGTGTTTTCATAATTACGGTACAGTAATCGGGTTGCAAAGCTCAAATATTATTTTTAAAGCACTCACGAAATTGTTTTTGAGATCCGGGTGCATGTAGTCGACGCCATCATCCATGATAGCCGTCGTGATGTTCTTTCCGGTGAATCCGAGAGCCCATGCCTAGAAGAGTTCAATTGTACTGCAGTTCGTATGCCAATTGTATTCCAGTTTTCTCTACTTTTGATCCTCTATCCATTTCTCCTAACTTTTTATCCAGTTATCCAGCTTTGTCTACAGTCTCTTATCCATTTTTTTCCTAAATTTTCAATCAAATCAAACGAACCTTCTCCACATTCAAATCCAATCTCGCTTTTCCACCTGCTTGACCGGTGTTTTTCTGGAAAAAAGGTGATTGTTTATGAATACTTTTCGAACTTTTGCTTCTTTTATTTAGTCATTGTGTCTCTGCTAGTCTTTGCCTAAAGAATGATGAGTTTCAGATTCAGATTGCTCACGAAAACAACCAGAATTTAGATTTTGCTCAATAACAAGCGATCAGAGACTATTCGGGAGGCATTTTGCAAAAACAATAGGTTGAAAACTTGTCATTTTGTTCCCATGACCGACATAATCGTGTGTACCAGAAAGTGCCCGTTTACTAGTCAAAAACACCCGATCAATTGCTGTTTCATTATTTTTCGCTATTGTTTCGCTATTGTTTCCCTTTAGAAATTCCCGAAATATGACTAATTCATTGATTTTTTTTGATGAAAAGAAGACATTCGTCTCGATTCCTTTTATAAAATTTGGTCGGCTGACGGCGAGGTTCTCTTCTCGTTTCCTCTCTTTTTTCCTCTTTTTCAGATCGCAATAAACGCTCTCATTTCCTGTCAATTTGCCCCCTATCGAGAAAAATTTTGAGAAATGAGCTTTCGGCACAAATTTTCTCCGCCTTTTTTTGATCCCAATTACGAATTTATTCAATTCTGAGGAAAAATAAGTGAATTTGTTGATTGAATTTTGGGAATTTGTGATTTGGATTTGATGATTTGGTTATGGAATGGTTTCTGCCGTTCTGCCGGAAAGAAGACAAGCTAAATCTATCATTGACTTTTAAAACAAGTATTGAATAACTTCTTAGAACCTGAAACCTATTGTTTGGTCAGATCAGCGTTCTAAAATCTAGTTATCTGAATCTGAATAAAATCTGATAGACAATAGAGCTAGATCGATCTTGGAACAAAAGTCCCAAAAGGTTTGGCACTTTGAAGTGAGTTTTGAACAACTGTGCACAGTTTTGAACAACAGATTGTGCTGATTTTGGATTGTTTAGGTACCAAATCTTTTAAAGCTATCAAAAGAATTCTTCGATTGTTTGGCAAAGACCAAAGATTAAAGGTAATTCTTGCAAATCATCAGCTAGCCCTGAAAGCTTTATGCGTTCAATAGTTCACCTTTCAAGTATTTCTCAAGTGCCTTTCCCTCTTCATTTTCATCTATTGATCGCTGATAATTGAGTTAGTTTTTCTAGGGGAAAAGGCAAATGGGAAAAAAGAGCATATTTGTATGCAACGAATCGGAAAAAGCAGAGAAAAGATGAAAAAGAGAATAGAATGGAAGGGAAGGGAATGCCCGACGGAGTGAATGGCATTCATTTGGAGATTCCCTTCTATAGAGACTGGATAGATGGGGTGCATGGGGATAAAGAAGAGGGAAAGATGGGACAAGGCTGGCAGGGAAAAGACTTGGCACGTCACGAGGAAGCAAATTTTTCTGTGCCTCGTTTTCCCCTCCGAAATGAGGAGTGTTTACGAGTTACTCGAGTTGCTCTTCTCTTTCAGAGAAAACGTCAAAGTTTTGAATCAATTTTGGAGATGATGCGCATGTTAGTAACCGGATTTTCAAGTTTCTAGACTTGATTTTCAAGTCAAGTCAATTGAAAGCTTGGTCTGTCAAATGGTCAGTCAATTGAAAGCTTGGTCTGTCAAATGGTCAGTCAATTGAAAGCTTGGTCTGTCAAATGGTCAGTCAATTGAAAGCTTGGTCCTTGGTTCGCTTGCCCTTAGTTTGGCGTTGGATTGGTCTTGCACTTACTAGGGAACCGCTTCAACTTAGCATTGATTAAAGTGCATCGACTTACGAGTACTCGTTAGCATTTTAAAATACCTAAGAATTGGTTTTAGTGCTTTTAGTGCTAAAAAAGCTAAAGCTTTACAAAAAGTAAAAAGGGTTTGGCGGTGAGGGGATTCGAAGCAGGGACGGAAGGCTTGAAGAGTGAGTGAAGACCGAGCACACTAACCGCTGCACTACTCGGTCACTGCCAGGGCCAAAGTAATTCGGCCATATACCGCGGCGGCGGCGTTTCTTCAAAAAGTGCCCAAACTTTAAAAGGATTTTTCTCGAAAACTAGATGCTATGAAGTAAAGCTGAAAACATATCCCTTCAAATTTCAATTAGCTTGGCTTGGCTTGGTTTGGCTTGGCTTGGCTTGGCTTGGTTTGGCTTGGCCTGGCTTGGCTTTGGAATAACCCTGATTCCCAATCAAAAGCTTTTATTAGTAAACTCTTAAATTTTTTAACTCACCAAGTACCATTGATATTGATAGAGGGGATCGGATGGCGATTGAACGGCGGAGAAATCGAGTTGAGATTGGAGACGATCGGCGAGTGGGCTGAAATCGGAGGAATGTGACAGAAAAGACAAGAATATGCTAACAATATGAATATATTCTGAAAACACTCAGAAAATTACTCAGAAAAACAACTCTTAAAGCATTTAAAATCAATTCACAAAACCCACGCATATCCCCGCTTGAGTCTTCTGTATCCGGTGAGTTGTTCGGCGTGAGCGATCTGCAAATCGAATTTGAGCTTTAATAACAATTGTAGCTCAAGTTCTGCATATTATTTTGCTCCATATTATCGATTTAATTATTTCAAATAAGAGAAAAGATCTTTACCTCATCATCTCCTTGCAATTTTCTGTGATGTCCAACGGATCGTCGAGTTCGCGCATGCGAGAGAGCCGGTTGAAAGAAATGGAACTCGTGGTCTGAGCCCAAAACCTATAAAAATCAAAATTTTTCATGCAAAATCGAATTCTCTTGAGATTAAAAAAGCTGAAATTGAATCCACCCAGGGGATTTTTTTTATTCTAGGAGGATTCTAGGAGAGATTTCCCCTCAAGAATTTTCTCAAAAAGAAGGATTTCTGAAAAGCAAACTAAATGATGAATAAGTAGACAGAAAATCAAATATTCAATGATATGAAAAAAAAAGAAATGATGAATTTATTCAGGGATTTCTAAGAATAGTTTCCTCGATTCACTCACCGCTCCACGATTGATGAACCCGTGTCGTTTAGCGATCTTGTGCGCATTCTCAAGGCCGGGTTCCTGAAATCATTCGATGCTTTTGTTTTGGAATCATTTGGTGTTGGACTATGCAAAGATTTCTATTCAAATTGATTCTTTAGCTGATATTAACCTTGAAAATTGACTCTACACGCTAGCTGAAAAGTTCTGTTACCTTATGAAACAATTCCTTTTGATGGGAAATATTGGGGAAACATTTAAAATTATGATTTTCAGATTCTCCACATATTTTTACATTATAAACCAGATTTTCAGCTCATTAGCTCTATTCGGAAAAGTTTTACGCTAATTTCTTTCTGATATGCGGTAATGCTCGTTGATCACACCCTCACAAGGGAAAAAGAAACGTCACCCGTTCTATTCTATTCTATTCTTTTTCAGTTAATATTAAATATGAAATTAAGTAGCAAAGACATTTGAGTGACACTCTTCTTTTGATGAGCACTGGTGGAGGGATTTGTAGAATCAAATCAAAGATTCGAATCAAAGATCAAAATCAATGATCAATGATCAATCAATTAATCAACGTTTTCAATCCCATTTTGTAGTCTTTCAGAAAATTTAACCTGTTTCTAACTCAAATTCCCAGCGGGATCCTAATTTTCGAAGAAAATCTGAACAAATTTTAATGCCCAATTTGCAATTTTGTCTTTTTCGCCTGATTTGTGTTCGAAAACACGAGAATTGATGAAAAACGGAAATTTTTGATGGAGAATTTGCAATAGATTATGATGAATGGAAATCTTCTCCAATCTGATTATGATAAAGGAAAATCTTGAATTTATCTAGTAATCTTGGAATTGTAATCTGGAAATAAAGTATTCTTGTATTTGAAGGAATTTTAAGCTATTCAGTTGTGAGCTCTGGTTTCAACTGGATTCACCTTTTGTAAGCCTGACTTAAAAGTGAGTAGCCTGAATGGCTTGAAGAAACGCAAGTGTTGTAGTGAGCTACCGTAAGAGTTTAAAGACAGTGAGCTACAGTAAGAGTTTAAAGACAGTGAGCTACCGTAAGAGTTTAAAAGACTTACTTTAAGAGTTTAAGGTTATTAATCCTTTTTTATTACTCTAAAAAGTCACTTTAATCTTTCAAACTTTAAACCGACCTTCAGATGAACGTGAAAGTGATTGGTGAAAACCTCGAGTGCGCTAATCGAGGAGAGATAACAAAGTAACAAGGTCCATGGCGAAGCCACTGCCTTGTGCATATCTGAATCAAAGAAAATTTGCATTGAAAATCAAGTTTGATGTTAGAACTTGTTTCTTTATGAATCTCTTAGAGATTACGGAGAAAATCTCCGTAATCTCTAAGGTTACGGTTTAAAAAACTAAAACAACAGGGTTTGAGGCTGAGCGTTCTCCAGTAAACCTATGATGTGCTCAATTTTTAAGCTGATAGTCAACAAGTAGTTAAATCTCTTATTAAACAACAACTAAAACACTACTTACTTTATAGCTTAAATTCTGACAAGAAATTTCTTCTCAAGTCATCAAGTTCGACCTAGTTCTTGAGCCTTTTAGACTCTAGTTTAACTCTAGTTTAACCAACTAAAGCTATGAATAACAATAGCTTCTGTTACGAGAATTAATAACTAAACTCTTCCTAAACCTTAACATTTAATTAAAGAAATTAATAAAAACAAGACAAAAGAAAGAGCTGACCTTTTTGGGGCGCGTGTCTTCGTCCGCAAGGGGCCCCAGGAGTGAGGAAGGGGCCTGGGGAAGGGGAACGATGAAGGGAAATGGGGAAAGAGGCGGAAAGAAAAGAATTGATCGGTTTTGGCTGAAGAAGAGGATGGGAAGAGGAGGAGAAGGCCTGGGGCAAAATGAAAAGGATTACGGTAGTTGGGCCCGCATAGGGCCATCGATCCACCGCCCACAGCCTTCCCCTCTCTGTTTTTATTCTGTTTTCTAGCTTTTTGCCTAGAATCTCTTCCCATTTCTGAATATCTTTTAGTTCTAGGGCCCTTCATTTCTCGTTTCTGTAAGTTCTACATCTTTTCTTGGCCTCTATTCGTCTGAAGTCTTCCCTTCTCACTCCCAACATCAACACTCTTCCCTTCTCATTCCCCACATCTTCTACTTCTCCATTCTCTTCATTCCCCAAATCTTTCCCTCATATTTTCTGCGTTCCCTCCGATCTCTGAGTGATGTCATTGAAATGAGGCCTCCTTTCAGTCAGCTTTTCCCCTTTCTCCTTTCAACGGGATCTCCTTTCAGCGCCTCATCTGACTTCAGGGGTTTCTCTTCTCAAAAAAAAAGGAAAATTCATTGAAATTCGTGTGTTCCCTGTTCTTTTCTATGAAGATATTCATCAAAAACGAACATTAAATGCTTTGCAGAAAATGAAAAAAAGGGATCGGGAATTGGTTGAGACCAAATTGCGGGTCATTGCGGGATCAAATTGAGGGACAAAGTGCTAGGGAATCAACTTTGTTTTAAAATGAGTCATGAGTGATGTCAGGTATACTCTAAAATCCAACAAATTGCAAACTGCAACTAAAAATTAACAGTAACAGCTGACTACGAGATGAGTTTTATCTAGGTGAAACTTCAACGCTTACTTGTCACCAAAAAAAGTCAATTCTAAAAGCGATCAAACGTGTTTTTTCTTTCCAAAAATCAACCCATTGGCATTTCCATGAAAAAGCATTAAAATCTCTCGAAAATCACCTCTCGAAAATCATCATTCCGGTTTTATTAGTTATCGAGGCTATGCCAAATAGGAAAAATCCGGAAAATCATGGCTCAGCGATTTTCTCGCCTTTTTCAATTCGAGACAAGGCGGGAGGCTTTTTTGATTGCCAGAAATCTCGGCAAAAAGCCTGATTGAGATATTGGAATATAAAAAGAAAAAAATGAGGCAAGGAGTCATTTTTCGCTTAATAACATATGATGATCCTCAGGGTGGCCTTGGTTTTGGTGGGAATCGAGATCGGAATCGTGTCCGCGAATATGGGATGGTGAGTGGATCCGGTAGGGTTATTCTCTAAGAAGTGAGCTTTTTAAAGTTATTGTTGAGCTACCTTGCTACTGTTGCTAAAAGCTACCTTACTACTGTTTTTAAAAGAAATCTACTGTCGGTAGCTGCCTGTTAGAGTTTGGATTATTTTTCGCTTAAAATGAGGCTTAGTTTATTAGCTTTTAGATTATTAGCTCATTTTTAGCTGCACTTATTATGTCAAAATCATTCTTAAGATGTTTATCCAGTAGCTAAAAGTCTAAATCATACTAAATCAACAAAAATCCCAAATTTTCATTTAGCGGTTGTGGCCTGCAACTCCCGCAAATCCCATTACCAAGACTGTGCATGATTCCCATTCAAATCCCTTCGATTCAACTCCCGCAACTTTCTCTGCCATGTGGATGTGGATGTGGTGAGTGTTGGGGAATTGATAAAGATAAAAAAAAAAAAAAAAAAAAAAAAAAAAAAAAAAAAAAAAAAAAAAAAAAAAAAAAAAAAAAAAAAAAAAAAAAAAAAAAAAAAAAAAAAAAAAAAAAAAAAAAAAAAAAAAAAAAAAAAAAAAAAAAAAAAAAAAAAAAAAAAAAAAAAAAAAAAAAAAAAAAAAAAAAAAAAAAAAAAAAAAAAAAAAAAAAAAAAAAAAAAAAAAAAAAAAAAAAAAAAAAAAAAAAAAAAAAAAAAAAAAAAAAAAAAAAGATAAAGATAAAGATAAAGATAAAGATAAAGATAAAGATAAAGAACTCATAAAGAACCATTTTATAGTGCAAGAATAATTCGAAATCCATTTCTAGGTGGTGGATGTGGATGCGGTGGTGGAGCTCCACAGCCCTATCAACCCTCTTACTCTTCATATCCGGCTGCTCAACCAGCATATCAAAGGTACAATTTCAAGAATCAATCAATCAACATTCCAAAAGCTATTCAAAATATCGGATCAATCGGATTTAGAATCGAAAGTAAAGAAGTAAAGTGATCTAATGCAAAGTAAAGGAGTACTCTAAAGACCCAATCTCCCGCCACACTATAGAATTCAGTCTATTAGGCTTAGAATGAAAAAAATACAGAGTTTTTAACTTGCTATGGTAAAATTACAATGTCCAAACTGTAACATTCACACATTTCAGTGCCCCCTACCAACCCCAAGCTCCTCAAATCGGCCCCGTCCAAGCAGCTCCACAATTCGAAGCTCAGCCACCAGCACCCCAACCGTCAGTGCTTGAAACTTCTTTGAAATTTGAATCTAGTTCATAATAATGCAGTTAAACTTGTCAATCTTGATAATAATTTGAATTTTAAGAAAATTTGAACAAATTTGAACAAATTTCAGAATGTTTCAACCAGTCTATTCTCAACCCGGAAATGGCGTGGCCGTGAAAGCGAAAGGAGTCCCAAATGAGGAGGTATGAGAGAAATTCTAAATGAATAATTGAATTGAATTGTATTCTTAAACTGAAAAACTTTTGCAATTTGATTGTCTCAGGCTCTTCCCGATCTCGTCAACATGCCCGAGTTGCCGCTTGCAAAAAGCATGAAAATGAAGTTGAAATTGATGTAATTCGAGTTTAAATCAGTAATAATTTAATAAAAATGAAAAATTTATTGAAAAGAGAGACATAAAATGCATGGAAAAGCATAAGGATTAGAATGAAATACCGTAAATATTCTAATAGAACGCCTTACCAAGAATGACGGGTGTACAGTCGCGTAGTCTAACTGTTCCGTCCTCCTTTGCGTCCCCCTCCTTCGCGTCCTCCTCCGCGCTGCTTTACGCTACAGTGTGCGCTTGGGTGTCAAATGATAGTCCTTGAAATCTACTATTTTTTGGTACCAAAAATGTAGTTGGAAAAAATCTAGGGGCTGAGGAAAAAATGGTTTTCTAAAAAGAAGTTAGACGAGGCGACTGTACGAGGGGGTGGCTTTCTATTAGAGTATGTACGGTATTATAATTTAGTTGCTGAAATGAAAATGAACACAGTTTACTTACCATTGTCTTTGCTGCATCAAACGTCGATGATAAATGGATGAATTTGTCGTAAATACCATTCATTACCCAATTCTATTCTCTCAGCACTTCTCCCATTTTTGAAGCAAATTCTTTTAACGCCATTTGGTAAGAATTAACCTGTTTCAAATGTTTGAATTATAAATGTTTGAATTATAAATGTTTGAATTATAAATGTTTGAATTACAAATGTTTGAGTGAATTTCAAATGAATTTCGAATCGAATTGAGGTCGAGAATATTCAAGTAAACTTATCGAGAAATCTGGATTTTCCATTGAGCTGTTTATCAACATGAAGTGTTTGATTGTTTGAAAATCGTTTTGTGTTTTGCAGTGCAGTGCAGTTCAAGTTTTGCAATGTTTTCACTTCTTTGTGCCGGCCATTGAATCAATATTTGTCTAAATTCTAAAGAGTTTTAACTTATGCGAATGAAAATTTTAAAAGAGAGATACCTTTCGAGTTGGTATTGCCTCTTGGGCACTCTCGGAGAAACGTTTATCGTTTCGGATATTAAAAATTGGCAATGAACTCATTTGCAAAAGAAAAGAGACTTCTTTGTTGAGTCGTTAAAGCAACAGTAAAAAAAGTTTTGTCATGTCTTCAACATTTGATTTGTTGGTACTGTTGCTTCCATGTTACTGTAGCTTTTCATCTTTTAAACCCTCACTCCTTGCAATGAAACCGAAACACACGGTTGCAGAACTATTTGAGAAAAGATGGGGAAAGAGTCGAAGAAGCCGGTTGTGAGGGGTGCAAGCCTCCAGGACTCAGGGACAGTCTCTCTTTGGACCTCTTTGCACTTTGGGGATTGCAGGGTGCCCGAAAGAATCTCTAATTTACTATCGAAACCTGTGCCTCTGCATTCCTGTATTCTTTCTCAGGACTTCTGTAGGGATTGGGTCTTTCAAAGGGCTCAGTCTTTCCCTTTTCCCAGCTTCATTGTGTTGTTTGCGTTCACGTCTCCTCGCCTCCTCTTTCCCTCAATTCTCATTCTTTTCGATCGGCTCCTAATTGTAATACAATCAATCGCCTCTCTCATTGAATGGAAAGTCATTTGAATATTGATTTGTTTGTAAAGTTTGATTTTATTTTAATTTCCTAGATATCGCAAAATTTTCATTTATTGATGCACAGCTCTTGTAACATTCAAGACCAAAAAAAGGTGTAATACCATATTTCAAGACAATGCAACAAGAATATGATAGTCTTTCTGAATACTTTTACTGTAGTAGAAGAAGATTGATCTACTGTAGGTCTATTGTAGTAGATTTTATAGTTTTAGACCCTTACAGAGCTTCAGAGTATAGATAACCACTAGATAGCCCTCAAAGAAAAGTCATTTTCAAGTTCTTTCAGTTGCAGTTCTTTTTAAGCACTCCTTTTTTGCTTGAATCTTGAAATTTAAGCACTGCTTTTCTCTTTTCCCTTCAATCGATTTCTTTCACTGACCAGGGACGGATTTTCGATCGGTTCTGGGTTGTTGTTCGCCGATCGGGCAAAGATGGTCCCTCATGTGTTGTTGTGTGGGGGAAATCGAGCAGCTGATGGATATGTTTGAAGTGAAAAGCACTGGGGGTACACTGAGAAATGAAAGAGGAAAAGCGGGGTTCTTCAATGTTTTGTCCAATCAATTTCAAGTTCAACCCAATCTCGTGGTGAATTACCCAAGTTCTTTTTCTGTCTTTGAGTCATTTTCTTGATCATCTAAAATTTCTCTATTGGTGGCTGTCGAAAATTTCTTTCATCAGTTCAAACAATCATCACTTGAGTCATTTTCTTTCATGTACTGACAATGAGATCTCAGCCATGCTTTGAGTCATTTCATTACTTGACAAGTAATGACAAGTAGTCATTTCATTTTCTTGCTAAACAGCTATTATGAAAGTCAAATTTGGCATTCAAAGCTTAGAATTGCCTGAAATCTTTCTAAAAGGTGAGCTTGGGAAAGAATTACCATAATGCCACCTTTCATCTTTCATTATTTAAGAATCCAATGAGCTACGGTAACTTTTCTACCTTATAGAAAACGCTTTACTCAAGAGAAAGAGCTTTACCCGCTTTACCCAACTCTGCAAAAGAGCTTTACCCGCTTTACCCCAACTCTGCAAAAGAGCTTTACCCGTTTTACCCAACTCTGCATATTTACGCTCAAACATAAGTAATTAGTTCCTCTGATAAGTAAATCGATTCTGAAAAGATTCGTTTAGATATGTAAATCTTTGCATAGCTCCTATTAGAGTTCAAGGAAAGAGCTGGACAAGTGGATCGGGTTAAAGACTCCTTTCCTAGACTACATCCCCCAGTCTATGTACTGCTTATGGGCTGACCCTTCCGCCTCCGACCTTTCACTAACGAAAAGGGTTGTGTGTCGATCTCTTTCTCCAGCTATGGATTCCTTTTCGTAATCGAGGCATAGAGGAGGGTTTCTTTGTTGTAATAGTGTGTCCTCCACTCCTCCTCTATTCCCCCCATCTATTCCACTCACTCGCCGATCCTTCACCCAAAACCCTTTTCTCTTTCTTCTTCATCCAATCCACCCATCCACCCGCACGGAACTCCGCTCGGTCGATTATGAAATCTGATAATTGCCGCATTTCTTTTTTGGCTTTAAACCTTAAGAAACGCAAAAACAGCCTGACCTCGCTAACAACGCAAAATAAGCGAAAAACTTTTTATATTATATACAGCTTTTATTGTCTCTTTAAAGATTCAACTAAGCAATTGAATAATTGTAGCAGGGAATTTAAGTTTATATAATGCACTCAACAAGGAAATTTTTTTATTTATTTTTCTCGATTTTTCTGCCATCACTTTGTTCTTCCTCGCCGCTTCTATCGACTTCATAAACCAATCAACATGTCTGATGGAGACGTATTGTTTGCTTTCAATCGTATTGATGTTAGTTGATGTTTACGGGCTAGCTATTAGGAATCTTTCTCAGCTGAGAATTTTTATTTATGCTTTATAACGCTGAGAGGCTGAGAAGCTTTATTATTGCTCTGCTAGCTAGCTACCTTGCTCAGGGGTTTGAGTAGTAAAATTGCTTTTGCTATTGGTTTTAAAGCTAAAGGCTTTAAAGTTGTATGACCAAGTGCCTTTAGTTGTTTGGAGGTATAGGTGGTAGACGTGCTTTTGCTCCTAGTCCTAAATGTTTTAAAGTTTTACGATTTAAAGGCTTCTCGTTAGCAATTTTAACGCTGTTTGCCTAAGATTTGTGTGGTAGTCGTGATTTGCTTTAGGTTTTGTTGAAAAATTTAATGCCTAGGCTAAAGACTTGGTTTCGTAAGTTGAGTTATCTCAAGGTTCCTTGGCTTTTGCCGTTAAATTATAGGGTTAGCTTCATAATTTTTATGATAGTAGCTAACGTTTTCGGTTGCGTATAGATAGGGATTATGTTTCTTTTAGCAAATTTAAAATTTAAAATCTCTTTAAAAGCCCAGTCAATTTTGCCCCGACCCGTTGTTGTTCAATTTCAATCTAAATTTATCATCATTTAGCACGGATGTCTAATCCTAATCTTTCTTCGAATCTTTTATCACCTCCGATGAATCACCGCAATTCCTGCAATTTCCCTAGTCCGGGGCGATGATTTAAATGTGGCGCGGAGTAAGGGGACACGTCGCGTGGGGAGCGTCGCGGCTGAGGGGGCGCCTCACAAATGTTCATTGGCTCTCTCATCTCAGCGCGTTCCCTCTTCTTTGTTCGCGTTTTCTCTCGCTCTCCTCAGCCTCTTCCGAATTCTTCATCATATCTCCCTTCTCCAATCCAGAGACCCGCATTTAACTTCTCCCACCCACCATTTGCTTTTGACGATAATAGCCCGCTAAAGATTTTAAATTTGATTCGCGGGCTTTCATTGGTGGCGATTGACCCGTTTCGACGTTGGGTTGGCTATAAGTAACTGTCTTTTTGAGCATTCGAATTCATTTAGAGATTGCCAATTTCTCAGTCGTTCATTGGTTGTTGCTAACGAGGGTTTTAGATTTAGGATCTCGTGATACGAGCTTCGTTATCTAAAGAAGTTTTCCTGTTAGCATGTTCAACTATTAAGTTCTTTGTGATAATTCATTAGTTTATTAGTTTTGTGGGTCAAACCGATCTAGATGAGTTTTAACTCGTCTAGATCTGGAGCTGTTATTTTTGATCTTCAACTTCTTGCCTATTCATTAATTTTGGAGATTAGTGAAAATAGCAAAGCTTTTTGGGCTTGTCATCACCGGAACTTCGGTTTTAACTTTTCTTAAAATTCCCTTTCTAAATGCATTTTCAATTAAAAAGGCTGAACATCTTGATATTTCCCTATTCCATTCGCGCCTTTCCTCATAGGGTGTGTATGGGTGAGTCAGCCCCTGGGGCGGGTGTGTGCGGTGGTCGCTGTGTCGGCTGGCTGCCTCTTCTCGTTTCTCTGTCTCTTTGGTGTTCTCTCCTGTCCACTGCGCCCTTAGCTACTCACCGTCCCCCGATGCATCATTTATCGATTGACCTTCCATTTCTTCGCCTTCTCAATTTGTTGTTTTTTTCTGAATTACAAATCGATACGTTTTTTTTTCAGTGGCAGCACCTTTGTTTCGTCTTCAGGCAACAAAGAACCTGACAAAATGGTACGTGTTTTTGATTTATACTTAAATTACTCTGATCAAATTGGGAAATATCGCCGGTTAACTTTTGGAATTTCTTTAACAGCATCAAATTTACAATAACCTAAATTGATTATTGCTAATATCCTAATTTTGCGTCAAAATAAAGCATGGGTGTGTGTGCCTGCAGTGTCCTTTTTTCAGTCTACCTCTGGTGTCGCCGTCAACCCCGATGTACAATCCACCTTCATGAGGCTCAGCGAGGGCAGGAAGGATTTCCGGTACATCATCTTCAAGATCGAGGTTTGGCTAGTTTTTGCTTATTCTATAAACTCTTTAATTTTAGGAGCGCGAAGTCGTCGTTGAAGCCGCCATTCCGCAAGAAGAGCTGGGAGTTTCTGGGGACGATTACGAGGATTGCAGCAAGGTATTATTTAAAGCTTCAGGTGTCCTTAGTTGAAATTACTTATTTCAAGATTAGCTTAGTCTAAAAATAAAGTAATCGTATGAAAATGTAATATCAATACAGAGTTAATTTCTTCTCATTTAGGCCGCTTTCGAGAAGTTCGTGTCGGATTTGAGGAGCAAGACAGACGGGTTCACCGATTGCCGCTACGCCGTGTTTGACTTCAAGTTCACCACATCGCGAGTCGGAGCCGGGGTTTCCAAGATGGACAAGATTGTCTTCATTCAGCTGTGGGTTTGAATACTCTTAGATTTGATTTTTTTTCAGCAATGAAGTAGAACTTTAAGTTTCATGCACCTTTACTCTGGTTCAGATTGTAGCTTTGTAGAAAACTTGCTAAGCATCAGACATTGTCCGAAACATTTTTAACTGTTTCGTTTAGTTGCCCCGATGGAGCTCCAATCAAGAAGAAGATGGTGTACGCCTCCTCAGCTTCGGCAATCAAGGCATCGTTGGGAACCGGCAGGATTCTTCAATTCCAGGTAATTTGAATATTTGAAAATTTTGTAGTGACATGTTAGTACTTTGCTGCCTAGTCATTAACTGCAATTAGTGAAAGTCAAAGTTAGGCCGATGTCACCTGAAACTTAAACGTTTACAAAGGATGTTATTCTTTGTTTTTAGGTCTCTGACGAGAGCGAGCTGAGCCACAAGGAATTGCTGAGCAAGTTGACGGACAGATATGCAGACAACTAAGCGCCTTGAGGGGTTCGCCGATCTCATCACACACCCCGATTTATTCACCACATCAACAACTGCTTGTGGTGTGTGTTGCGACCCGTCTCTCAAATAATCCCCTCTTTGTTTGTTTCATAACGTCTGTTCTTTATAAAGTATTTATTCCGTTTATTTTATCTATCAAAATTGTTTGCAACTTGATTCCATTTTTTCGCTAACGACCGATCTGTCTAAGAGCATGCTCGACTTGTCACCCAAGCCCCAGCAATGAATGTTTGCTTCATCAAAACCTTTTGGTGTTGTGAACATTTGTTGTTGTTGGTTCATGTCATTGCCAGCGGCGTTCTGTCACTTCCTTTTCTGAGCTAAACGTGTGTTTCATTGTGTCTTTAATTTATCCGTATTTAATTTGTGTTGTTTATGAATGGCGTTCGAATTCCATTCCGTTCTTTTCCTCTCAAAACGTTTGAAACTTACTCATCCTGCATGCCAATGACCAACACGGCGATATTCTCTTGGGTAAACAATTCCCTTTGACTTGCAGTGAAGATAAGTATCAAGTAGTCTTTTCTCGCGCAAATTTGGTCTCCAAATAAGAAATTTGAGTGCAGCAGGGTTGTGAGCGGTTCGTAGTCATTCCAAACACCCAATTGGACTGGGTAAAAGGGTTAACTTTTTATAGGTTAAACCTCTTGCTTGTTTCTAGCTCTCAACATGTGAACTCCCGGTTAAATTATTTAGTTTCCTCAAAATTTCTTTGCGTGCTTTAGCAAAACGGTCCCCTCGAAAAGTGCTCTCATCTGCAATGCAATTATTTTCTTGATTATTTGTATCAGCTTTTTTGTGATATTTCGTAAAATAAATTTTCTAAGTAATTCAAAAGGAATTTATCAGTAGTGCGAAGGGAAAATAACTCAACTTTACAATACAGGCTAGTGGTGTGAAAGTGGATGCCTCTTGTAAAAACGCCTACGATTCATTGCACAACAAGCACCAACACTCCTACATCATCTTCAGGGTTCGTCTTTGGTATTTTGGGTTGTTAGGCAGATTGCTGTAGCATTTTACCGTAGCTACTTACGGTAATTACTGAAAACTCAATCAAGAACGGATAATTAGGCGTTTCGAGGTCACTCGGTTGTTTTAGAACAAACAATTTAGTCATTATCGAAGTTTATCTGTAAAATCAATCACTTCAAGTTCAGATTTCCGATGATGACACATCGATCATTGTTGAAAAAGCGGGTGAGAAGAATGCGCCATACTCGGAATTCCTCGAGGATATCCGCAAAGCTGTTTCTGGTGGAAAGGAATGCAGGTTGGAACCAGTATAAAGAAAACTTGTGATTACTATGCTTAGAAAAATGGTACTGTATTAGGTATTTTTATAAAGCATTAACTTTTCTAAAATAATTAATTGAATAACATGACCTTGCAGGTATGCGGCAGTTGATGTTGAGGTCACAGTTCAACGACAAGGAGCCGAAGGAGCAAGCAAGCTGAGCAAAATCGTCTTCATTCAATAGTGAGTGCAGTGAATCGAAATCGAGTAAATGAAATGAGTAGGCGCACAAATCTCTATTGAAATTCGAAAAGGAACAATCAATAGGGATCAATTTGAATTCCAGTTGTCCGGACGAGGCTCCCGTTCGGCGTCGTATGCTCTACGCATCATCGGTGCGAGCGTTGAAGGCAGCTCTTGGTTTGGAGTCTCTTATGCAGGTGGGTAAAGATGAAGGATCAAAGCTTGGAAAAATGTAAACAATATACAGCAACAGTTGATCAGCCTATTTATAATAGGTATGACGCTAACGGTAAACCTTGTTTACGCCTTTTTACCAGACTTTTAGTGAAACTTTACAGTACTCTTTAGTACTCTTTAGTACTTTTCAGCTCTTTAGTACTTTCAGTACATTCAATTTGTGAAATCCTTTAAAATCCTACTATTCCGACAAAGACATAAACGAGAATAAACGAGAATTTCAGGTGCAAGCCTCGGATCTTTCTGATCTCGACGAGAAGGTGATCAAAAGCGAGTTGATGGCCCACCAAAGGACATAAATATCACAACAATCCCCCATTCGGGTCACACGAACCGATAATAAAATTACTTTTTTTTTTTTTCAAATTCAATCCCATCGAAATCGTTTCTTTTTTGTTTGTGTATAAAGAAATTCAAAGGAAATTTCTAGTCTTTTTTTTTGTTCTCACTCTTATAAAGCTCAATTTTTTCAAAATTGCATTTGAATTATCACGCAAGATTTGCCACAAATACCTTTTTTTTTACTTTTTCCTTTTAAAAATAAAGTGTGATTCAAAAGATAAAAGAAAAAAGAAAAACATTTGAGGTTGAGGTAGAAAGTACAGATATTTTGAGGAACAGTACAAGTACAGGCTAAAAAGAGGCATCAATCTTTTCTAGCGAACAGTACAGAACAGTACAAGTACATGCTAAAAAGAGGCATCAATCTTTTCTAGCGTACAGTACAGAACAGTACAGAACAGTACAGAACAGTACAAGTACAGGCTAAAAAGAGGCATCAACCTTTTCTAGCGAACAGTACAGAACAGTACAAGTACAGGCTTAAAATAGGCATTAATCTTTTCTAGCGAACAGTAGAGAACAGTACAGAACAGTACAGAACAGTACAGAACAGTACAAGTACATGCTAAAAGAGGCATCAATCTTTTCTAGCGTACACAAATTATACATTTCTTTGTAGAAAAAGCTGATACTGTTAGAAAATTGATGGATTAAATGTACTGGATAATGTACCGGATAATGTACCGGATAATGTACCAGATAATGTACCGGATAACGTACCGGATAATGTACCGGATAATGTACCGGATAATGTACGTTTACGTTCTTGAGTGCAAAGTGCATTTGCCAAACTCTCATTGGTACTAATCAAGCTTGACCACTCTTGTGAGAAGCTTTTCCCAAAAGATTTCTCGCATTTCTTCAAAGATTCACTCAAGCATTCATTTCTTTTGTTTTTCCGAAGAGAGATTACACCATTTACTCGATTATTCGTTGGGAATTTCTTCCACCAAATCTCAACGATGCAGGAAAGGAGGCTCTCTAGATTAGAGGAAGGGAAAGGAGGCTCTCTAGATTGTCTAACTACGAATTTTCTGTCCTAGACAAAATGGTAGTCTGCTTTTATGTATCAACGAAACTTTTGTCTTTTCATAATGTGTAAACTCACCTTTTGGGCTTTTCGTTTCTTTTCTAGCTTTAAAGTTGTAATATGTGAGCGCTCCTCTCTAAAATCTGGTCCACTGGTTCTAGCGAATCAGAAACGGTTTGTTTCCCAAGGTCAGAAACGGTTTGTTTCCCAATTTTAAGTACAGGGTGCGGTAAAAGTTTGGAGCCGCTTCTTAAGATAGTTAAAGGTTTAAAAACTAGCTTTAAAAAGTTAGAAATTAATAACAAATTCTTTACTCGAAGCATAACAACAAATAACTTATAACAAATGCTCGAAATATCCACCATCCGCTTCGATACACCTCTTTAAAACGCTTTGGGAAGTTCCTCACGATGGTGGCGCACGCTTAAACAGTTATTTGATCCCAGACTCGTTCCAGAGCAGATTTTAAAGCATCCACTGTTTGATATGTCTTCATCGAGATCTTGCCTTCCAAAATAGCCCAAAGTATAAGATATAAGAAGAAATTATTAGAGCTTTTCTAGTGATCGATTCGTATTTGTATTGTGAAATAAGCATGGATTAGTATTTTTGTGTTGTGAAAATACTTGGGTACATCTCTCTTTTTGGCAAGGGCTGTTTCAAGGAGATGGGAAAGAGGAAAAGAGGGAGAGATGATGATGATGATTACTTTTGATCTCCATTTTCAGAGAGATGAGCCTTTTTGGAGACTTTTAGACTCGAAAAAGCATTCGATGAGTAGCTTTCGAGAGTTTAAAAATGTTCTTTTTGTTTATCTTTTGCTACAAGATTATGAGATAAGATTTGGATTTATTGATTGATGTGTAAGAAATATATGTTTATGTTTTGATCTATATAATTTCTTGTGAGACCGTGTCTCGGTGTGGTTCAATAGTGGTTCAATAGCAAGTAGTAGTTCAATAATTCAATAGTTTCAATTCTTGAAAAACGCACAATTTATCCAACTTTCCCTTATTAGGCTTCGCTTCGCTTTCAACTTCGTTCAAACTGGAGCAACCTGGCACTATCACAATTAATTCAACACTTGCATATGAAAAAGGGATGATAAAAAGCAAAAAAAGGAGAACAAAAACACACTAAAAAAACAAAAGCTTAAAAAACGGGTTTTTTTAAGTATACAAGCTGCAAAAAACGGACAGCTGAATATCGTCTAGTGACTGATTACGGTAGCTTATCCATCAACTTTCAATTTTAACTTGTATATTGAATTTTTGACTAACTGCAGAGCAGTGGCAATTCGCCACATGATGGTCGATTTAAAGCTTTGTTCAAAGCATTACCGCTAATTCTTTGTAATTCTTTCAAATTCTTTCAAATTCTTTCAAATTCTTTCAAATTCTTTCAAATTCTTTCAAATTCTTTCAAATTCTTTCAAATTCATTTCATTGTTTCCCTCAAAAAGCTAGTCAGCACATAGTTGAACACATTGAAATGCCCCCTTTTTCTTCGATAAAGCTGACAAAAGGTGTGTGTGCCAACAGTTGTCACTAAACACCGATTATTCACTTTTGATGACAGCTTCTTTAACTTGGAAGGGGATTTCACTCAACGAGAGGAAATGTTCACACTTTTAGTCGCCATAGCCTTTCAAGAGGATTTTGATAGATAGCTTTTAAAATCAAGAATTGAAATTGATCTTTTCTCAATCATCTTATTGTAGATGATTGAGAAAAGGCTTGGCATCAGCTTTTGATCTCACGATCACGATCAGTTAGGTAGATGTGAGATCTACCTAACTGATCGTGATCGTGGTGAGCATCAGTTTCTGTTTCAGTTTCTTGATTCTGTTTTGGTTTCAAAGTTGATGATTGATGCTCTATCTATCTAATCTTCAGTCTTGGCTGGTCTTGAACAGACTTGGTTAGCTTCAAAGATGGATTCAAGCTGTACTAATCGTCTAATCAATGCAGCTAAGTTAGGTAGAGCATCCAAGTAATCCAATGTTTAATCTATGTCAATGCGTTTTCCTTGTCGATTTCCCCTGTTGATCTCAAGTTACATAGTATCGCCGTCTGTGAAAAGGAAGGAAAAGGAGTTGATGTGTAAATGCGGTGTCAGAAAAAGGATGGAAAAAGAATGGAAAAAGGAAAGGAAGGAAAGGGGAAAGCCATTCATTAGCCTGTGTCCATTCATTCGCCATCTATTTCAGTGTCCGGATTTGACTTCTGATTGTCGCTCATTTCCATTCTGTCACTCATTCCATGTACGACATTCTGTTTCTTCTCCCTCACATACTTTGTGCCCAAAAACGGCAACACACACTAGATCTTTTTCGTTAGAAACAATTATCAGCAGACAGATAAACAATTATCTTTCTGGTGCATTGAAATCTTCAATTTCTCACTTCAAGCCAATGAGACAAGAAAATTCAAGAAATGAACGCATCAGAAAGGGTGTCCTTTCGATTTTCTACACCACAAAGTACCCATTAATGAGTATTACATTGTTTTCCTGCTCAAAAATGCCAAAGATTCCCTTTCTAGTACACTGAAAAGTATCTCAATTTTCATTATTCTTAACCAAAGTTGTAAGCAAAAACTCGCTTCCCAAGCTACCTTTATTTTCTCTTTGATCTTTTTCTCTTTCTTTTCCCTTATCCAATCCTTTTCTCATTCATTTGAGATCCTCAAACTCTCCCTCATAAATCCACGACCAATCGCTCGTCTCTTTTCCCCCGAAAAAATCTTTTCTATACAAAAAGAAGCCAAGTAGTGACTTGAGCAAAACATAATGACAAAAAACTTTATACTTCTATTCTTATTCTTTAGACCTCGAGAATGCCAAAGGATTTAGTTAATCTTATTCTATTGGATACTATTTTAGCCTTATCTATTTTCTAGTTCTATTTGGTCTGTAGTTAAGGAAAGGCGGGGTTAAAAGAGAGACTAATGTAATCACTAATAAGAAGACTTTCACTCAATGTGTTTCAATTTTGATACTCTCCGGCTTTCCGCTACATTCTCAATTCAAAACCCAAAAGATTTCTCTTCTAAATCCCCTTGTTTTCCCTTTACCTAATAGAAATCCTTCCAAATCAAAAGCTTTCCACCTTTTTCGATGAAATGTCAGTGAGGGCCACTTTTGACATGCAAAACGGGTAGAAGAAGAAGAAGAAGAAAAGAGAAAACATCAATGGACAAGTAAAAGAAAGAAAGAAAGAAGAAAGAAGAAAGAAGAAAAAGAAAGAAAGAAAAGGAAAGAAAAGGAAAGAAGAAAGAAAGAAAAGGAAAGAAAAAGAAGGGGCGATTATTTTCCACGCGACTTCCCCACGGGGACGGAGATGGAGGAGCTGGAAGTGGAGGGGATGCCTCCATCTCCTCCAAATCCAGGGCCCTCGTTTATAAACATTCTAAGAGATTAGATCAATCTAGTCCCCAGCTTATTGGTGAATCTCGTGAAGTCATTTTTTGCATTTTGAAATTAATTTTTTGCCAAACCAGTCTAAAACCAAGAAAACCAAATGATTTTTGTTCTTTTCCGTGAAGTTTTCTATTAGAATTGATTTTGTTATAGGATTTTCTTGTTAGATTTTGTTCCAATAGCAATCCGCTTCCTAAAAAGTAGAGAATTTCGAAAAGTATTGTAATCTTTTTATAGATTTGTTTGATTGCTTAAAATCTGCGAGCTTTCTTGTCTATTTTCCTTTTCTCCGTTTCCTTTAAAATTCCCCGAACTTGTCACCACATCCTTTTCACTTCCGGACGTCACTTCGTCAACTACACAAAAAAGTTTGCCAAAAAAACAACGAAGAAAAAGAAGCAGTGTTTTTTCCAAAAGTTTAGCTTTCTTTAGCTTTCTTTAGCTTTTTTAGCTTTCTTTACCTTTCCTTGGCTTTCCTTGGCTTTCCTTGGCTTTCCTTGGCTTTCTTTACCTTTCCTTGGCTTTCCTTGGCTTTCTTTACCTTTCCTTGGCTTTCCTTGGCTTTCCTTGGCTTTCCTTGGCTTTCTTTATCTTTCTTTAATTTTCTTTAATTTTCTTTAGCTTTCTTTAGCTTTCTTTTTTGGTTTTTGATTTTTTTCTGAGAAATTTCTTTTGAACAGGTGATTTATTTAGATCTTTCTTCCTAACAAAAGTCAAAATTTATCTAAAATGTGATGCCAAATGATGTATTTTCATTGCAATCTATTTTTTCTTCTTTTTTATTTATTTTTGATGGGAAAAACACAAGAACTGACGAATTGTTTGGAACAATGTCGATGTGATGAACAAGAGAAAACGGTTTGTGATTTCGAGATGTTCATTGTGAGGTAATACAATTGAACATTGAAACATTGGACAGCTAAGCCAAGTCGAGCTTATCTAGTACTTTGTGCTTAAATCTATAAACACACCGTTTTTAGTGCACTCAACTCTATTTCCCAATAGTTTTTCCATTCGATTTCAAAAGCCAAGTGTTTTCCAGATTGGAATTGTACCAGATTGGAAATTTGAGAGTAAAGGAATAGGGAAAAACATTTGGGAAATCGATTGTGTCAGTGCTGGATTTAAAAAAGTACAACTGAATCAGAAAATTGACAAAAAATTGAGTTCAAAGTTTCAAAAAGTGGATTGAATGGATTGTAACTGGATTGAAGAGTGGAGAATGAACGCTGATAAAGAGTACATCCAGAAATCCTGATTAGTAAGAAAGAGTACATCAATCCTGATTAGTACAAAGAGTACATCCAGAAACGTACAAAACACTTCAAACTACACTTTTTATCGATACCAAGGCTATTTCTCATTTCGATTATCATTTAAAGTATTCAATTTCAAAACCTAAACTTTACTTTTAGGTGATTTGCGAGGGGAGTTCGATCACTCAACTCCCACAAAGTATCCCATCTGGCTTTGATGCATTGATCATCAAAAATACAACAATTAGGTAACTCTTGAAAAGTTTTCGGAAAACTGTTTCCATTCAGCCACTTGCTAAAGGAATCTTTTCGAAAAATGGATCGTCTTCGAGAAATTCGGATCGAGGAATGTCAGCAATTGGAATCAATTGAGAAACTTGCGTTTAAAGGATTGAGAAGGTTGAGGTAGGATTAGTTGGAAATATAATATATATATAATATGAATAAGCTACTTATTCATTTCCAGATTGATCTCCATTCAAAATTGTCCAAAACTGAGAGAATTGTTGAAGGGATCATTTTCGGGGATTGGAAACGAGAATGGGTTGAAGATTCGAGTCGAGACACCGATCAAGATCGTTCATCCTGGAGTCTTTCGGTCAGTGGGCAATGGCGGGTTGGATCTGGATCTGGATTGGATCTGGATCTGGATTGGATCTGGATCTGGATCTGGCAATTCTTAAGCATTCGCAGCAATTCTTAAGCAATTTACAGTTCAATGATTGGGGCAAGCTGAGAAAATTGGTCATTCTTGAAGGAAAAGAGCTGCAAAAGTATCAGTAGTGCAAAAATTTGAGTTGAAATTGTAAGCTATTGCACTACTAGGGTGCTCAAAGGCTAGGAGTTCTTAAATAAATAGATAAATCGATCTAATATATATAAAAGAGCAGTGTCTGTCTGTCTGTTTGTACGGGCATTTTCTCGACCGTGTTCTAACCAAAAGCTAAAAAATAAAGCTAAAACTTCTTTAGAAAACCTCAGAATACATTGTAGTTGTGCCATTTAAAATTAAAAAGTTAAAAGAACAAAATGAATGGCACTACAGGAGTCTAACCGGGATCGTACCGGGATCGGGATCGAACCGGGATCGTACCGGGATCGTTCGGGTCGTCAAAAGCGCGCTCCTGACTGCCCCACATCGACCATCATCCCCAAAAGATCCAACCAGAAAAATCCGTCGTTAGGCTGGTAAATGAATAATTCCCAAAATTGAACAATAATCTATTGCCCACAATCAAAACGGAAATTTTTCGGCCTGGCGAACAGCCCCGTTTAGCTCAGTGGCAGAGTGTCGGCCGTCGTATTCGGACGGAGTAATGTTAGGTCGAGGGCTCAATCCCTCTAGTCGACAATCTCCTTGCTTTTTTTGGTGCAATCATTTTTGGGATTGAAAACTTCAGTAATCTTTAGTCACGCTCAAAACCTCCGCGAATTGGTGATCACTGGCGAGGAGATGATCGTTCAAAAGCACGCTTTCTCTTGCATCACTCAACTCGATTTTCTCACATTAACAGGTTCAAAAAAAAGCTTCATAATAACAAATTTGGCTATAAATTGGCTATAAATTGACCATAAATTGTGTTATTTGCAGGAATTTCCCGAATCGAACCTCATCTTTTCATGAATTCCACGAGATTCTACACGGTTAACATTCGGGAATCAAATTTTGAGATCCCAAAAGAAGCATTCACTGATTTGGCTCATGTTCATCAGGTGTTTTTATTTTGCTTCAATTTGTTTTAGAAACGTAATCATTAGGTTAAATTATGCCAGAAGAAGTGTTTTTGGCTTCAAAAAATGTTTTTAGAGCTCATTTTTAGAGCTCATTTTTAGATCTCTTTCCTATGTGTATCCCCCTCATCACACTATAGAAGCGCGTACTTTGAAGCGCTAAAACTCGGAGTGGGAAAGAAAAAAGAAGCTTTTTTCGATAAAATGCGATAAAATAATCAAAATTTATGTGATTTAGTTAAAGATTTTGAGATTTTGAGATTTTACATCGGATTTTAGCTCAAATTTCACGAAAACTTTCTTGATGACTGAAAGATTTTTATGTAACGCGAATTGTTTCCCCTCCCGCCTCCCCCGCCTCCCCTTTCCATCCTTTGCCATTCCTTTGCCCACCGTTCTTACTATTTCAATCGAATTTCCAAATCGATTCCTTTCTATTTCGATTTCGATTTCGATTTCTATTTCTACTTTCTTTTTCTTATATAGATGACTCAAACATTCGCTTCATTCTCGATTTGACTAATCGAATAGATTCAACTAATCGAATAGATTCAACTAATCGAGTAGATTCAACTAATCGAGTAGATTCAACTAATCGAATAGATTCAACTGCAACATTTTAACTCCCCAAAAATTTTGATTACGTTCAAAAAGCTGTAACTTGCTTTACTAGATCGAATACATGAGATTTTAGCTGAAATTTCACGAAAACTTTCTTGATGACTGAAAGATTTTTAAAGATTTGATAAATTGAACAAAAATTGAGTGAAATTGAACAAAAATTAAGCCAAATTGAGCCAAATTGAACAAAATTGAGCGAAATTGAGCAAAAATTCAATTTAGTCTAAAATATTTGAGATTTCTGAAATGGTTAAAAGATAGTTTTTGGAAAGAAACATGAAATCTGGGTGTTGAAAATTCTTTGCACAGCTTTTGTTGCACATTTTTTACCGGCGACGCAACCCTTGAAAAGGGAAATTTTTTGCCTGTCCCCCCAGCCCGTTTAGCTCAGTGGCAGAGCGTCTGTCTCGTACTCGAACGGGGTAACAGAAGGTCGACGGTTCAATCCCGTCAGTGGGCAATCTTTTTGATTTTCATTTGAAATGATTGAAGAATTGAAGAAAATAAAGTAAACAATCATTTTTCAGTTCTTAATTCAACGAAGCAAGCTGCCATTGATTGGAATGGATGCTTTTGCAGGTGCGAGTACAATTGAATCTCTTGAATTTGTCGACAATTCGATTGGAACGATCAGTCCACATGCGTTTTCAGGTAAAATTGTATTGTAGGCATTGTATTGTAGGTATTGTATTGTAATTCAGGTATTGTAAAGTTCAGAAGAAAAGTTGCTTTAGGTATAACAAATTTGGGTCGATTGCGGATATCGAGAAATGTGATCAAGAATCTTGACTCGCCCGAAGCCGTCCTTTCAAATGCTAATCAAGTAACTTTTGAAGAGATCACTAAATATCATTCTTACGGTCTAATAGTGAAAGAAAAACTTTGAATTTCGAATACTCCGTTTCCGTTTAAGCTCCGTTTCGAAGAGAACATTGTCGGGTGCAATTGTGGAATCAAATGGATCGGAGCACATCCGGTAAGGAAAAAATACCCACAAATTCTTTCATTTTTCGTTTTAGAATCATAAGAAATCATAAGAAAAGAAAGAAAGAAAGAAGGAAGGAAGGAAAGAAAGAAAGAAAGAGAGAAAGAAAAAGGTAGAAGATAGAGCAGAGAATGTCTGGAACAACAGAATGAACCTTATTCTCTCTAACTTACAAATAATTAGCAAGGCTTAGGCTTAGGCTCAGGCTCCTTTGTGGTGTGGATCTCGAACCCTCTCGGCATCCGATCATGTATACAAAATCATCTATACCCAATCATGTATACCAAATCATCTATACCAAATCAGTAAAAAGTCACAAAATGGCTCATAATCAGCCTTATATGAAGAGTCAAAAGTATCTCAAATTACTTAAATTTTGTTCTCATTTCATTTCTATAACATTTTTAGACTTATAATCCAGTTTTTAGCCCAATCGGTTGAAGAAAACAATTGAAGATTTGAAGATTTGCATTGAGGATCGTTTTTTTTTCACCAGTCATTTTTTAAGCGTTCATAAAAAATGATCTTTTGATGCTGTAATCATGAAATCTTCAACATTTACAGAAAATTTTATGAATTTTCATTTAAAAAGACAAAATGAATCATTTTCATCTACAAATAACAGAAATATAAGCCTAGAAAAAAGAACGGGGGTTATCTTTCTAGTCACCGTGTATTAACAGAGCTTCAAATGGCCTTAATTTCACTTATACCCAATTGAGTGGGCTAAGAATTTGAATAGAGATCTGAAAATTTTATATAAATGAAATGATAACAAAGTTTTTAAATAATGAGAGTTATTTTTGAATGAAGCTGGCTTTATATAAGGCAGATTATGAGCCGTACTTGTTCCCGTACTTGCTGCTGTACTTGTTCCCGTACTTGCTTCCGTACTTGCTGCTGTACTTGCTGCTGTACTTGTTCCCGTACTTGCTCCCGTACTTGCTGCTGTACTTGCTGCTGTACTTGTTCCCGTACTTGCTTCCAGTACTTGTTCCCGTCCTTGCTATTCCCTTCAACTCAAAAAACTTTTAAAAAAAAATTTGAAGAAATGATGAATTTAACAAATGCAAACAAACAATATCAATGAATGAATTCAATTGCGCCTTGAATCAATCAAAATGCAAATTTACAGGACCGCCGCCTTGCCGACTCGAATTATTGTGGTGCAATCGGTGTCCACCGCACTCTCCGCAATTTCATTCGTTTAACCTGTGATCCGACATCGAATTTCTATCAAAATACCACAAAATCCCCAACAAATTACACATTTAACTATAAAGTGACAGCGCATGTGTCATCTTCTCAAAGAAATCACCTCCATTTCCCGATTGTGATCAATTTGATGCTCATTTTTCGATTTTACCAAATTTTCTGAGATTTTTTAGATTTAAAACTGTTTAAACTAAACTGTTTAAACTGTTTCCCTGTTGTAGAGTTGTGGAAAATGAAGTTCTGTTTTGAAATGTCGAATTTTCGTGTGAAACTTTGAAACTACCTCAGTAAAATCTTGAAGTCTACTCATTCTCAGTCTACTCATCTCTCCGGTGTTCTTTTTTGTGTCTTTCTTCTTTATTTTACAGAATTTTATCAAATTTCAATGAGATTTCATTGAATTTATTTGAATAAATATCGAAGGATTTTTATAGATTAAAGAATTCTATAGATTTCTATAGATTAAACAATTCGATAGATTTCTGTAGATTAAACAGTTCTATAGGTTTTTGATAGATTAAAGAATTCTGTAGATTAAACAGGTCTATAGATTTTTATGGATTAAACAATTCTATAGATTTCTATAGATTTCTGTAGATTACACAATTCTATAGATTTCTGTAGATTAAAGATTTCTATAGATTTCTATAGACTAAACAATTCTATAGATTTTTGTAGATCAAAGAATTCTATAGGTTTCTATAGTTTAAAGAATTCCATAGATTTCTATAGATTTCTATAGAATAAACAATTCTATAGGTTTTTGATAGATTAAAGAATTCTATAGATTTCTGTAGTTTAAACAATTCTATAGATTTCTGTAGATTAAACAATCCTATAGCTTTTGATAGATTAAAGAATTCTATAGGTTTCTGTAGATTAAACAGTTCTATAGATTTCTATAGACTAAACAATTCTATAGCTTTTTATAGATTAAACAATTCTATAGACTTCTAGATCTTCAAGACAATGAATGACAAAACTCAAGGTCACTGTTTGCTTAAATTTCAAACACAGACATTCAGCTAGTTAGCATTTGATTTCTTTCACAAGATCAGGAAATTATTTTGCCTTTCAGAGCGAAAAGGTTGACGAAAACTCGCTGTGTTAACACGTTAAGTGTTGAGTGTGTTCTTTGCATTGGATAAATCAATTGGTTTACTTTATATTTCTTTATATTTCTTTATATTTCTTTATATTTCTCGTTTCTCCACTTCAAAAACCTGAAGTGGATATTAAAGAATTGGACGAAACAAATATGAAATAAGATCTCTTTTAGAAGAATTTTCAATTTTCAATTTTCATTTCCATTAATCAATGTGGCTTTTCTTGTTTTCTTTATTCCTTGATTCAACTCAAGGATTTCAATGTAATACGGTGAGTCTAAAAAGCTGAAACACAACACATTTTAGAATAAAAGAAAAACATTTTCCATTTGCCTTTTCAGGCTTCATCTTCAACTAAATCCCTGCAATCATTTGCCCAAACAAATTGCACGGAAAAAGTCGAAACTTGTTTTTCCGCTTATTATTTATTGGATGGAAAAGTGGAAGAGATCAAGAAATTTTGTGGCCCGCTTGAGTATCGATGTCAGGTAAAAGTCGAGAAGCGGGTTAGCGCTTGGAAATGGGTTAATATTACTGTAGCTTTTTATTCTAAAATCATTAGATTTCACTTATTAGACAGTATTAGTCAAAATCTCTGTAGTCAGAATCCCTGTAGTCAGAATCCCAGTAGTCAGATTCCCGGTAGTCAGAATCCCTGTAGTCAGATTCCTGTAGTCAGAATCCCTGTAGTCAGAATCCCTGTTGTCAGAAACCCTATTGTCAGAAACCCTGTTGTCAAAATCTCTGTAGTCAGAATGCCTGTAGTATCAATCACTTTCAGGAGGCTGAACGCCCAGCGAGAGGCTACATTAAAGGTTGCACAAAAAAGACCACTTCACTTAAAGAATGGGTGAAACACTTTTCTATTTAAAAAGCCAAAAAACCAGTTTCAGATCGAGTGCTGTTGCAGTGGGGAAAACTGTAATGAGAAAGATTTTCAAGGAAAAGATCGAACAAGTTTCGAACGATCGATTCGATTAAATCTTTATCTACTTTCTGGGATTTTGTTTCTGCTAAAAGTTCGAGATAATGTTTGAAATAAAACTCTGGAATTTTAAAATAATACACTGTGATTTGTGGAGTGCAAAAAAGCTTCCAAAACCACGTTTTGGTCATCCAGTAGAACGTTATCCAGTTAAGCAGAAATTCCGAAGTGGTTTAGTTACGCAAGAACAATGATTTTATTTTGCTTTTGTTGAATTATCGCTATCAAAAAGGATAAATAACAATCTTGATAAATCAATTGAAACTTTAGACACTATTAAATGACATTTTTACAACAGATTTGTGTTTAGATTGAAAAATTTGAAGTTAAAAGGAAATTTAGATCGGATGATTTGTGCAAAAAAATCTTTTCTAGATTGGAAAAACTGACTTTTACACAGCTTTTACAGCTTTTACAAATCCTTTACAGCTTTTACACAGCTTTTACAAAGCTTTTACAGCTTTTACACATCCTTTACAGCTTTTACAAAGCTTTTACAGCTTTTACAAAGCTTTTACACAGCTTTTACAGCTTTTACAAATCCTTTACAGCTTTTACACAGCCTTTACAGCTTTTACACAGCTTTTAAAGCTTTTACACAAAAATCACGCAAATCTAAATCTACTTTTAACTTTTAATCATTGTAATTTGCTGAATTACAATGATTTTCAAGGAAAATCTTTAATTCGGGAATCATTGTATCTAATTGATGCAAAAAAAAACACGAGAAAAGATCTCTCAATCTCCAAATTTCATTCATCCATTTTTATCCACGTTTTATATCTTTTTGTGCTTGTTTAATGTACTTTTTTTTTATTTTGTCTTTCGTTTTCCTTTATTAACCAGATATTAACCAGATTCAGTGGTATCAATCGATTTTTGTTCCTTTTCATTTTCTTAGCTTAAGATTTACGCCCAGCTAGCCTTAAGTACGGGGAAGTACTTAAGGTACGCCAGGCCAAGTCAGGTTACCGTCTTTTCTCTAATAGTAGTGCACCCCAACGAGCCGAGTTGGTCACTATTTTACGGCTTTCAAAGTTTTCCCAGAAGCTCAACGCTCAAATTATCTACTAGATCTCATCGTCAGCTACATTTTCCGACCTCACATCGATAGGTTCTGATAAGCGGTTCTCGAGATTTCGAGGAATTTAGGTGAGGCTCAGGGTGCACTACTATTAGAGAAAATACGGTAAGTGACACTGATTTCAATCCATAATTATAGATGATAAAAAGACTTTGTAACTAGACAAAGTTCAACTTTAGAGAGCAAACTTTTATTTTAAAATCTTTATTTAACATCAATGAAGATTAACAATGAAATTCAAAGCTATCATTATTAGCCGAGCATGCTGTCAATCGTTTAGGAATCGTCATGCTGTCGATCGTTTAGGAATCGTCAATCGTCGTGCTGTCAATCGTTTAGGAATCGTCAATCGTGATGCTGTCAATCGTTTAGGAAAGGCTTTCACAATGTCGACGAAATAAACATCATCGAGTGCAGGCTTTTGAGGAAACTTTTCTTCAAAATTTCAAAATTTCAATATTTTTATGCGCTTTTGAGGAGGCTTTTACCTTAAGAATGGACAAAATAATCTATGAGCTATAATCTATCAGCTATAATCTATGAGCTATAATCTATCAGCTTGAGATCTATCAGATTGAGATTGAGCGAGCTGGGTGACCATTCAGAAAGAGATGAAATCACGAAACTTCACTTTGCAACTCACTTGGACTTTGCAGCTCACTTGAAAAAGCGAATGCGCATGTGAAAGTGAATAAAATGAAGTAAACCATTCACTTCTTGTGAACAAAAATTGATAATTTGATCTTTCCATAAATATTTTTGTTGATTTTTCTTTACGAAACACAAAGTCGATGAAATTTTCTCTAAAAATCTTTCGCTTTCCTTTCTCGGAGCTCATTTTTATGGTCTAATTTTCAAATTTTCATCGCGAATCGCTACAAATTTCATTTAAACGAAAAGCTCATTACAAAAAATGTGAAAATTTAATGGATCCCAGAGGTTTTTTTTGAGAAAATTCAATAAAATTTCCATAAAATGAGATTGTTTTCATCTCTGATCTCATCTAGACAATCCTATATTATATTATAAACAATCCTATACTCCAAGCATGATTTTATTCCTTCTTTCGTTATTCATCCGATTGTCGATGGCTCTTCACTGTTATAATGTAACTTTTTACAACTATAAAGCAGCTCTATAACTATAAAGTTCACTATAAAGCACACATTTCTAGGACACTGATGTCAGTTTGAACTTTGTCTTCCCTCTAGGCACTTGATCGGCAGCTATGGGAACACAAGCATTGAGTTGTATGAAAGGAATTGATTATGTGTCGGGAACACAGACGAAATGGTGCTCCACCACGACGAATTGCACCGTTAGTACAAGAGAAACAGTGAACACTCAACAAAAGAAAGAAAAGAATGGTGGAGAATTGAACCCTCGACCTTCTGCTTACCAGGCTAATGCTTACCAATGAGCTGTCTATGCCCTCTTTCCCCCAAGAAGTAATAGGAAGGACAAGGAAGAAAGAGAGGGAAATACCGGTCTTCAAAGTCATATATGACAAGGAAAACTGGTGACAGAGTTGTAGACAATATTGACTGAGCTTTTTGTGGATGAGCTGTAGGCTGTAGGCTGTAGTAAAGCGAGCAAAAGGTTAGGCTCTGGTCAGTCAGCCTAAAATCGCTTTTTTACAGTTTTCACAAATGTTGTGCTTTCAGTTGAACGGGGCAGGGCACCTACTGCAACAATATCTCCACATGGAATGATCGAAATGAGGTAAGATTTGAAGAAATTTTTAACGTTAAACTTTCTAGATGGAATGTTGTTGTTATGGAGACGCGTGTAATGGAATTTCCCATCGTTTTCAAAAAGAACATTTCTTGTTTTTCATTTGTTTTAGCTCAATTCTATTTTGAGAAAAAGTGAATTGTGATAGAAATTGATAGAAAGATAAATATTGAATATAAAAACAAGCAAGCAAGATCTGAAACTAAGAAAACCCTACAGTACCCAAGTGACAGTAACCCTACAGTACAAGTGACAGTAACCCTACAGTACAAGCGACAGTAACCCTACAGTACAAGTGACAGTAACCCTACAGTACAAGTGACAGTAACCCTACAGTACCCAGGCTACAGTAGCCTTACAGTACTCAGCTACGATACTTCTGTGCATGTTTACACTAATCCTGTGGCTAATTTTACAGTAAAATCAGTGGATAAGCTACAGTAGTTAGAGTGAAGAAGTTAGAGTCCACAGATAGGTAAAAGATTGAACAAGTTATGGTAACAAAGAAGCCTACAGCACACTCAGCTACGATACTTCTGTGTACGATCTTACAGTACTTCAATGGATAAGCTACAATCCTACAAAAATCTACAGTGCCCCAATGAACGCTCTCAAATGGATACATGAACACTTTTCTATCCCAACCCTTATATTATCACTTTTGTAGACATTAATACTTTACTACTGTTATCTAGTAGCTACTAGAACTAGTAGAATTCACGTCTCTCATTTTTAATCGCAATTTCAACATCAGACATGACTTTTCTTTACGAAATTTCTCATAAATTGAGATTTTTTTCATTTCGCGATCACATAAAATTCCCATTTCACTTACAAAAGTCCCCCAAGTTTAAGAGTTACTAGTTTCATTTTCAAAAGTTATTCAAGCTGTTTAAAGTGATGAATTTGCTCTTTTGCTTGGTACTTGTTGGATCAACGGTAGCCTTGCAATGTTATCAGGTAAGAGCTATGGATTAACCGATATCTAGTACTGGATATATACTGGACTGATTCGCTTCGTTTACCGGAGTCCAAGTCTACTTTTGCACCGCAATCTATGCACAGAAAATAAAGGCCCCAATTTCAGGGCAACAACGTAAACCTTGCCTATGTTTTCGCGTCGACGGATTGCGGTGGAAGTCAGTACATGACCTGCATGAAAAACATTGACTACGTGGCTGGCACACAAACAAAATCGTGTTCCCCAATGAATTGCACGGTGAGTTCAGAAGTGCCGATATTTGGTCAGTTATTTTCGGCCTGTCCCCAACGTCGCCATGGCCGACTGGCTAAGAGCCTTGTCGAGTGGGAAAGGTCTTAGGCCAGAGGTCGGGGGTTCAATCCCGCGCACGGTCATTTTTCTCATTTTTTTTCTTTCCTATATTTCGGACTTGTTTGTGTTGTACTTGTGCATAGTTTGTACTATATTTGTACTAAGTACTTTATGTCTCTTTTCTCTTTGTCTCTTGTTCTTTAATATGTCTCTTTTCTAGCTAAACGGCCAACAAAACGCACCAGCGAACTGCAACAATATCTCTCAATCGATCGATCAAAATCAGGTAAAAGCCAGCTTTGGATCTAGATGAGCTCTAGATAATCTAGATAAGCCAGCTTTAAACTTTCAAAATCATTTTAGATCTCTTGTTGTTGTTATGGAGATTCTTGCAATGGAATCTCGCATCGTTTCGGAATCGAAAACTTTCTTCTGATTTTGGCTGTGTTCTTTGTTTCTTTGGCTGTGTTTTGATTGGCGGATTCTCTTCTTTTCTTTGATTTTCTTTGATTGGTTTGATTCTCTTCTTTTGATTCTCTTCTTTTGATTCTCTTCTTTTAATTCTCTTCTTCTGATTCTCTTCTTTTAATTCTCTTCTTCTGATTCTCTTCTTCTGATTCTCTTCTTTTGATTCTCTTCTTCTGATTCTCTTCTTTTCAAACTCTTTAAATGAATTTAAATGAACGTGCAATAAATACTTTATTTACATAACAAAAATATGTACAACAAAAAAAAGCTTTAATGGGATATTCAAGCAGACGGTCGGAATTTCGATCGTGGCCCGGGTGAGTGCGTTTCTTGAGGGATTTTCTTGTTGACAACCATTTCATATTGATCATCAGCCGTTTCCTCTTTTGTTGCCATGTGACCATAAGTCAGATAGGTCTAAAATAAGAAAATTTGCATTTAATTTGATTTGATTCGATTTAATTCGATTAGAAAACAGCTAAAGTGTACTTTAAGCTCTCAAATAGAAACTTTTGGCGCACTCTGGCGCAGACAAGGTTTTGAAATGAAACCAGTGACGCGCTAGGTGTGTTTCTATAGATCACAAAGTACACGAAGACAAGCTCAGCACTAGCACCAGCATAAAGTACATGAAGACAAGCTTAGCACTAGCACTAGCATAAAGTACATGATGACAAGCTTAGCACTAGAAATTGCTCACCTTGTGATCATCAGATCTTGGGATCAAGCTTGTTGGACGACCCCAAACCATATCTCCAAACAAAATAAGATCATCCGCTAAACAAATGAAGAAGTTAATTAATTATTATTAATTATTAAAAGTTGCAAACAATTTAGAACTAATATCTTTGTGTTTACCCACCAAAACTCCATGCACTGAACACATAAGCTCCCTCGCGAGTCGAGTCAGTGTTCAACGCGGTGAGGAACTGGAAATTCAGAGTTCTGGCTGCAATCAGTTACAGAAAGATGAGTGAACGATAGAAAACTTGTGGCTTTGAATCTGGCTATAAATTAGAAATCCTAAAGTTACAGTAATCCGAATAATGAACCTTTGAATAAGTGGGTCCACTGCATGGATACAAAAGTGGACTCTCGCCACAAACGTAGAGATTGAAACCGCACGAGTCGCCAGGCCATAAACCATCCTAAAATTGGACATAAATATTCTGCTGAAGATCGTTATTTTAAAATGTTAGACATTGTTGTTTTGGGTTTTGTTTTATTGTTTTTTTTGGTTTTGTTTTCATTGTTGTTTTGGGTTTTTTCATTGTTGTTTTAAATTTTGTTTTCATAAACGAACATCTTTGTTACAAGTTGGATAGAGAGCGCCCGATGCTTCACAAGTACAAAGGCCATAATTCGCTCCAGACAATCCAACGTAAACGTCTACGTTTTTCGTCAATGCAGCTCCGACATCACAATTTCCTGAACAAGAATCTGATGTTCTGAAGTCTCGGAAAGTCTCATGCACTTTAATCTTTCTTTATAGAGCTTTCAACTTTAATCTTTCTTTATAAAGCTCCGCGGGGAAAGCAGGGAAACCTAGAGCCACTTATAAAGCCAAAAGCGGAAAAATCACCAATCCACTAAGTAAAAAATCGAACGTTAAGTTATTATTTGTTCAGAAATTTAAAATACTATCACTTAAAGTAAATAAAGACTTACAAATTTCTTTTTCTTAACAAACTACAAAATAAACAGGCTACAATAGGATTTTGTATTCTAAAAAGTATTCTAAATATTCTAAAAAGCTTTGAAAAACAAACCATCACTTGCTGAGATCGGTCCTCCTTTAATCAATTTTCTTCCAAGAGTCACTCCCATTGAATGGGTGATGAAAGAGACCTAGAATATTGGCTTTTAGATCTTTTAGATCACTTCTAGATCTTTTAGATCACTTTTAGACCTTTTAGATCTTTTAGATCACTTCTAGATCACTTCTAGATCTTTTAGATCACTTCTAGATCTTTTAGATCACTTCTAGATCACTTTTAGATCTTCTAGATCACTTCTAGATCACTTTTAGATCTTTTAGATCTTTTAGATCACTTCTAGACCACTTCTAGATCACTTTTAGATCTTTTAGATCTTTCAGAACACTTCTAGTTCACTTCTAGACCTTTTAGATCACTTCTAGATAGATATAGATATATTTTACATATATAATTAGGATTTTTCTGAAATAAAAGCTTTTTCTTTGCTTACCTTTGGTGCGCCAGTGTACTTAAGGACGGCTTCAACAAATCGCCTCAAACGGAGAACATTCGAACAGTTGTGAGTGCTGGAAATTGAAAAATTTCATTGAATTTGATTGAATTTCTCCTATATTTTATTGTTTATTCTTCTATTTTCTATTATTCTTTTAAATGATAAATACAAATTCGAACCGTCCATTAGCATTCAAAGCATTCGTGTCACCCCAAGAAGTCGCATAGAGGTCGGCTTCTGTGTAGCCTTTTGAGAGGAAAAGAGAGATCGTATTGTCCCATCTGAAGGAGAAAAGATAAAGAAATATAAAAGAAATTATTATTATTAAAAGAAATCAATAATTTCCAGCTTAAAATCAAATTTTTATCAAAAAATTCGATTTTCTTAACAAATTTTAACTTAACCAAGTCATTAGACTTCGAAATTTGCAATCTTTCTTAGCCTGGTTCTTCTTTTAAAGCTAATAGCAACGCTTTTATAGTTGCGTACGCCAGAAGGGGTGTGTTTAGAGCACAAAGTGCACTTCACTTACCCAGTGGCTGTTTTACTTGAGTGCAACGCTGAGTCCGAGTTCCCGTGGATGAAAATCACTGGGGTTTTCGTGCTCTAAACAATCAAAAATATATTCTATAACATGTATAATAGGTATAAAATTATAAAATCAATCTCTAGTTGAAGTTCTTTTGATTTCTCAAGCTCACCGCCGGATTCTGTGCACTTTTTCCTCCAAAGCTTCCCTTCGTTTTGTAGTCTTGACGAGGGAAATCGTCGCTCACATAGTTATTGCTAAAAGGAAATTTTAATTCTATTTTAGTTCTTTTTAGTTCTTTTTTAGTTCTTTTTAGTTCTTTTTTAGTTCTATTTGAATTCTATTTTAGTTCTTCATCTTCATCTCCAATGAACTCGTTGGAGATGAAGATGAGGAGAACTCGGCTAGAAACAACAATCGCTAGAAATCGGTGAAATCTCGAGATGAGTAAAATGTGAGGCGAAAATTGATTTGTTCTTGATGCAAAGTTTGTTTCTTTAAGGGTTAGGGATATTATCGTATCGAATGTTGAATGAAGAGATCTCAGAAATCGATATAGAGCTGCTGATTATGATAGATGACTACTTACCAGACACTCGGTCCGGTCCTTGGTCCGATTTTTGGTTCTATTTTAGTTCTATTTTAGTTCTATTTTAATTCTAATTGAATTCTATTCTAATTCTATTCTAATTCTATTCTAATTCAATATTTCCTTCTCCACAACTAAAGCCTTTATCCCCATACTTCTCTCATCTATTTTCTCTTTTTCCCAACTTTCACCTGTTCAACCAATTCTGGAAATCTTGTGTTAACGGCCCGTTCAACTCAGCGAAGAGTTCACAAAAGAAAAAAGCGAACAAAACGAGAAGTAACCGCATTTCTGAAAAAAAAAAACCCCATAAAAAGCTCACGAAGATCAAAATGCAACAAGCAGAAAGAAGTTTTCGAAGCAATAAAATGAGATAAGAGATGGAAAAACGTGAGAAGCTTGAGGAAGCATGTGAGAAGGGATGGGTTTATGATTTGATAAAGAAAAATAGATTCTTTACCTTTAGGTTTTAAATCATAAACCGATTGGAATTGGATGCAATCGCTTAAAAATGGCAAGTGCAATCGGGTTTGCGGGTTTGCAATCGGGTTTGCGCTTCGGACAAGCTGAACAAGACTGTTTCCTTGACTTTCCTTGACTTCAATCACTCAAAGCTTTCAATTTTAGTTGTCCAATCGATGTGACTTTAATATTATTTGATAGAAAGTTATTAAATTGATTTGAAAGTTGGTTATAATTTGGAAATTGAGTCCTTTTTTTCTAAGCTAAAGTGTTTTCTAGTTTAAAAAAACATTAGAATTAACTTTTTTTATGTAAAAAATTAACGGTTCGTCTAGAAATTCGAAAATTGACTGAATTTTGGCAGAATTTTGGCAGAATTCTATTAAAAATTCAATTTTAACTTTCAAAAAGGTATATTTTACAAGAAAAATTGATCCTCAGATACCTCAATTGATTGAAAATTGATTTAAGACAAAGGTATGAATAATTTAAGTACCGTATTTTCTCTAATAGTAGTGCACCCTGAGCCTCACCTAAATTCCTCGAAATCTCGAGAACCGCTTATCAGAACCTATCGATATGAGGTCGAAAAATGTAGCTGACGATGAGATCTAGTGGGGGATTTGAGGGTTGAGCTTCTGGGAAAGCTTGGGAACTGTAAAATAGTCACCAACTCGGCCGGCCGGGGTGCACTACTATTAGAGAAAAGACGGTAACCTGACTTGGCCTGGCGTACCTTAAGTACTTCTCCGTACTTAACTAGACTAGCTTGTCAGAACTAGCTGGCTAGCTTGTCAGAACTAGCTGGCTAGCTTATCAGAACTAGCTGGCTAGCTTGTCAGAACTAGCTAGCTAGCTAGGCGTAAATCTTAAGCTAGCTTATCAGAACCTCGATGTGGGGTCAGAAAATGTAGCTGACGATGAGATCTAGTAGATAATTTGAGCGTTGAGCTTCTGCAAAAGCTTGGAAGCCGTAAAATAGTCATCAACTCAGCGGGATGCACTACTATTAGAGAAAATATGGTATCAGAAATGTTTTGGTGATAATTTGAGAACAAAGGTACAAAGGAACAAAGGTATAACAAAGATTCTACAAATAATGTTGATAAAATAATAAAACAAGATGATAGATTTAACCTGATTAGTTGTTAAAGCATGGAAATGTATAACAAGAAAGTATCGAACGAATCCAATCCAATTGCCATCAGCGACCCTATCACCCATCCACCTTTATATGATCTCTTTTCGGAAATTCGTTCAATGCTTTCTTATCTCGAAATCTCTACAGTGATTATTGCCAATCACGCCTCAATCAACCCTTTTTTCAGGGATCGGCTTTAGAAATAATTTTAGAGTCTTTTTTTAACTGTACCTCGTGGGTACCACTCTTTTCGAAAATGATCAATGATTCTCTAATCAGTTTTTTTATTCAAAATGTTCAATGCTCAAAGAGAAGAAGCCTCTCTGTTTTGCAGCCGGAAGACCGGGGATAAATCTCAAGTTTTGAAGTCATCTGAGTGGGAGACAAGGAGAGCTTTTTATCTCGTAATCTTTCAAGAGCTATTATTTGATCCCTAAGCACTGTAGCATAAAGCAGCACTTTCAAAGTTAGCCACAGCACGTTCAAGATTAGCCACGGCACGTTCAAGATTAGCCACAGCACGTTCAAGATTAGCCACGGCACGTTCAAGATTAGCCACAGCACGTTCAAGATTAGCCACGGCACGTTCAAAGTTAGCCTACGCAACTGTACGCTGTTTCCTCCAAAAAGCATGGTTTTTAGCATAGAAACATCGCAAAAACCAAATCATTTTGTGTACATTTTGACAAAGCTTTCATTGACAACTTATTCTGTAAAGTTTCAATGTCTCATTGATATATGCTGAGATAAATTAAAGCCTCTAGAGAATTATATTGTTGCCTAAATAGTCTAGTATACTGTAGCTGTAGTATTGTAGTTTTATTTCAAGAATACTGTAGTGGGCTACGAGATTGGGTTAGCAGGATCCTCTAGGATCCCTCGAGGCTGACGGTAACTGTTAAGGTTGGATTTTTAAGTTTAAGTGCATTTGAAAAGTTTGAAAGTTTGAAAATTTGAAAATTTGAGAGTTTGAAAGTTTGAAAAGTTAAATTTTAAGCTTTTTCAAATCCAGTTCTCATTTGTTTTTAAGAATATAAATAAAGAAAATAAAAAATAAAATATACTCCAAAAGGAAAAGAAAAGCTGCATCAGAGACCGAACCCTGATCCTCTAGCCGGCAGCCTAATGCGTTATCCACTAGGCCACCAACACATCTCTCTCCCACTAGAAGAAGAACGCTTTAAACCATCTATTTTAACGTTTTGCCTTTTTCGAAAGCGCTTTCTTCTGATGCTCTTCATGAAAAATCGCAGAACAAATAGAACTCTCTTTTCTAAATCTGGAAAACCTAAAATGTTCAATGCTCAGTAAACACAAGCAAAAAGATAAAGAAATTTATTCGATGCCTGCAAATTCGACTTCGCGTGCGTTTCGCGTGGGTTTCTGCGAGAGGTCAGGCTGTGATTGAGGCGTGTATTCTGGAATGTCATTCTTGCATCAGAAATTCGAAAGTCTTTTTACAGTATACTCACTTCTTTTAGCCAACGAGTTGAGAGCGGTGAAAAGAGACACATGGCCGGACCAAGCGGTGTAAAGGGTTGAATACGAATGAAGCAATGATCCGCCCAACAGTGACGGCACGATCAGCTTGTTGATTACTGCATTGAAATTTCGATTTCGATTTCGAATTTTCTAGGCTTACGATTGAAATTTATTTGTATTTCGAGTGATCTGTAGACGAAAATAAATGAGGAATAGCCGAGAATTGAGAGAGCGGCGAGGGAGAATGGGATGAACTGGAACTTGGCTTTAGCTTAGCTTGGCTTTAGCTTGGCTTTAGCTTGGCTTTAGCTTGGCTTTAGCTTGGCTTTAGCTTGGCTTTAGCTTGGCTTTAGCTTGGCTTTAGAAACATATCCAATAAACAAACTTTGAACAAACAAACAAACATTTCCCTCAAACCCACCATGAAAATCGTCGACAAAACCGCTTTCCTGTGAAGGATTTTCGTGCCTCGGCTATAGGCTCTAGTACCATTTAACATTGTGAAGATACTGAATGTTAAAGTTTAACTGTTGATTACTATTTTTTGTGTTTCCTCTCTTACTCAAACCGGTTTATTTACCCAACAAGTAACGGGTAAATGTCAGAGTTTTTAAAAAAAATACCAAATTGACGCAAATCCGCACAATCCCAACGCATAGATTATTGAAAACGGAAGAAAAATGCCCATAAGAACAAGATTTTGATTCAATTTATAGTCATAATAAGCGATTCGGGGGTTTTTGAGAGATTGAGTGATCTGGAAAAGGGATTATCAACAGATCAACAGATCAACAGTTAGCGAAAAAATGGAAACCGCTTTCTGGTGCACTGATTCAAGAAAATGAAGAATTGAGTGCGCCAGAAAGGGTGAATTTGAGTATTGAGCATTGAGCATTGAGCACAAAGACTCACCGCCAATCCATCATCGAGAATCGCTTCTTTTGGGACTTCAGAAATAGCAAAGAGGAAAATAAATGGTAAATTGATAATTGAGTGAAAGATGAAGGATGAATGAAAGAGACCAGAGCTCACTCGATATGTCCTGCATTTGAGAACAAAGATTAGAATTGAGACAACAAAGATTTGAGGATGAAGATTAGTCTCACCGAATCCTGAAATGATTGAATGTCAGCCATCGATACATGAGACATGTGCCAGTTGATAAGATTAATTGTTGAAAGAGTGAGAAGAGGATGATCTGGATATGGAAAATTAGAGTTAGCTCTGAAAAGCCAAAAACCAACTAGCCAAAAATGGGGAGAAAGACGAAATCTTGTGAGTGGACCCGTCAAATAGAAGGCTAATTTCGGGAATAGAGCGATCGGTTGAGAGAAGACAATTAAACCTTCGCCAAGGAGGAATAACGTCTGAAAGAGGATTTCATTCGATAAAATCAATAGCTTAGCTATTGAGCTCTTCTGCACAGAATCAAAAATGTTCTTTCTATTTTTGTTCTCTCTATTGTTCTCTCAAAAATGTTCTCTCTCTATTCAAAAATGTTCTCTCTCTTCTTGACTCATCTTTTCGCTTGGGAATCAGAAGCAGGTCTGGCTCAGTGGGTAAAGGGTTTGACCGCCGGATCGGAGGTTGACCAAAAGGTCGAGGGTTCGTTTCCCTTCTGTGCTTTTTTTCATTGCTTTTTGTGCTAGATAATTGTGCTAGAAAATCGTGAATACAGCCTTTCTGATGCATCAAAATTATTTCTTTGACAGTACTTTTGCTAAAATTGACGAATCTAGTTGGCTAGGAATGATCTGTTTCCATTTCAAAGTACAAGATACAAGATTACAACCAACTCACGTGAATATAGAACAAATAGACACTGTGCGCGAAGACATTATTATCAATTCGATATTTGATGCATAAAGTGCTCAACACGATGAAATAGACAAAAATCGAGATTGCGTAGATCGAATATGCATAGACTTTTACGTAGAATGGAGTCGATTCGGGTAATGTCAGTGTTTCGTTCATTTTTTTTGAGTAAAAAGCTTTATCTAGAAGTTTTCACTGATTTCACGAATGATTTCTTTCTCTTAATCTATATGTCGTAGCTGATGAAGGATTTCAGCCGAAGAAGTCTGAGACTTAATCGACTAGCCGAAGAAGGCTTCGCTAGCAAAAAAATTTGAGACTTCATTGGCTAGCCGAAGAAGTCTGAGACTTCATCGGCTGAAATCCTTCATCGGCTACGACATATACAAAAAATCTAAGTGATCAATAGGAAAAATGATTTGAAAAACGAGGGTTTTTTTCGGCATTTGTGGAGGAATTTGGCATTTGTGAGCCACGAAATTAGCACCTGTTCATCGAGGAGAGACGCCTTTTTGTTTCCTTTAAATGAAAGGTTTCATGAAATGAAATTTTCAGAATTCAGAATTCAGAATTAATATTTTAAAAAGAAATCCAAGTTTTTATTGTATTCATTGACATTCTTTTAATTTGCATTTAAAGAACAGAAAGAACAGAAAGAACAGAATTCGATGGCTTTTAAGCTGTTTCCGCTTAAGATGCTTAAGATGACCAGTTTCCGTTTCAAGCCAGCGTTTCAAGCCAGCCAAGAACAGAAATCATTCGAAATTTATCTTTAACCATAATAAAGCCCTGAAAGATGATCACAATCGTGAAAAAAACCCGTCATTTTTTATGGGAAAAAAAGTTATCTAAAGATCTAAAGATATAGAAAATAAAAGCTAAAGAAGAATGAAAATATATAAAGAATCTTTCTTGCTTTCCATTGAGCTTAAGCTTTGATTGAAAAATTGGCTGCACTTGTGAAGCCAAGGCCGTAGAATTTCGAGCGAAAACCGGGAATTGGAGCGGTCAGAAACTCGAATCCCTCAGATTCCATTGAAACCTAGGAAATGCGGATAAATGGATATGAAAATCGAATTGAATTTGAAACATTATGCAACTTTAAATCCTAACTGACAAATATCGTAAATGCTGTAATAGAGCGGCCCCCTCTAGGAGCATCGCGTAGTCTAAGTTTCCTCTCAAAGAACCGCTCATATCTCAGCGTCCAGACATTTGTTTCTGCGTGCTTAGGTATCAAATTAAAGTAGAGAAGATGCGTGATTTTTTGAGATATATCACATATTTTTTGCATCAACCAGCGCTTAGAACAAAATGATTGAAAAATGATAAAAAATCGGCTTTTTTTGCCACTTTTCAATAATTTTTTTCTGAGTGTTGGTTAGTGCAAAAAATATGTGATATATCTCAAAAAATCACCCATCCCCTCTACTTTAATTTGATACCTAAGCGTGCAGAAACAAATGTCTGGACGCTGAGATATGAGCGGTTCTTTGAGAGGAAACTTAGACTACGCGACGCTCCTAGAGGGGGCCGCTCTATTACAGCATTTATGGTAGTCCAGTAAGCCAGAGTTAGGGTTATCTAGTAAAGCTAAACCCTGATGAGTGAATAAATGACCAAGGCCGAGGTGGTTAGCGCCGGTTAGCGTTGGCCTAGGTGGTTAGTGTCCCGATTCCAAAACGATTGCCTACCGTAAATACTGTAATAGTACCCCATCCCCCTCGTACAGTCGCGTAGTCGCAAAAGTTTTTTAGTATTTTATTTTTTGCAAAGCACCCGTACTTTCAAAAAATGCGTCTTTGGTATCAAAAAATAGCTGAAATTCAGGGCTATTTTTTGATACCTAAGCGCGCATTGTAGCATAAATCAGTGTCGAGAAAAACTCGTTCAAAGCTAGACTACGCAACGCTCCGCACCGTCATTTTTGGGGTGGGAATACTATTACAGTATTTACGGTAGGTGGTTAGCGTCGCGATTTTAAAACAATCGTCCCGGGTTCGATTCCCGTCCGCTTTTTTGCTTTTTTGCCTTAAATATTTTCAAGTATGGAGTTAAAGTATGCAAATTTTTTCGTTAGTATTTAACAAAAGAATACGCTTAGTAAGCCAAAGTTAGACTTTTAAAAGCTATTTTAAACTAGAATGATCGATCAATCAATCAAACAATTCCCTCACTCACATATGGTCTCCCCAAAGAAAACTGCGAAATCGAAAGATCGAGATCGCCCGGATAGATTCGATGCTTGTTATCTAAAAAAAGATAGATAAATCTAAAGATAGATAATTAGCTAATATCTAAAAGAAAATCTATTTTAAATCTATTTTAAATCTATTTTAAATCTATTTTAAATCTATTTTACATATTTTTCTACCAGGATGTTTTGTCTGATAATTATCGGCTTCTCTCGGCTCTTCTCCAGCAAAACAGGCGGGTCCTTGAGTAAACGGAATTCGATATTTTGGGTAAATGTGATGCTGAAAATGAATTGATAATGCAAGAATTACAGTAAAAATAGCTTTGGGGGAAAGTGCTTTACCTCATAAATTGTCGACAAAAATCGACGCCATATGGCCGAATATCCGATTTGATCGAGGAGAACACAAGCGTTCTGAAAAATTGATTTAATAATGTAGCTCGTCAAAAGTATTCTCTATTCGGTTTCTTAAATGTTTCTTAAATGTTTCTTAATCATTTCTTAAATGTCGCTCACCGTAACCTTTGTCTGAATCACGCGCACTTTGACTGCTTCGCTTTTCTGCAACACCATTTTGCTGATTATCGACCAGTCGATCTTCTCATCGTCTAAGTGCTAGAATTTAGGTATTGATTAGCTGGCTTGAAACGGAAACTAGTCATTTTAAGCTTAAGATTAAGCATCTTAAGCGGAAAAATCTTAAAAGCCATCAATCCCAACCGTCGTCTCGTTCGCGATCTCCTCCAGTGTTACTCTAATCGTTTCCGCCAAATTCACAACGATTCCTTTCTCATTTTTCTTTTTCTGCGAATCCTCATCCATTAGACGAGCTTTACGAATGAAATCTTTAATCTGGAAATGTTATGATTGAAATTTTAAATCGAAAATCAAACTTCAGCTTGATCGAAAATCTCCTGAAGTGTTGGTTTCCGTTTTTGGATAAATGATGGATCTACCTATAAGAAAGATTATATTGTAAGATTAGACTGTACAATTAGATTATTCTGTACATTTAGATTAGACTGTACAATTAGATTATACTGTACAATTAGATTAGACTGTACAATTAGATTTAAACTTTGCTTTACTGTAATTAGATTGTACTGTAAACCCTCCTTTTACCAGCCCTAAAGCCTCTTTCACACACATTGAAAGCTTAAAGAAAAGGCTCTAGAAAGGTTCAGTGCTCCAGAAAGAGTGTTTCAATGATTCAAAGTATCTGACCTCAAACTCGAGCTCTTCACTTCCATATTGTTGTTTGATGTATTCGCTTTTCTCAGTTCTTTTCTTTTCCCCAACTAAATCCAAATCCTCTTTTCGTCTCATTTCCTCTCGATTCAACATGATTTCATCAAAATGAAGTAAAGAAACGAAATCGATGTTAGATGAGAATCTAGAAAATTCATTTTTAAAGAAAAACAGCGTAACTTACTTATTAAGCGCTTCTCGTTCAGCTTGTTTCTTTGCTGAGCAACAATGAATGATTGATGGATCCAGTGGATGGGCTTCTGTGTTGTAAATATAGCCACCAGCTGGAAAAAAAGGGTTCTTTTGATTCTAAAGAGTGGATCAAGATACTTCTTTTGATTCTAAAGAGTGGATCAAGATACTAGCCAATTTTAGCTTTTTATACTATAGTAGACGGAATCTAGGGTCTAATCTCATCACTACAGCAAACCTGTATCACTACAGGTTACAGATTAGACCCTAGAATTGTTGTTTGATGTATTCGCTTTTCTCAGTTTCTTTCTTTTCCCCAACCAAACCAGCAAGCTCAGGCTTAGGCTTAGGCTTAGGCTTTTGATCGAAATTCGAAATTTATCGGATTTATCGGATGACCTAGATGACCGGATGACCTAAGCCTAAGCCTAAGCCTGAGCCTGAGCCTGAGCCTAAGCCTAAGCTGTAGTGACACGTAGCGCAAAGCTTTTCCAGCTCTAATGAGGCTTTTGTAGCCTCAATTTCTAATTCGATATTTTACCCAAATGAATCGAATTCCCAAATTCCCAACCTTCGACAATACACGGTCCATTCGTTGTCTCAATCTCTCTCGAATAACTCCCATCATTGTGCAAGAAATTCTCCGGATCAAAAATCAAATACAAATATTTTGTCGTTTCGGCCAAGAAAAAGGACTCCATTCTGGAAATGATGAAAATGAAAATGAAAAGTTCTCTTCAACAAACCTATCTTCAATGCTATGATCTTGCACTTTGTTCACCGTCGCATAGCCACAACGCGTCTTCGCTGACGATTCGATTGCCTGCAAATTGCATAGTGAACTGAATTTGGGTGAATGTTTTTAGTTTGCCTAAACTTTCGATATCTAGCTCACTGTAGATAGGGTTTAAGTACTGGATTTAGCTGGACAATAGCTACATCAAAGATCGTTGGTTTATGCTCAGAGTTTTGCCTGGTTAGTAAGCTGTTTTAAGTCTAAAAGCTGTTTAAAACTAAAACTAAGTCTAAAATCTAAAGTAAATCTAAAACTGCTATTGAAAAAAGTTCTTTCATCTAAAAAAAAGCAAAACTTACATCAACCATTTGAGCAGCTAACTCTAGCCAGTGTGGATCATCGGTTGCCCGGTAGAGATACATCAAACTCTCGGCCATTTCGGGACGAAGTGGGTAAGCTGCCCGGCCATTCACCTATATTGACTTAAAATTGTCTTTTGCTCATAAACAAACCGGTTCCTGATCGGTTAAATGATAGAATTCAGGTGGAATTCCATATCTTCTCAACAACGTACTATACTGCAGCATTATTCGAGAAGCATCATCAACTTTCCCGACCAAAGTCTAAACGGTTAATGGTTTAGGTTACAAGCTTTTCCTTACCAATAATCCAGGCCAAAATGCTTCCAATGATTGATAGATTGGAAGCGAAGTGACTCCTTTTGTCATCGAAACCCAGTGAAACCAATCTCCGTGACGAACGTTGCGATTGATCGAATCTTCGAATTCTGGAACAGAACGTAATAAAGAAGTGAAGGAATTGGCAAGAAAAAGTAGATTTCCGGAGAGGGGATTGAACCCGAGACCTTTTGCTTTCTTCTCTCCTTTAGAACTAATTGCTCTACTCACTGAGCTAGTTAATACCTTCAATCATCAAGAGAAAGAAGGAAAGACAAGGGGGAAGAAGAAAGAAAGAAAGAAAGAAAGAAATTCAAGGTGTTGTTTAAGTTCTCAATACAGCCCTTGCCCACCATAGAATTGCTTCATAAGATGCGGTCTTTGGAAGAGAAGCGCTCCTTTCACCAAATATTCAAAATACGAGTCAACTCCGGCTCCAATCCCTGCATCAGTGGCTGTCCAAACAGCTGAAATATCACTTTTCAGGTTAGTAAATAAATTCGATGCTAATTTCTAAGTGACTGCACCAGTCTGCACATTGATATGATTCCCGACGAGTCCAATCGGCGACCGACTCTTCCACAGTGCGTCGAGGGCTCTGAAATCGTTATCCAAAACGTACTTTATTGTAAAAGTCATAGTGTCAAAGTCATAGTCATAGTCAAAAATTTTTCAATTACCGTAATGCCGCTTTCTCATACTGTGGATCGCCAGTTAAACGCGAGAGAGCGCCAAACTCCAACAGAAATGTCCCCACACCGGCAGTACAAGTGATCGGAGTCTCTGTCTGAAAACAAAGCATTGAGCCAAGCATCGAGCAATACTCAAGCAAACCTTATGCACTCCATATTTCAAATTGACTGTTCCGAATGGCATTCCCGTGTCGGTGTTGAAAGCGGGAAGTAATCTGAATTTTCCATATGCATTTCACACTTTGAAATCTTTGGATTTTAAACCTCTCAGCCATTCTCTCAGCCAGTCGCAGCAATGGACCCGAGCAAGGCCAGCCGGGTTCGAGTGGCATCCCTGCAACAATTATTGTTATTCATTTGAAATATTTGAAATATTTCACTCACCCTCAACTCTCCCAGCCAACATGTGAGCTGTCAACAATCCACCCACAACGCGTATATTTGTTTCGAAGACACTGAAAACATGAGATTGAACTGAGGGTATAATTAGAGAAAGCTTAGCTTTCAAGCTTTCAAGCTTTCATTAGTCATCACAATTCCTATAAAACTCCTGCACAATTCCTGTAAACTGTAAGAATTCAGCCTAGACTCCCCCTAATTTATCAATGCCATTCTATTTCCCCAGCTCCCAGCTATTATTCTATATTCTATTCTCAATGCCAGCTTACCTCACATTCACATTCGCTTCGGGATTTACGGTAGCCAAGACGAGATCGACGGCTCGTCGAAATTCGGTTGCATTACCCATCACCAGCAGTGTATCAAGGGCATCGATTAGGGTTAAAGAAAACGAGCCCCACGTGTCGTGGCCTAAAAATCCAAAGTATTGCACGATTTTGTTCACCAACCTGCACAACTGATCGGTTTGAGTTCATCGAATGGAAACGCAAAGTCGAGATATCCATTGTACGCGTGATAAAACATTTTTCGAACCTGTATTTTTGATTAAATTGATCAAATTATTGCCCACAAACCTTTTCTTTATACCGTAGCATTTCCTCTTTAGAGAAATCCCCGTAAACACTCCAAAATAAAGCAAGAAAATAGGAAAATACCCGTAAAAGTAGCATTAAAATTAGATTCTTTAGTTGGAAGTTTATGAAAATTCTAAAAAAACACAATTTCTTTTTTGAGCCGTATGCAAAAGAAATTCATCCCCATTTATGCCGCGTAACAATATTTTCATTTAAAACTACGGTAACAACGCAACTTTTAAGCGTCACACAAGGTTCCCCCCTAGCTGAACTTTTATATTTAGCTGCCAATTGCAATTTCCCAGGAAATAGGTGAAATTTATTAAAAAATCGCTCAAAATTCATGAAAACTCGTATATAACAAAAACTCGTACAAATTCACAATGAGACCAATGAGATAGACCGGTGCCTAAACACACAGAAACAAACATAACCTAACGAAGTGAGGGACAAAAATTGATCATAGAAGAAAAACAATATCAAAACATACAATCCAATCACCAAGTGGGTTCACCAAATCTTTCCAATACTTCATAGGCTTCTTTCAGCTCGCCGCGAACTTTCTCTCGAGCGTAGAAGATTGGGCAATCACGAGCTGAGCAATTTACCTAAAAGTTTCTATAAACTTTGTAAAAACAAGTTTAATAAAATATGCTTGAGAAAAATTACCTTTTCATGCATCGTCTTCGCACAATTTTGACATTCCGTCCATAAGCGAGCGAAGTTTCTCTCCAATGAATTCATATTGGCACACCTAAATAACATGGGAGTAGATTAGTGCAACAACTACATTCAATCCATACCTTGTAGCATAAATGTCCCCTTGTTTGTCTTTACAATGCTCACAAGTGGCCGCGTCCTTTCGATCACCCTTCAGAACACCTTTACATCCAAGACACGTCTTCATCTTTTGAGTAAACGCCGCAAGTCCGCCGACCTAATTAAAAAATAAAAATTAATAAATTGTTAAATTTTACTAACCTTTGATTGTACGACTGTTCTCACTCGAGTGTGCTCTCCTTGAAGAAGTGCCTGAAATTTTTTTATTTTTAAGACAGCTAAACGCACTGACCTTCTCTGCTTTACCATCGAGAATTGGATCAAATATTCTAGCAAGTGGTTTGGCGAGCTGATTGGTAAGATAGTAACTAAAATGCAAATAAAATACGATGACGTGCATAAACTTACTTAAAATCAATTGGTACATTGTTTTCCAGGACATAGGTCGGATCTTCAGCTTTCTCGTAAGCAGGTACATTCTTTCCAGCGGCAACTATGGATGGAGTAGTGAATAAGTAAACTTAAAACTTACTTATAACAAATGGCACTCGATCCCCCAATCGAGGAGCCGATCCAGGATCTCTTTTTCTCATTCGAGCCGCTAGTTCGACATGAGCTTGTTTTGCTTGATATTTCTAAAATTCACTCAACAGTTGAACAAATTTATTGACAACTTACATCTCCACTTTTCGTCAATTCCTTACTAATGATTAACATTGAAATGTCAATCCGATTGCACAACAAGTCAGAGATCATTTTCTTCGCATAAACAAGTGCCGCTAAACAAATGTTGTACATTCACTTCGACATGATGATGTTACCATCCGCGTTTCGATCAATCAACATCGTTTCTAGGCACTTTCCCAACACTTTCGCTACGAGAGGGCAATTGTCGCGACGAACCGTTTCCAAACCCTAAACACATAAAGAATATAAATCGGAAAATTTAACTTTTAACCTTGCAGTCAACTTTATCATACTTATCGGGCTTCGTGTAGTAGAGGCCAGCATAGCGTTTTTTGTTGATCAAAAGGTATGGATAATATACCTAAACAGGAAATGATCTAAATAATTTCTTGAGCGTTCACTTTTTCGAACTCCAGCTTGATCGGTTCAATGAAAATCTTTGAAACTTCTTTTGCTGCCTAAAATGCATAAAAGGTATACACTAAAGTTAAAATAGAACCTCGAAACCGATCTCCATCGCTTGAGCTACCGTTTCTACTCCGAATTTTACCATCACGGAATCAGTATCTCCGTAGATGACCTAAAGAGTTGCTTTGTTCATAATTCATTTAAACTGGGATCTAATCGATTAATGACTTCATTAGACCAAATTATTACCTTTGCATCTTGAGGACATTTGCCATTCATAGCACCTTTCTTGTAATTCTCTTCAACGGTCTTCTTTGTCAACTCAATCATTTGTCGTCCAAAAGAGGTCACAGATTGAGAGATTTCCAAACATGGGAGCTTTCCAACAGTGGCACCAGTAAATCCATATACCGAATTTGCAGAAATCTAAAATTGCGAATAGAAAATAGATTGATATAAAGAACAAAACAATTTCCGACCTTCAAAGCCAATTGTCTTCCATTGAGAACCATCTTTTTGAACTCATCCTTTTCGTTTTTCAAATCGTTCTTTGCACGCTTTCGAGCAGAGAGAAGATCCTCAAGTACCACCGGCAAAAGACCACAACGTTTTTCTTTAGTGCAAAAGAAGTTTCCCGATGGAGTTTTGATGTAGTCCTTTCCTTCCACACCACCATCCAATGGTCCCTAAAAGTTCAATTAATATCTCGTTGGCTTTCATAAACGCACAGTCAAAAGAGTTGTATAGCATAAATTGTGAGCAATCATAATCGATGGATACAGCGAAGCAAAATCAAGCGTAGCAATTGGTTCACGATAAAAGCCCCGTATTGGATCGATCACAGTAGCACCTTCGTAACTGAAAAACTTAGGGTCATGCAAAAATGTCACAATTAGAATTTTTACCCAACGTCATCGCCACCTTGGACTTCAATCACCGGTAAGAAAAAGTTCTCGGCTTTGCATCGGCGAAGCATCATGGAAAGAATCTAAAGAATGTAATAGACAAAACAATAAAAAGTTTGCGTTACTTTAATTTGTTGTCCTCGTGTGAGAAGATAGTTGATTGGCACACCAGTGACTCTCGCCATTTCCATGTAGTTAATGATTGACATTAATTTATCAAGAAGTCGCAAAGGAAGCGCCGCATCTTTCATGCAATACAGCGCCAATCTGAATAATCAGAAGGAACTACTAAAATTGAAATTCTATACCTTCTTCGACTTTGCTCATCACCCATTTGAAGGTCAGGAATTGTGCTATGTTCGACATCCTCTTTCTGTTCCGACAAAAAATGATAGGAGACCGAGTTGAGAGTGTAACTTCGGAGCTTGTAATCACGTAGCACAACCTAAAGTTACTGTTTATCAAAAGCCAAAAAAACTAAACCTGCAACACGTCGAAGATTACTCGTCCATGAATATCAATGTTCTTGTTGACTCTTGAACCCATTTGTTTGCTGCTCAAAGTCGATTCGCGAACTTGTGACGCCTTATCCTTCAGTCGGCCAAGAAAGCTCACCTTCGGAAGTTTCAAAGTCTAAACCAATAAAGCTTAACTAAATAAGTTTTTAAACTCGTCTACAATGACTGGTATATCGGATAAGTATGATAAACACCTTGGCTCTTTCCAAAATGTACGGAAGATCAAAGTTGAGAATATTGTAGCCAGTGAGCACATCAGGATCGACCAATCGTATAAACTCTGTCCACCTAAACAACAGATTAATGATTGAATTCGAACCAAAACCTTTCTAGAAGATCCTTTTCAGTCGGACATTGAATTATTTCCGAACCAATTACTGGAGCGCAAGTACCCAAAACAAAGCAGCATCGTAAGAAAGGTTCAGCCTAAAATTGTTTGATTTTTTAGTCACATAATTACTGAATTACTTGTCCCTCAATCTTGACCATGCAAGCGATTTGAATCACTGGATCGTGTTCGGGTTCAGGGAAAATACCTAAAATCTTTGGTATGAACAACATAAACTTTTACCTCACCTCTTCTACCCATACATTCAATATCAAAAGACATTGTGCGAATTGGTGCCACTTTTCCCCATTCACCTTCGGGCAAATGGATAATGAGATCATTGACAGAGACGGATAACTCAATTTGACAACTAGATTGCAATATATGGAACTCTAACATAAATCTTATACTTTGTCTTTGATTGATTTAACTGCTTGCTCTTGTTGGCCGGAATTTCTATCCAACCACAACCAACGATCCCTGTTTGCGCCATGAACTTGACCTCCGCATCGATGTTGGCTTCAAAAAATTTCTCTATCTAAACACCAAAAAATACTAAATTTTATGTTTTAAATTTACTGCTTGAACTCCTTTTCCTAGGTTGATTCCATTTCTCAACTCTTGTTTGGCTCGGTTGAGTGTTTGTGTTGTTCCAGATACTTTGATGAAGTCATACTTCTTATTCGATCCTAAAATTAAATGCTTAAGATGCTTAAAATTTATCAAACCTTTATATCCGTAAAGGCCCTCCCCTTGAGCGACGCTCAAATGCACTAGATGATTGACTACGACATCGCTGGTTTGGTTATTCGAATTAGCCCGACGTAAATTGTTGGCAACTGCGGCATTTAGGTTTTTTTGACCAGAATCTAAACGAATCTATTAAGGTTCTAGATACAAAACCACCAACCAAGATTTTCAACCGCAAATCCAGTCGGAGCCTGGAAGTAGAAATGCGGAAAGTAGTTGGTGACGGTCACACAAGCAGAGTTGCCCTCCATTGTTATGCCTAAAATTGAGATCATATTAAAGTTATACAAAACCCAACCAAACAGTCGCACATTTGTTCGATCAAAGTCGGTATTGTTGCCGGGTTCAAAAAATGTTTCAACTTCCATCACCTGAAAACGATTCTGATGCTAGATTAGTTGGGGGAGTCTGGAACTTGACCCAAAATCAATATTTTTCCACTTAAACTTGCGCACAGGGGTTTTTGATTATGCTGAATTGCTTAGTAATACTTTTACAACTTTTTTTTTTATTAATTAATAACATGTTTAGTAAAAACTCGAATACGGGTCATTTGCCGAAAAACAGTCCCTTCGAGTTTTTACTAAAAATGCTATTAATTAATCAAAAAAAAGTTATAAAAGTATTACTAATCGATGCAGCATAGTCAATAAACCTCTGTGTGCAAGTTTTCGTGGAAAAATATTGGTTTTGGGTCAAGTTCCAGACTGTGTAGAAAAGGCATGGAAAATAAACATACTTGCATGGAAAAGGCTTTCTTGGCGTGATTACTGGGTGGATTGGGCCGTCGACATTTAGATGGATCCAAAACGGAGCGTTTCGATGGAGAAATCAAAGTGGCAAGATGCGCGAGATGTTCTTCGTAATTGCTCTTCTCTTCATCCTGAACAAAGAGAATTTACAAGATCACCGATAGTTTTAAAAAAGTTTCTACAATGGTTGCAAAGCTCAAAACTCAACCTCTTCCTCTTTTCGCCGTTTATTTGTCGGCGGCTCGTTCCTGTTTGGCGCAGCTCGTTTCCCGAAGTTCGACATCAAGTTATGATCAATCTGAAAACAAGAAATTTTGAAAAGAAAAGGTAACGAGAACAAATACGTTTGAACCGAGCCACGATAATAGTGAAAGAACAAACAATAATCTTAAATTAAACAGTGAATTACAGTAATTTAAAACTAAGTATTCAGTTAACTAGCTAAAATTAATTTGTTTATTTAATATCGGAATTGCTTTTTTCCTATTTGTCTCTGATGAGGCTTCAACCTTTCCCGGGAATTTTTCTATTTTCAAACTTTGAGCTGATTGCGCCAAAAAACAAGTCAGTACATGCCATCTTTTTGAGCGAAACTCTCCGCTACAAAGAACGGATTATCTTTTAGTGCACCTCTTTCGCAAATTTTCACTCGCGTAAACATGTTCTCTTTATGGCGGGTTGTTTGATTTTTGCTTTCTTGTTTCTTTTCTTTTGATATTAGCGCCACTCTTTTTGTAAAGTTTTCTATTTCAGACGATTCCGATGGAGATAAACGAGCCAAAGGATCTAGGCGTCCACCCATTTGATTGCACCTCGACGCTGAGAGTAGATTTTTAAACATAAGAATGAGTGGAAAAGTTAAAAATGTATCATAGAAGAAAGACTTATCGGGCATTTATATTATAAATAACCTAACGTATTTTAGCCTTTACAGTACCGAGCAAAAGTCTTGCAACATCACTTTCAAAAAAATCGATGAAATTTTTTTATAGAAAATGCCACCCGTTCGTAGGGCTTTTTTCTTTTTAATTAGAATAATACATGTACACTTTATTTACAAAAACAAATTTGAAGTTCAGCGTAAAACATAAAAGTAAATGACAAAACTACTAAAAAATACCCTAAAAACTGGGTGCAAAAGTCTTGCAACATTATACAGAAACATCAAAAATTAATATTCAATCGGTCCACCTTTTGCGGTTTAAATCTAACGTATTTTTAATTTAGGAATCACATCGACAAAATATCTACGGAGCGGCCTTCAACCAGTACCGCCTTCCCGAAGAGACACCAATTTTTGCGACTGTCGGATCAAACTGGGTGAGTGAAATTTTTTTGAATTGTTGCTAAAATGCCGAATTGGTTGCTATTTTGGTTTAACTTTATAGTTTCTTTAGGTAAGCGTCTATGAAGTGCCACTAGTGGAGGAGCAGAATGGAAACAAAAACCTAATCAAGTTGATCGCTTCCTATAAAGATGGAAATGTGAGTTTAAGTGCACGAGAGTAACTTATCATTTTGTAGGATGATGAAGCTTACTACGCCGTCTGTTGGGCAATTGACCCACAAACAATCAAATCGCTTTTATGCTTTGGCGGTAAATTCGGTTTTATTCGAGTGGTCGACGCAACTAGTGGACAAATGATCCGAGTGAGATTTTAAAGTAAACTTTTGTAGTAGTAAAGATAAGTGAATATAACAAGTTTGGTTCATTTTTAAGAGTGATTTTCCGTGAAAAATTCTACTTTGACTTTTCAGATGCTTTCTGGACATGGTCAAGCGGTGAACGAACTTCGCGCTCACCCTTCCAAAGATGGAATCGTTGCTTCGTGTTCGGTTGATTTGACTGTCATTATATGGAACGTGAATCAATCAAATTATTTGGTTCGCCTAGGAGGCTTTCGTGGACATCGAAATCAGCTTTTATCTCTCGTGAGTCACTTTTATTTCATTAATATTGTACGGCTAAAGGAATTGTATTGTGTCCTTAGGATTGGTCTGAATGTGGAAATTACATAGTGACGGGCAGCATGGATCACAGTATCAAGCTTTGGTCACTTAAAGGAAAGCCTGGACAAAAAATTGATCAATCGCTTGGCATAGTGGTTTGTTGCAATGTTGTTTCTTTTTATATTGTTTTAGGAGGAACCAAATACTGAATCAAAATATAGTGTACAGACTGGCGATGAATTTGCTTTGGCTTTCGTACGGTATTTTCTAAATTTGTGTCGTTTATCTGTAATATTATAGGCATGTGAGTGCAAAAAAAGAGTCATCAAAAACCCAGCCAGCGATGGTTCAACATCCCTGCTGTACAACGAATGAGCTACACACCAATTATGTAGACTGCGTTCGACTGTGTGGGCCATTTGTGTTTTCGAAGGTTCTTTTTATTCCAAAGTTTAGTTATACCTGTTTGTTTTATAGGCTGTTTCTCAAAATTGCATTTACGTATGGAAATTTGGAAAATTCGAGGAAAAAATTGCCGGTTTGGATCATCTCGTCAAAGTGAGGCAAATTTCATGGAAAAAGTAGAAGTTCTTTAGCCAGACAGCTTGGTTTCGATGCTTTCTTCCCTGCGACTTGACAACAACGTAAACTGGTTTGCTAAATTTGAGCTCGATCCATTCAAGAAGGTTAGTTCAGTTTATTTGCAAGTTTTTCAAATTCCGTTTAGTGGTTGCTCTGTGGAAACAATTCGAGTGCAATTTACGCCTACAACATTCGCGATAAAATCATGGAAGGAAAAGCGTAAGTGCAAATAACCTAGTTTTTTGTTTGTGACTAATTGAATTTCTTTTAGGCAGCAAGTGCTCAAGGTTTTTGATGGAGCTGATGCACAAGTTCGTCAGGTGTGCTTCGAGCCATATGGTCGTTTGGCAATGGCAGTTGGAGATCGCGGACTGCTATCTCGGTAGACTTTTTCGGAGTAGCCTTAGCCTAATTTAATAGATAAATGATTAGGAATAATTGTTTTGCTTATTGTAATTTTTAGCATTGATCGCTGGACCGAAGATCGCTCAACGACGATTCCAATAGTTGGTTGTTTGATCATGACTTTGACTCATTTTGCTTTCAGAAACGTAAACGCCTCGCCTCTCAAGATGAATAAAAAATAGCCCAAAAAATTTTTATCTGCCTTGTAAATTTTCAAATTTCATATGATGTTATTAACATTATTTTTTTTTGTTGTTTTAAGAATTGCAAATATTATAAAGTTCTCATGTTTAAACGTAAACGCCTCACCTTTCAAGGTGAATAAAAAAGCCTGAAATTTCTTATCTTTTTATATAATTTTTTAACTGCCTTTGTATACTTTTATTTTTTTATTCTTTTTTATCTGGTTTGCAAATTTTGAGTTTTCACATTATGTTATTGGCATTGTTGTTTTTTGTTGTTTTAAGAATTACAAATATTATAAAGTTCTCACGTTTATTCCGGTTTACTTCGATCTCGTTTAGTTATATTGTCTTTCACTTGATAAAATAAAACTTTGCCTAAACTTGGTTCTTTCTAGAATGTTAGTGCAACACATGCAATAACTTTGCAAACCTCCACGACTTACTCCGTTTAACAATTTTGGTTTGCATTCGCTAAAATTAAGATATGGCTTCCACATCGTTGGACGAACAAACGATAAATGATGTGTTCGATGTTTGTGAAAAGGTCATTTTCGACGTTGAAGAGGGGAAACTATCAAAAGAGGATTTGGGCAAGAAAATCCCAGAAGTTAGCGAGAGATTGGATGATCTTCAAAAGGACATTTCTGCGCTGACACTCTTCAGTGACAACGAATTCTTCGAGGAATTGCCCACTTCATCTGTGAAATTCCTTCTTGTTCCTTTCTTCAAAGCTATTTGCCATCTCAACTCGCTCTTTGATGTATCGACTAGATATCAGGAATTGAAGGATGCGAAAATAAATTTTATGGAGTTTCTGCAGAGACTTCAAAGTTATGAAGTGATCACTTTTGCATTGCCCTGGAATCTCGAAAATGATGAAGTGGATGTTGAGGATGTGAAAATCAGTCGTCCATCGGGAGAAGAATTGAGAAAAGAGAAACTCCGTCGTTCAGAATACGATCGCAACATCAAAACCTCATTGATAAAAGCGAAAGAAGACTTCAAAAAGAATCCGGACAATGATCAAGCTTTGCGAGAAATTTATTTGATGCAACTTCGTCAATCAGCGCTAAGAGCTCTCTCCGAGCTTGAGCAAATCGAGACCGAGCTACCATTTGCAAAAAGGATGATCGGAAGGGACAATCATCCAGTCGAACACAAAAAGCATAATCACGGCAAAAAGTTGAAGCCATTTATTTTGACGCGAAACGACGTGCAAAAGCAAGTCTTTGGCTTGGGATACCCGGCGATTCCAACAGTAACAGTTGATGAATGGGCCCAAGGGATGGTCGATAACGGACATTGGGGCAGTGCCCCATCTCAACAAAGACCACAAAATGATGAGGAAGAAGAGGAATCAGACTCTGAAGAAGCACGGCAGAGAAACATGCGAATGGATGAATACAGGGACACCCATCGACGAGGTTGGGGAAATACGCACAACAAAGGATGATTAAATTGATCTATTGTGAATGGTTCATTCAAAATTTGTGTTTTTATGATGCTTTCTTGATTGTATAAGACTTTGATAAATTTAAATATCGTTTAGATGTCTACAAACAAGCTCACCTTGTCATCTATCACTCCGAGAAGGGTCCTCTTCTATGTGAGCGCTGGAATTGGAGCCTGCCTTTTGTGGAGATATCGATTTTTGCTGGGAAGGCTATGGAAAAGTAAGTGTTAGTGAAAAATTTAATTATAAGTTTTTTACATAATTTACTTTAGGGCGACGCCTTGAGAAAAACAAATCATCGACAACGCAGACCAGTCTTCGTGATATGTCGATGGAGGATTTCCAATCGTCACCGGAAACTGCCATACTCACAATCACACAACAACCGGTAATTATTTCTTGGCACTATCTATGAATCTTCGAAATCAAAAAAACTTTCAATTGCCGAGTAACTTTCCATTATGACAACATATTTTTGTTATCAGCACACAATTCTTACAGGAAAAAGCACGCAGTTTTCGTTCCCGTGCCACTCCGAGTATTTCGTTTTCTCCAATTGACACGAGTATCATCAACAGTCTCGAGATTTGTCGTGAAATGATAGCTTTATTGGCTAGAGTAAGTTCAAAGGCTGAGGGATGTTAATTGAAATTCTTAGGCGTCAAATGGAATTGAACTTTTGAAGAACCGCTCAGAAAAGGACAAAACTCGGACCGAACTATTAAATAGTGTAGTTACACGGCTTCGAATTCTAGAAACTGATATATCACAAGTAAGTTGTACCATTGTTTTAAAAGCAGAATCTTTATACGGGAGTTTACGTAAGAATACTTTAGTTAGTCTCCGACCCTGGTAATGAGAAAAATGGAACTGGGCGAGAAGATACTATTGTATTGAATGGATTTACACCCGCTGCTGGAATCAGATCGGGCACTCTTTCTGTACTTTCGGATGACTCGTTCATGTCTGCTCTAGATGACTTTGGATCGTTTGAGGAAGAGTATGAGGAACGGTAATTACTGAAGCACTTATATTCATGGTTGTAGTTCTTTAGGTTTGACTTTGATAAGACAGCATTGGAATTTCTGCAAGAGGGAGTACAAGCCGTTTTAAATGGACAAGTGAGGCTTGTTCTTATTAACCTTATGTTTGGGTTTTAGGTTCGTATCAGAAAAAATCGCGCCGACGTGTGTCAGTGTGAAGACGATACGGATTTTGCTGCTAAAGTTCATTGTTTGCGGAAAGCTTTGAATGTAGGTATCTTGATTGTTTAAGTCAAAAAGAAATGCACCTAGATAGATGGTTTTTATTTGCTTTTAGATAATTTCGGCTGATGAAAAGAAGCGTTTGTGGTTGGCGAATTCGGGACGACAATTACTTGGCGGGCTGTTGATTCAATGCAAACAAAAGCCAGACGATTTTTACAGAGTATCATATTTTTATTATTTAAAAATTAAGAAGCAACTTCAGGTGTTCGACGAAATGCAGCAATTTCTGGAAAGCGACGAGAATCGCGAAAAAGCCGAAGCCGAGCTGAAGAGTCGAAATGTTGGCGAGTTGACAGTGTGGGATGTGCTTATGGATTTCATTTTACTCGACGCATTTGATGATCTAAAAGTAACACTTTGATAGCTAAAATTTATTGTTTTGTTTAGAACCCACCATCTGCTGTATATTCGGTCACAAAAAACAATTGGCTCTCACAGAAGTTTTTATCGGATTGTAAATTAAAACAAATTGTTTTAGCATGAAATACTCAACAATATCGACAGTGATTTGGAGTATGTTGAAAGCAAAACGACAACGCCTTTTGCAGCCAAATGGATTTATTGCTCACTTTTACAATATTTCTGAGGTTTGTTGGAAAGTTTTAGCGACTTTTTGTGGACAAGCTATGAAAGTTTGATGGCTTTCAGATTGTTTCTCCGGCAATTACATTGGGTTTCCTTGGAACCGATGAAGGACAACGAGAGTTGTGCCATTTCTTCAAGGATCAGGTATTCGATAAAGGATACTGTTATTCTGGGATACCCAAATTTAAAATAAGTATAAGTTCATCAGAAACCTGAAAAATAACACGTATTCATTGTACAGGGTGTTCCATTATTGCGGAAACTATTATTGCTTATTATTTCTCTTTCGTTGCCCCGATTGAAATGATTTTTGTATCAATCGACAGAAGAACATGACGAATCTAATGATACCAAAATTATTTCAATTGGACAACTGAGCGCCAAGGTATTTGCGTTTAAAGTTAGATTGTCAATGGAACAAAAAGCGGACTGGAATCAAATGTCGGATACCCTCTGAAATCTACTTAATTTAAACTCCTTGGATTATTCAATTTAGTCGATCTTAAAGGCAAAGACTTGCTCTAAAAGACACCACCATTGGTTCGTTAAAGCGCTATGTGATTAGGTTTGAAACGAGATTTACTTAATACTATACAAAAAAAGCTGGTGATAACTTTCTAAAACGTGAGTTGTGTGAAGTTGAGGTCATTTTAAAATATAAACTTTAATAACATATTGCTTAATATTTTTGCGTAATAAGCTTATTGATTTACTTAATTTTGATGCACAAAATTGTTGCTCAAAATTTTGTTTTAATAAATTTGGGACATCCTGCAGAGTTAACAAATGCGTTATCAACTCTTTTTAACTTTAAAACATAAAACAATTCGCCTTTTAGGTCACTCAATTGACTGTGGAGATTTTCGACGAAAAGCGAGTCCGCTACACAACGGTTGAAGATCTCAGCAATGATATTTGGGCGGTAAGTTGAATATGGCCAAATGATTTAACATTTTTCTTCAGGCAATTCAAAATCGCACGGAGGCCCTCTTGTCAAGGATATCCAGCGAACTTTTGTAAACTTTGATTTTACTGTTTAATGTGCAATCACTTTATGTTTGTGATAATTTTGTTGTGCTCTTATATATCTTTGCTTAGCCTTTGATTGATTGGTTGATTTCATGTCAATCGCATATTGCTCAACTACACTTATGCTTTAGGGTTTTTAGTGTCTTTGTATCAAGTACCGGTTAGTGATTAATAAATGTTACCTTATGAAAATGCAATGGAGATCAATCGCTTTAAGGACGTATGATACTTAAAATTTGTGAAGTTTTTGCACTGTCTTTTCTCGCTTTAGACATTTTTTAATGGATGCGCCGACTTTCAGCGGGCACTCCGAACTGTATAAAGGGCAATCAGGTAGTTGTGTTTTAAAATGTATAGAGTTAAAATAACAAAACTTTCGCACTAATTCTTCTTGTGTTTACGCGAGAATACCAACTACGTTTAATAATACTTTCTAGAAACAACTTCAACGGCATGCGTTCGTCGACGGCGCGAGCGTACTTGCGAGCTTCGAAAGCTGAAACGAGAGCAACTCTTGCTCGATCGGCGGAAAATCGACACCGAGCAATTTTTGGCAGCCGTTGTGGTAATAATTGCTGTAAACTTCAAATTTAGCAATCTTTAGGATAACGAAGTACCGAATCCATTGGTCTCCATATCTAGGGTGCAACACTTGCTAAGGGGCGATGCACACGATCGTCTAGAAGCATGTCGACTACTTTCATACGCGATGAAGGAAAGTAAGGTTTTATTGGTACTTTTTTAAGTGCCTCTATTTTCTATTCATTATTGCAAACCAGCTGTCGCTGATAGCCGCTAAGCAGCCGCATGGAGGGCCGTGATTGAAAACGTGGGGGACAGACAGACAGACGGACGCGCTAGATTTTTAGATTTAAGTAGGATATACAACTTTAGATGAGCAGCAGTCAGTTCACCAATTGGCCGAGCTTCATTTGTTACCAATTCTCACGGATGTATTTTTATCGAGTGAAGGAGAATTGCAACAACAAGTGCGATTTTTTAAATTTACTTTATCGAAAAATTTAGACAGGATGGATTCTTTTGAACTTGGCTCGAATACCGGAGAACTTCTTATCGTATAATAGTCAACTCGACGTTTTGAGATCATTTTTTCAACTGGCGACGTAAGTTTATAAAGGATTGTAAGGTTTATTCAAGCAAGATTACCAATTTTAGTGTTTGCTATGAAGCAATGATTGTGGCCGATTCTATGGAAACGGTCCTTCCCCAACTCTTTGTATCACTTGGGCTCTTTGCGGGAAAACATATCGGCAACGCGATGTACACGTTGAATTGCAAGAGCGTTACCGAGCTAATTTTATCGATCCTGCATAATTATCGGTAAGCTTTGTGATATTTGTTACAATAGATTTTTGTAGGAAGTACACATCGCAAACACTTTCGAGTACCGTATGGCTTTGTACGCAACTGTACCGCTATGCTGAGACAGATTCGGTCATGTACGAGTCAGAAGTGGTGAGTTAAATGCATTATTTCGAAGCTTTCATTGTTGGATTAAGTTTAAACTTTAATTTTAGCATATATCATTACTGCAAGCGTTGGTGCTACTATTGGAGGTGAACGAAAAATCGATCCTCACCGACACAGTGCTCTGCTTAATGAATGCAGTTTGGAGTGAGCAACTCGTACAGGTAATTTGAGTTGCTAAATAAGAAGCGAAAAGCAGGAATATCTGTTTTATTGTAACCGAAATACCTATTATTTTAATGGAATATCTGTTTTATTTTAGGTGACGTACATATCTGGAGCGTTGAAGCGCTTACTTGAGTTGTCATTGGAGGAAAACGATGTCTCGACTTATGCCCTTCACACAATCAGCAATGTGATTGAAAATTACGGGAGATACACGGATGGTTAGTTATTTATATATTTTAAAGATTTTCTATTTTAGCTCTAATCAATTACGGCTTAATCGATGTAATCTACGCATCACTGTTGAGCTCAAATCGTTGTGATGATGGTTGTCATATTTTGGCGTGTGTTTGTGCGGAAGGAAAAGAACAAGTAAAGTCATTTAAGAAAAGTATATTAGGTTTTCATTTTTTAATTCTTTTTCCAAATCTCTTTAGATATCGAAAGTATTCAGTCGGGATGAGTTGATTGATCGGATCTACGATGTTTTCACAACCGCCAGCTTTGACAAAAGAAAAGAGGTTGGTTATTTTGATTTTGCTTATCCATAGTTTTATAGATTTGTGCGGCTCTCAGTTCCGCATCTGAAATGGGGTCACCGACTGTGCGAGAGAAAATTGTTCAACGTGGTTTTCTTTCCACCTTTTGCTCAATGCTCGATTCGTCCGATATAAATACGGTAACATGTCTCGAAGACTTTTCAACAAAATTAAAAATTTAGGTAATTTGTGTGCTTATCGCTCTCGATGCTTTATTAGAGTTTAGCGAGGTTTCCGGGGTCGATACGGTGAGTTTTATGATAGTTTTTGCAAACATAATATTTTTTCTACTTACGTAACTTCATTCCAGCTTCCAGGTTCGCGAAACAATCGAATCATGTCAGGGACTCGAAAGATTGCTTCTGCTACATGACCACGAGAATATCGATATTATGGTTGGTGATTTCAATTTTTTTTGCTAAAAAAGTTTTCGAAAGATCTTAATTTCTTTGCGAACATCTTATTCGGCAATGATTTTGACGTTTAGGTAAAATCCCAGGAGATTTACGATCGCTATTTTGCGCCCTACGAGAACGATTATCGAGAGGATTTCGCCGATGTGTAAGTTATTTAAAATTTAAATTTGAAAACTAAACAGTAATAAAGTCTTAAATTGCTTTTATTTCTGAACATTTTCCAAATTTCAGTAAATCTACCATGGATGATTTGCTGAATATCGTCGAGTCGACTCACGATGAGGGAAATGTATGGAATTTTTAATATCATTTTAAATATTTTGTTTAATTTTTATCTTACCTTTTTTAATCTATTCGGTGCTTTTTTTGTATTTTTGAGTGTAACTTGAAGATTTTTCAAAGTTTTAATAATTTTTTGTACATTCGTGAGCGGTTTATAAATAGGATTTGCCTAATTCCTCATCTATTGTCGTTGTTTGTGATAGAGAACGATCATGGGTGGAGAATTTGCCCGGATTCGGTTTTGACGGCATGAAGGGAAGCTTTCGAAGGGCGGGCATTCGATTCAACCAGCTGAAATTTTATCTATGAGGTATTAAATCCTATAATTACAATGATTGTGTAAACAGACCGATCAAAGAATTCGGGCATCCAGAATCCCTCAGTCAATTCGATTGTCTCTTCATCTTCCACCAAACCCCGATCTGCTCGAGAGGCACCTGAAATTTTCGAAATCAATCTCAATTCTGGGACCAGCTTTCATTACGCTCTTGCATCTTGCATCTTGTAATCTTACAAGACGCGTCTTACAGTCTTGCATATTGCATTCTTGCAAGTTACCGTAAAACACCTAGAATGGTATACCATTCTTTTGGGTAACGGTAGGAAACGGTGTGCCTGTGGTCGCTATTTTATTACGACAATTTTTTTCTACCGTTATCGTTATCTACCGTTTATCGATAAGCATGCCTAGCTGTCACCAAACCGAAATAGAAGAAAAGAAAGAAAGAAAAGTCTAATTTTGTCCTCTTATCACTAAATTTGCATGAGAATACTCTAAATTACATAATTTTTAATCGAAATTTTTGGCTAAAATTGATCTTTGAATTACTCTTTTTAAGCTGGATGGGGCATGCCATTCTAATAGGTATTTGACGGTAGGTTAGGAGCTTGGTTATAATATAATTCGCCTATTCTATGGTTTATTGATAAACTATGTTTAAACTTCTTCGGAAATGTCAAAACAATACGCCAAGAGATTCTGATGTCTAGAAACCGAATATCCAGTTACTTTTGGAAAGGTCTCTTGAAAAGTGGGTTAAACGAACGAATTCGGGAAAAATAACACTGCCACCTTGTTCGGCAAAGTCGATTATCTATTTGGATGAAGTTTTAGCCAATTTGGAGATAACCGATTGTTTTTTGATTCGTTTCATCTTTTAGCTGTCTTGCAAAATTTTGTCAGATGTAAGATTTTGATTGCAAGTCAGTACCAGCTAGCAAAACAGCATAAATTTGCAGATCTTGCAAGATCTTGCAAAATGCAACAGCTGATCCCGAGCCCAGTTTTCAAATTCAAATTTCAACAATTTACCAGGAACTGTATTATCCAAAATGAACGCCAATCCACCGCCTACTAACATTTCGATGTTGAGCAACATATTGAACACTTGATCCCAGGTTTTGTTGCCTGAATTGGAAGGGTAAAGATTCTTTTGATTGTTTGATCTGTACCTGAATCGACTGGTGTCTTTGTGAAATGCTTTGGCACAGTAATCCCAACGATTAACGCCAAGCCCATGATGGCGAGATTTCTCGTTTGATTCAGATTGACCATCTGAAAAGTTTGGATAACTCTCGAGAAATTGATACTGAAGCGATACGATAGTCGAATCGATAGTGAAGCGCGGTTTTTGCGTATGCCAGCAGACAAAACTGGAAGACTTGAAATTACCCGAAGATTCGACAAAGCAACTCCGGCGATCGCACTCATCGAAAGACACAAAATACCGCCAACCAATGGATCGGGGATCGAGGCGAAAACGGCCGCGAACTAAAGAGAGAGCTGTTTAGAAAAAGTGGAAGCTTAAGATGCTAATGGTTTTAGCTTTAATATGTTAATTCCCTCTGGAGTAAAGGAGATCAAGTGCTTTGTGGTCTAATGGTTAGGGCGGTTGGCCGATAAGTGAAAGGTCACGGGTTCGAGTCCCGGCATTGCGCGAGTTTTGATCTCCCCTGATTTCAACTAGCCTTTTGTTTATCTGCTTATCATAGAAAGCTTACTTTAGTGAATAGCCCTAAGAAGACGAAAAAAATGCCGACGAGTTGAACGGTGACACGAGAGACGACCTAGAAAGTTTGGAATTAAGGCTTTAGTGCTTTAGCTTTAGTGCAAACCCTTGTGAATTGCAAGAGAGCGATGTTTCCGGCAAAAGTGGTGACACCGATTGGAATGCTGACGATCGAGGCGACGATTGAACCAAAACCTTGAAATGGATTTAGGATTACTGTAAATAAGTGTAAAATAGAATCTGGTTACGGTTTTGGTTTAAGATTTTAGGCCACCTTCAACCATGATTCCTCGATTGACGGCATCTCGAGGCGGATTCCCCTCCTCGGAGACGCGAGCGCCCATCTGGAAATGTTTAGGTAAAGATTTTTAATGAAAGTTTAATGAAAGTAAAATTTGATAGTTTTCTTTAAGCTTTAGACTTTCACCTTGTACGAGCCAACGTTTTCGACGATTTGTGAGAGCACAGCCGCTCCGTATCCAATGCACATCGCTGTGTCGAGCTTTGGGGCACCGTATTCCCCTGGAAATGGGATAAATCGATAAAAAAAATAAAATTGCTAGATATCTGCTAATTGTAATCGAACCTGGATACGGTACTTTGAACCAAGGAGCATCGGAGACGAGCCCACTTGTCGCATTGTTGTTCGTTGACGCGGGCGAATAGTCGTCGATCAGCGAGGAAGCTGTGAGAATCCAACAAATAAACCATGAAATCAACATCCCCAACATGAACTGAATTTTTGGAAATCATTTGGATATCGTTCAAAAAGCTAAACGGTTCCAATACGGTTCCTTTTTTGATCTAACACGGTTCCAATACGGTTCCAATACGGTTCCAATAGGGTTCCAATGCGGTTCCTATTTTGATCTAATACGGTTCCAATAGCTTTCCAATAGCTTTTAGCTTTTAAATAGCTATACAATATTTTGTTAAACTGGTAGTGCTTCGAAAGTCGAAACACCTTTTCTGCCGTAGTATCTTTAGCTCTTAGCAAAAGCTCAGTGCGCTAGAAAGGATTTGTTTCGACTTCTCAAGCACAAAGTACCTTCATAAGACAAAGCACAAAGTATTTTACAACAAATGAAATCTCAAAAATCCCCTCACCGAAAACTGTCCGATAAGTGGAGCGCGGAGGACTTTAAACTTTTTCTCTTTGAATGAATAATATGGGAATGGTATGTCGATGTTCTCCATGTACATAGCGAATATCACCAATAGAACCAGCTCACTGAAAGCTCGTTTAAGTACGGTTGAGTCGAAGCTCAAACTTACACAACGGCCATATAATGTGACGTCAATTTCTCCTCGATCGTCGGAACAACAGCGATCGCCAGCAAGGTGAGCAGTGGCACTGGAAACATTTCCAATTTCTAGATGAAGCTTACAGTAACCCACGTTTTAATATCTAAATCTACAGTAGGACTTTTTGGATTACCGTAGTCTAAAGCTATTCAACTCGGATATCCGCAATCATTGTGACACAATAGACATTCAACTTTGGAAGGCCAGATAAAAAAGTTGAAAGCTTGAATCGAGGTCTTGGCTTAGGCTTAGGCTTAGGGCTTAGGCTTAGACTTAGAGCTTAGGCTTAAGGCTTAGGCTTAGGCTTAGGCTTAGGGTTAGGCTTAGGCTTAGGCTTAGGGTTAGGCTTAGGCTTAGGCTTAGGGTCCCGGCTTAGGCCTATCAGAGCAGACCAGATGCCACTGAGGCTAGCTTTACCAGTATCAAAGCTACAGTAATCTTGCACCAACTTCAAGTATAAAATCTTTCTTTACCTATAGTAATCGGTCCGACGAATCTCGCGAAGATACCCACCGCTCCAGAGAGTCCGATCAAGAAAAAGAACAACGAGGCGAGCAGCATACTGCCGGAAAACTGAAAACGAAAAGCTTTCCGTAAAAATTGTAGGCTTAGAGTTGAAGATATATAACTGAATATCATTTTCCGAATCTCTTTTTTACCATAGCTATCCGCTGATGCCATTCCTCTTCGGGCACATCATCTCCATAGCCAGCCTTACACGCGTTCTCCGGGAGATTACTGTAATTTATATCCATATCTAGATATTTACATTGATGTTTAGATATATCTAATCATAGAAACGATAAAAAATTCACCCATAAGCAAGCAGAGGAGCCAAGAATTGCAGTGAGTGCCCGTGCACGATGGCTAAGCTGAAAATTGAGATTGGCATCATTTGAACTCATCAAAAAGACAGTACTATAAACATATGGGAAAATTTGCATATCAATCATTCATCAATTTGCATATCACTAGCACTTACCGTACTCCAAAAGTGGCTTGAACGAACGAGGCGATTCCACCGGAGACAAACGTTGACGCCATTAGGTTTACCCTGAAAATCTTCTTGTTTCTTGGTTTATCCTGGAAACTCGATTCAATCTAAGTTCTATGTTGAAGTGTTATCGTAATTTACCGTAATTTTGGAGTGGCTTTCCCTGCACAAACGATGTCAGCGACGAGGAAAGGAGTCACAAAATAACCGGACAGAGCGACCATCCATTGCTGAAAAGATGGCGAATAGAAAAGAGAGATTGAAAGTACTTTAGATGAGAGTTAGATATAGAAAAGTTGCTTGAAACTACGGTAGCTTAGAGTTAGAAAAATTACTTGAAAGTATAGAAGAGTTACTTGAAAGTACGGTAAATCTATTAGGTTGATGCAAAAGTCTTTTTCATTTTTTTCGTACTTCTTTTGAAAAATAACAAAGTCATCAATTAACCTATGGTTTGCTCTAAATGAAAAGTGTTTATTGTTCAATTTCCCATCTTTTTAAGTCAATTTGGGCTCACTTTCAAGCAAATTCGAGAGTGAAAACGGGTTTTTCATAAAAATCTATAAAAACCTCTATAAAGAAATTGGCTGAATCAATTTCTCTGAAAATCTGAAAAAATATCTAACTTTTTGTGCTCTATCTTCTATTTATTAACATCAAGATTGGTTTCCTTAGCTAAAGCGTCTAAAATGCATCATCGAGCCGTCGCCTTTTTTGACTACCCGACTTCAGGCTCTCAAAAAAATCTAGACATAAGACATTTTAAACTCGTTTTAATGTCATTTTGCAGAAAAATAATTGGCCTTTCGAATGCAATAAACCGTTGTTCAATTGGTGCATTTGTTACTTTTTAACGGAAGTACGAAAAAAATGAAAAAGACTTTTGCATCAACCTAATAGTACTATTTCGTAGAGCGTACTTTGAGCTCAAGTCTAAATACGGTACTTGAGAAGAAAACTGATGAATCAAGAGCAATAAAAGGGGGTTTATTTGCACACACTAAGCAATGGTTTCATGATCGACTGGCTAAGAGTCTTCTATCTCAGTCAGTAGGTCAAGGGTTCAATCCCATCGACTCTTTTTTTCCATCTCTAGCTTTTCCTTCATTTAGGGCTTAGGCTTCTGTACTGTTTGTACTATATTATTCTATTATTTTAAAGTACACCAAAGTGTCACCTGAAACGCCAAGACAACAGCGATGATCGGCGGTGGGTAATCGTTGACTTTATAAAGGAGAATCGACTTCTTCGGCGTTTCCTCATTCTCGTCAACGGATGAGCAATCACTGCTGAAAGTTTTGCAATGTAGATGCTCAAGAAAGTTGAATACCAAATACTGTTGTTGGATCGAAATTGGATGCAAGTACGGTAAACCGTGACTAGCTCTTTTAGAACTAGAGCTTTTAGAACTAGAACTCTTTTCCCTTAAAATCTCACCTTTGCTCGAATTCTTTGCTTTTTCGTTTTACTAGAGACATTTTCTTGGAGAATTAGAGGAATTGTTGATTCTGAGACTTTTTCTGATTCTTTTTCCTTTTCTCCTTTGGAATCAATTCTGAAAATTAATTGATTTTTAAAGGATTGAAAAATGAAAAGAAAATTGTAAAGAGAAAACGATTTGGCGGGACTTAACTCCCCCTGGAGCAGCGAGGATCAGGTGCCTTGTGGTGTAGTGGTTAGCACGTTAGCCCAGTAGGCGGAAGGTGGCGGGTTCGAGTCCCGGCGACGCCTGTTCTTTTGCAAATCAAATTTAGAGAATCTTAAAATGAAGATGACGAATCAAATATTTGTAAACTAGAAATATTGCATAAGTTTTCCTTTCTTAAAAGCTCTGAAATTTCTGTTGTCTAGCAATGTCAAAAGTGCAGTCAAAACCACTTAATTTAATAGAATTTAATAGAATTAATAGAATTAGGATCCAAAACCGAACTCTAATTCTATTAAATCAAATTGGAAACCTCAAAATCTACTATTAAAATAGATTATCAACTCAAATTTGGTTAATTGCTGTGTTTCAATCAAATTTTTGCTATTTTTCTAGAATTTTCAGATACAATTTTTGATTTGATTTTGATTTTTTGATAATTTTTGCTAGTTTGCTTTAAGCTTTAAGCTTTTCCCTATCTCTAACCTCTTTTATTATCCAAAAAGGAAAAACGCTATGATAGATTGATAGAATTTAATAATAACTAAGTCTTTTCTAACTAAGCCGTCCACTCAAGGTGAAGTTTCGGAGCTCTAAACCATCTTGTAGCGTAGTTAACTCCCTCTGGAGTAAGGGAGATCGAATGCTTTGTGGTGTAATGGTCAGCACAGTTGCCCGGTTAGCGAAAGGTCGCGGGTTCAAGTCCCGCATCACTTTTTGATCTCCTCTAGTTCCAACTATTTTTCATCCAGAATCCGATCCTGCTTTTAGTTTTTCCTAAAAGACGTTTTTCGAATGTCTATTTGAGGCGCGCACTTCCCTAACGTGGCGCACTTCCCGTGGTAGCCTAGTGGGTAAGTGGTTTGTCTCTAAAAAAAGCTAAGCACGGGTTCAATGCCGAGTCAGCCAGAGTCAGGGAATGGCTTTGGTGATATGGCTTAGGCTCAGGCTTTTGTACTTTGAGCTTCGATCGGAAGCGCTTTTCTGGTGCACTTGATTCTTTCTTTTTCCTTATAGAAATGACTTGATGCACCAAGAAAAAGGAAGAGCCTACCGTAAATACTGTAATAGTACCCCCACCCCGATAATGACGGTGCGGAGCGTTGCGTAGTCTAGCTTTGGACGCGTTTTTCTCGACACTGGTTTATGCTACAATGCGCGCTTAGGTATCAAAAAATAGCCCTGAATTTCAGCTATTTTTTGATACCTAAACGAGCATTGTAGCATAAAGCAGCGCGGAGAACGGGATGTTTAAAGTTAGACTACGCAACAATCCCGAAAAAACGCGTTTTTCTCGACACTGGTTTATGCTACAATGCGCGTTTAGGTATCAAAAAATAGCTGAAATTCAGGGCTCTTTTTTGATATCAAAAGACGCTTTTTTTGAAAGTACGGGTGCTTTGCAAAAAATGAAATACTAAAAAACTACGCGACTGTACGAGCGACTACGCGACTGTACGAGGGTGGTGGGGTACTATTACAGTACGGTATTGCTTGAGAAAGGGTTTGTTTACAGAAGACGTATCTAGAAGGTTGAGAAAATTCTTTTTCTAGAAAATCAGCTATAAAATTGTGAAGTTCACTGTGAGAACTTGTGACAACTACAGTCATTTTTGATTCTATTGAACGTTCTATTTCGTTCTATTGAACGAATTCTATTGAATTCCTATTTTGATCTAATACGGTTCCAATACGGTTCTAATACGGTTCTAATACGGTTCTAATACGGTTCTAATGCGGCTGCTTTTACGGTTGCAATACGGTTCTAATGCGGCTCCTTTTACGGTTCCAATACGGTTCTAATGCGGCTCCTTTTACGGTTGCAATACGGTTCCAATACGCTTCCTATTTTGATCTAATTCAGTCTTGTCTCAGTCTCAAAAACAGTCTCAAAATCAAAATCAAACTGATACAGTCTATCTAAATGATAATTTAGAAAGCTCAAAAAGGCAAATAGGTAATGAAAAAAGTAAAAAGGTATAGAAAATTCGGGAATATTTTCCGAATTTCTATTTAACAGCACTTTTCGGACCACAAGAGGCAGTCACTTTTTGGAAAGTTTTATTAAATTTCTTTTCTTTTTCAATTTTCCATTGTGAATTTTCCCAAGAGTCCAAGAGCTCGAAGTGAGCGAATTTTTTGAGGCAGCGACCGGGTATTTCAAGGGAAATCTTATCAACATTGTAGAGCTGATAAGCCTAAGCATTCCGGGGTTTCTATGGGATTTTCGCTGGTGTCCAAGGGTCGTTCTTTTGCCTAATCATCTAATCTATCGAAAATTCAAAAAAGAGAAAGAGAGAGCCTCAGTCTTTACGATTTTCAGTGGTTTTCCTCGAATTTCTACATTGGAAATGACGTGTTTTTGGGCGTTTTCGAAAAATCAGCAAACAAGGTACGGGAATTGCAAAAGATTGATAATAAGAGTCATTGAGAGCTTTGTATTTGAGTTCCGATTGTTCTAGGATTTTGAAATTTTGAAAAAACCAGAAATGCAGACACGGGCGGGACTCGAACCCGGGTCGTGTGGGCTAGAAAGAAGTGCACTCCCACTGCACTACAGCATGGCCGAGTGGTTAACGCGCGCGTTTCTCAAACGAACGAAAGAGAGAGGCGGCTGGTTCGCCTCCTCTTGCCGCCAATTCTTTTGCTATTTGCTCTAAAAATTTGTTCGCAGCAGCAGCAAAGCTTCTGGTACCCGTAAGACTCCAAAGCTAGACTACCAAAGCTAGACTACCCGTAAGACCATAAAAAACGTGAACTCCTGTCTGTTAGACGCGTTCTTCGATGCAAATTGGACTAAATCGTAGTTGAATTGCCGCATTTGTTGGTGTTAAACGAAAGCTACAAGTTTTTTTTTCAATTTTCCACCTCTTTATGCCGAATCTCTCAATAAAATGACGTGTTTTTCAAAAAAGAAAAAAAAATCGAAAGCTCAAAGCATGCAAAATGGGGAAACTGATAACAATTAGACACACGGGAGTTTTATAAGCCGTAAATCTTCTCGACTGATTCGATTAGTCCTTCTAAATTTATTCTTAGACGCGAAGTTTCTGAGTGAGTTTGCTATAAAGCAAAAAAGGGGTTTAAAAAAATTGTTGTGAGGATTTGGATTGTTGTGAGGATTTATTTGGGAGAGAAACAACCCAATTAGAGCGGTGAATAGCAGAGGGAAGCATCACGATCGGTTTTATCGCGGAGGGAAGCATCGCGATCGGTTCCTACTTTCTAAAACATTGTAAACGCGTTTTGGTGCACTGGACTTTGTAATTTTCTTCAGGAAATGTTTAAAGAAAAGTTAACTGTGCCAGGAAAGAGATGTTTACATAGAAAAGCACAAAGAAGAAGAAGAAGAAAGAATGAGAAGAAGAAGAAAGAAGAAGAAGAAGAAGAAGAAAGAAGAAGAAGAAAGAAGAAGAAGCCAGTTTGCTTTGATTCCTTGGCGCTTGCAGAGTCTTTTACTTTAGCTAGAGTCTAAAATATTATACATTGTAGGAAAATGGTATTATTCATTCATTAAATTTATGCACAAAATTTTAATGTTGGCCAAAGCACACTTATTTTCGATCTATTTCTTTCTAGAGCATTTCTAACAAGAGAAGCATTTCTAGCATTTCTAACAAATACCTCAGCTAGCCCTCGTCGATCGCCCGATGCTAAAATAAACGATCAAATGAGTTGGTGGCGAAATGGATAAGGAATCCGGATACAAAGATGCTATAGATCCTCTGCTTTCAACTCTTCTGTATTTTAGATTCATTTAAGCATTTCTAACAAGCCTAACCCTTAGCCTAAGCCCCAGCTAGCCCTCGTCGATCACCCGATGCCAAAATAAACGTTGTAGAATTGTCTAGTTGTACTAGTTGTAGTAAATTTTAACATTACTAGTTAAAAGTTTCGTTAAAAGTAAAGAAAAAGTAAAAAGAGTTGCTGGATGAAGAGTTGAACTTAAGCAAAGAGTTTATAGCATCCTTGTACCATCCTTGTACCCGAATTCCTCATCCATTTCGCCACCAACTCATTTCATCGTAGCAGAAGTCTTCTTCAGCAGAAGCAGAAGATTTCTCAAACTTCTATCTCGCAAATCTCGTATGAGCAGCTGATTTTGCATCATTTTGATCAATTTTGATCGATTTTGATTTTGATTAGCTCAGTTCAGCATCATTTGAGCATCATTTTGATCAGCTCACAGCTCTACAGCTTCTATTTTGGCTCTACAGCTCACAGCATCCTTGTGTAGCTCACAGCTCACAGCTCACAGCTGTAGAGCATCCTTGTGTGGCTCACAGTTCTACAGCTCTACAGCTCTACAGCTCACAGCTCTACAGCTTCTATTTTGGTATCGGATGATTGGCGAGGGTTCAAAAAAAAAGGACAATCATTTTCTCAAGTTTCATATTTAAATAATGATTAAATGAATTTTCCTTTTCTTGTTTAAGTCCAAGTCTTCATCTAGCAATTCTTTTTTTACTTTTTTCTTTACTTTTAACGAAACTTGTTTCATTTTACACAAAAATTTCGATGTTAAAGGGCTAAAAAGGAAGAAATTCTCTGCAAAAAGCCTTTCCATATGTTCTCGTAAAGCTTTTATTTCATTTTAAAGGATAAAGATTTCAAATAAAGTGAGATTTCTCTAAATTGAGCTAGAAATAGGAGAAAATAGGTTATTTTTGCATAAAGTTTGTATTTTTATCTTAGAACGAAAGCTGGTTGGGTCTTTTTAAGCTCGTTATTGGGTTGGTGAATTGAAAACTGCCGGCTATTGTCATATGTGACAGTTTGAGGACTCTCTTCAAAAGAAACCCATTTTGGTGTCAATGGAAAAGTTGTAGAGAATCAAAAATGAGGCTTATAACCAAATTTCCAAAAAGATACACTTAGTAGTTTCGCTTAAAATTTGTGTGTTCTGTGTGTTCTTTGTGCGGCCGCGTAATCGCTCGTCGTCTGGCGCAACTTTTACATAACCCCCCTCCCCTGCCCCTCTGACAAATAATCTGGCCGGCTCCGAATCCTCAAATTGGACATTGGCTTCTCCTCAAATCAAGGCTAATCTCAATCTATTGGGTGGGTGAATTGAAAACTGCCGGCTATTGTCATATGTGACAGTTTGAGCACTTTCTTCAAAAGAAACCCATTTTAGTGTGAATGGAAAAGTTGTAGAGAATCAAAAATAAAGCTTATATCCAAATTTTCAGAACAATTCAAAGACTGGTTTTCAAGAAATGCCAAATTTACGAAACTTTCACAAAACTTGCATTTTAAGCGAAACTACTAAGTGTATCTTTTTGGAAATTTGGCTATAAGCCTCATTTTTGATTCTCTACAACTTTTCTATTGACACCAAAATGGGTTTCTTTTGAAGAAAGTGCTCAAACTGGGACACTGGGACATCTCCAGTCCTCCATTTCTGAGTCTCACACTTGTCTCACACACAAACCGAAATCCTACCACGAAAGAGGAATCCGCAAATTGCCTGTAAAATGGGCAGGAGTCGTCAATAATAATGGAAACCTATTTGGAATGGATTGATGGTTTTATGTTCAATAAATTTTAGTTCAAAGTTCCGCAGTTTTCAATTCATCAACCCAATATAAGTAACGAATGTTCGGAGATTCTTTAGTTCTTAACTTCTTAGTTCTTAGCTTATTCAATAAATTCTGAGAAAAGGAATCGAAAATTGATAGATGATAAAGAAAAGATAAAAGAAAAGAGCTTGATGAATACAAAAAGAGACAAAAATCACCTCTTAAATGAACGGAGAAGAAAAAGAACAAAAAGGGAAATTCGTTTTTCTAGAGAAAAGTAAGATTCGCATGTAAACTTGAAACCAAAAAAATTGAGTTTTTTAAATTCGTGAAAAAATTCTTTGTGTCCACTCAAATGCTAAGAGATTTCCTCGTTTGTTTAAACGGGTTGTTCTTTCTTTGATTTTTTTTTACCATTTCCTTCTTTTTACCATTTAGGTGATAAGAATTCCCTTGGAGATCAATTGGAGAGTTTTTGAAGGAAAAGGAAAAGCAGACAAGAAAAGAAAGGAAACCGTTTGAATCATTCAATTCAAGGCCGATTACCTAGAGGTTGGATTTGGAATGGAAGCGATAAGAGAATAAAAATAGAAGCAAGAAATGGATGGTTAGAGGCGAAATTGGGAAAAGTGAAAATGAATCAAAAATGAATCATTCTTGTCATTGAAAGTTCAAGGCTTTTCAAAAGTCTAGGCCTTTGAAAGACTCCAATGCTTTCAAAGCTTCTCAAACTTTTCTAAAACTTCTTCCCTTCTGTCCAGCTCTTCGCCACTTCCTGTTTCCAGGAAGTGCCCAGAGTGCACCACGAGGAGGTGGCTGGACTTCGCACTCCGCCACCCTGTAGTCCGAAGACTCTTGGGATCCGAGGTCCACGTCTGGTCCTTGGCGATGGCACCGACTCCCGCAGCAAGAATGCTCAGCTTGCTAAGGTGCGCGCAACGTAAGTAGGAGAATGCTCCGAAGTTACACTTTGTTGATACTAAAAGGGATTGATCTGATCCCCAGTCGGTTTAAGAACCTCACGGTTCCTCCAATGGGGTGTCCAAACTTCCGCCATCTAGACGACTGTCGAGTAGCGGACAGCTGAAGGAAGCCGGAGCCCAAAGGGAGCATAATTGTAATCCGGTTACGAGCAACAGACCATTCTGCCGCCCTCCACGGGTGGCAGTGCGGAATAGTAGCGATTCTACAACTTCAGCGGTATCCCTCACGGGAGACTGTGGGTCTTTCCACAACATCCTTTCGGTTTTATGCTGCTCGGGGCTTATTCGTACAATCGACCCGGGCCGGCCCATGGCTCCGGGCGCCGCCTTCCACGAACGAGTTAGGCATCGACCAAGATGAGAAGCAAGCTTCTACAAACCCATGTCTCCAAAAAAGCATTTATACTCTTCAAACCAGGCGGACCGATGTGCGAGTGAACACAAAGGCAAAGCAGAGGAGGAAAGGGGCCACTATCTATAAAGGCCCTCTGTCAGAAAGTGCGCGATTGGGTGCGTGCACAAAGAACATTCCCCGCCCGTTAAGCGCTTTAGTTTTTCGGACTTTTCTCAGTCATACTTTGACGAATCGGCTCGTTTTTATGTCAAACGATGCGCCTTGAAAACTCGAAACTGAGAACGGCGTCAAATGGGTCTAGGTTTTGTTGGACAAAAAGCTGAGTGGGTAAAAACAAGATTGAAACTTCTCGACTTTGATTTTGATTCCAGTTATAGTGCAAATAGTGGATATCAGTCGGACCGATCTCGATCCTTAATCCGGGCCAAAGCCTCAATTTTTCTGTCCGACCTCGATCCAATCCGGATCGAGAACAAAAATCGGACCAAGGACCGGACCGAGTGTCTGGTAAGTAGTCATCTATCATAATCAGCAGCTCTATATCGATTTCTGAGATCTCTTCATTCAACATTCGATACGATAATATCCCTAACCCTTAAAGAAACACTCTGCATCAAGAGGAAATCAATTTTCACCTCACATTTTACTCATCTCGAGATTTCACCGGATTGTTGTTTCTAGCCGAGTCCTCCTCATCTTCATCTCCAATGAGTTGTTGTTTCTAAGCGAGTTCTCCTCATCTTCACCTCCAATGAGTTCATCCATTTCTTTTTCTCATTTTCTTCTTTCAATTTATATGCAACTAGTTTCCTTGCCCACAAATCTTTTCAACAGAAATCTGGCATTTCCCAATCCATTTTTCTTTTTAAACCAGCTTTCATCGATGATCTCTTTCCCTTTCCTGTAAATCCCTTCTCGTTTCCCCTCTTATTCCCTTTTGTATATTTCTTATTCAAATAAACTCATCATCTTTTCAGACCGTCTTTTCTAGAGCTTCTAGAGCCACTTGCTTCAAATCTTTTCCTTTTTAAAACATCTTTTTTTGTTAGCTAGTTTTTTTCTGAGCTTTTCAACCATAGGGAAGTGCTTTTCGTGAGCATTGATTTTTCAAATTTTCTCTTCTTTATGAATTCTTTTAAAGTCAAAGTTTTGAAAAACAAAATTAAATCAAATGTTTAGATGCGATGGCTTCTAATCTTGTCCCTATTGAACGTTAGAATGATAAAAGCTGGGAATTCAAGAGAAAATAAAGAAATGCGACAAATCGAAACGAAAGTTCCATTGATGATTTTGAATCGAACAAGAACATTTAAGGGAATTCCAATTTTGGCAAGAGGAGCTGGAAATGAGAAAGTGCTTTCTTTCGATTTTTAAAATATTATTGATTTCTTGATTTCAGATTTTTCTTAAATCAAAACTGCTGGAAAGTTTGAATCGATTTGATGGAGGGAAAGAGAAGTTGGAGCTCATTGAGAATTCAGTCACTGGCGGGCAAAAAGATCATCGAGAAAATGGGGAAAATGAGGAGATCAGGTACTAAAGTTTTCAATTAGATTAGATTCAAATTCGAAATAACTATTATCCAGCTCCTATGCTTTATCCAGCTCCTCAATTTCGATCAACGTGAGCCCATCACCGATTCGAGAAGAAAGATCGGATAGTGAAGTGAACGAGTTTGATCCACTTGATACTGAGGTCAAAGAATTACTTGAAATTGAGCTTTGAATGTACTTTGTGCGGTAAATACACCCTTTCTGGTGCACTGAAAATTGAGAGCTTTAAGGAAATCATTCAATGGAATCATTCAATGGAATTCATTCAATTTTCAGTCATTCATTCCCCCATCCGATCCAATCTCTCCATCTTCGACAAAAGAGATTTTAGATAGAGAAAAGGTAGTTTAAAATGAATGAATCATGTAAATAACTAAATAATATATAAATATATATGTCGTAGCCGTTTACGAAATTCAGCCGCTAACGAATGAGGGTATTTCCGGGCATCCAATCAAAAAGTCAGCCACATAAAAGTCGTTCCTCGCCCTCTTTCTCCTAGCTTTGAAAAACAAGTGTTCAATGTAGCTTTACTTTAAGAAACTACATCAAATTGGCTACAAAATGAGCTATTAAGCAAGTTTTTTGGCTGAGTAGAAAATTTTTTATAGCCATTTTAGGGCATTTTTGAACCTAAACTTTGGGGGCTCAAAAAAAATTTTCTACTGAACCAAATGAGCTAATTTCAAAAATTTATTATAAAATATATGTATTATGAACATTCTTTATGTGGATGACTTTTTGATTGGATGCCCGGAAATACCCTCATTCGTTAGCGGCTGAATTTCGTAAACGGCTACGACATATATATATATAAATAGAGCTCCAATAAAGAATAAAGAGCTTCAATTCTTTAGAAAAACATGGAATACTCAATCAACCCACCAATGAATTCGCGAGTTTCTCAAAAAGCAGCAAAAACAATTCGAAAATGGCGAAAACGACTTTACAAAGCATATAAAGATGGAAGAATTTTTGGAGAAACGAGAAGAAAAAAAAATGGTTTGTGAGGAAGGAATGGTTAAGGATTTACGGATAATTTCCTATTAAACAATTCAATTTTCAGGTTACAGTAGATTTGAAAGTTCAAACGATGCGACAAACGATGAGACAAGCGAACATAAAAGTCAAGTAAGCTATACAAAATCTACAATCGTCTTTAACATATAAAAGTTCAACGTTAACTTCCCAATTAACATTGAACTTTTATATGTTTTGTCTAAAATACTTACCGTGAATACTGTAATAATACCCGACCCCCCTCGTACAGTCGCGTAGTCGCAGTCATTGAAAGCATATGAACAGGTTGATATCAACAAAAGAATTACCGTAAATACTGTATTAGTACCCCATCCCCATAATGACAATGCGGAGTGTTGCGTAGTCTGGCTTTGAACGAGTTTTTCTCGACACTGGTTTATGCTACAATGTTCGTTTAGGTATCAAAAAATAGCTGAAATTCAGGGCTATTTTTTGATACCAAACACGCTTTTTTTGGAAGTACGGGCGCTTTGAAAAAAATGAAATACTAAAAAACTTTTGCGACTACCCGACTGTACGAGGGGGGTGGCGTACTATTACAGTATTTACGGTAATATTTTATTTGTCAATAGTTTTAATTAGAATTTTTCAGAATTTATACAAATTATCCATTCAGAATCTCCGCGGGAATCGCCATGAGCCGAGTTGGAATCGAATCTACGGAATGCATCAAAAGGAAAAGGTTTATAGATCCAAAAAAAAGTTGATCAAAAGTAATAAATATTGCAATTTTTATTAGTAGTTTATAATTTTATCTTTCAAAAACAGATTGACCGAGAAAGCGGCTACGATTCCGAGCCAAAAGCCGGCGCTGTATCCATTGCGGCTCGAGGGTAAGATGTAGAAGATTTTCTTCAATTTCCTTCAATTTTCTTGCAAAATGACTCATTTATAAGTTATTTTTTTTAACAATTTTGATTAATATCACTAAAATGTAGACCATTCGATGGAAAGAAGCTGCAAAAACAGAAAGTGATCTACGTTCCCTATATCCCGGCACCGAATCTCGAAACTCGGCCTCAATATCTTTTCCCAACGACAGCACAACCATCAATTTTCAATCAATCCGATGTACAGAGGATGTTTTTTGTTACGGTAAGATATTTTAAAGTGTTAGAATTACATCTTATTACTTCTTATTATTAATTAACATCAGGCAAACCCGTCTCAAGCGACGACTTTGGGCTTGTTACAAGAATTCGCACCCGGATTCGACAATTCAGTAAATAGTAAGTAAAAAGTAAATAATTCAAGAAAATCTATTTAAAAACTATAAATTTATAAATGAATGAATGAAAAAAATGAATTAAGAACTATAAATGAGCTTTGCAGATAGACTTTTTCATTCGGAGAAACGAGAAATCCAACCATATCCACCTGAGCCTTTCTGGAAAAATAAAGGTTTGAGAAATTTTTAATAATAATATATATTTTGCTAACTACTCATCCTTCAGGTATAAACATAGATTGAAACTTTTCTCACTTGAACCCTTAGAACAACGCCGTCTTATCATAGATTTGGTTGAGTGCTTTCAAATTGTAAAAGGAAAACATCAAAACCCTCTCTTAAAAAATCTTTTTCGACTAAACTCAAGGCTTTTGGCGACTAGGCGTGGCTCTTTTATTTTACATCCCGAATCTGCTTTCTCTAAATCCTCTAGAGCTTTTTTCGTAAATCGTGTGACTAAAGTTTGGAATGCCCTTCCCGACAAGTTGCGTTTGATCTGATTTTAAAAGGGCTATTTCGTTGCATTTTAAGTGACTTTGTCATCTTTTATCTAGTACATTTTTCATGTCGTTTTCGCACTTTATTTCTTTCTGAATAAAGTATTTATATATAATAATATAATAATAATATAATAATAATATAATAATAATAGTATATATATGCTTTATTCAGTTGAATAGCGACAAAACAAAATCACAATAATTACCCGGGACACCACTCAAAACACACCCAAAAGATAAATAGATATCTCAAGAAAGAATCACAGAGCAGTCAAATCAATTGCCGAAATTGCGGCCAAGGTGGAAATATCACGAACATGAGGGGGTAAAATGTTGCAGAATTTAATAACTCGATTAAAAAAGAAACCGTGGGAGCTTTTAGAGGAAACGGAAGGTTGGCGTATGAGAAAAGGGCCCCTTCTGGAGGCGCCCCGTAGAGAGCCGAATTCAGAGACCAGAAAAAAGGGGGTCGGGATGAATGCCTTTAACAATATAATAATAATATAATAATAATATAATAATAATATAATAATAATATAATAATAATATAATACTAACAATTATTTAAATCTTTATACTAATTTAAATCTTTATACTTTTGAAATTTGCGTTAAACCAAAATTTAGTAGATGAACTAACTCGCGAAAGTCGCTTTTCTTCACAACAAACCAATCCGTTTTTGCAAACGAGGTAGCTTTGATTGTTGATTGTTTGATTTGTTTTATGATGTAAATCTATAAATTAAAGTCTATTCCAGTTTTTCGTTAGTCTTTTGGCATAATTTAATCTCTTTAGTTTCCATTCAACAACGGCTCCTCAATTTTTGACTCCAATTCCCACTCTGCCACCGGTGAACTCATTTCTCGTACAGAAATCACGAGGCTCTGGTGGATTTGGAGTTCCTGGAGAGGTTTGGAAACTGGAGTCTGGAGTTATTTTACAAGATAAAACCTAGAAAGCATTGTAGAAATAGAGCAGAAATTGATTCTTATCACAAAATTGACATTTAGCGAGAATTCGTTGAACTAGAAGATGAAGATCTTGACGATCCCAAGAATTTCGACTTTGCCCCGATTCGAGAGGTTCTTCTTTAAGAATTTAAATGAAAGGGTTCAACTTAGCACTGGAATTTTAAATCACCTTTTCTATAAGTTTTCTATTATTTATTATCTAATATCTAATATCTATTATCTATTATCTATTATCTATCTAATTTTCTATTTCTATCAAATGGAAAGGGTTTAGGTTCGAACAAGTAGTGGTTTGATGGAAAGCGATGATAAATGTAACAGTTTACGATTGAGAACAATCATTCAAAATGTGAGTGAATGAATGAATGAATGAATTAAATAAAAAAGAAAAGAAAAGAAAGAGAAAGCCCTTTCCAGAATATAATCGTAAATGATGCAGAAGGATCGAAAAGAGCGATACAACAAGAAGCCGAGAAAGATATGGGAAGGTAAAGATTTTGCTTCATTTTTCACCAATTTTTACTTTTTCCGATTCATCAATGTGATTTGTGGAACGGGTTTCTTCTCGTACATCGCTCACACCGATGAGTTTTGCCTAGCAACTTCTGGCGGTATGTTTAACTTACAAATGAGGCTTTTTAATGCTATATCCTGTCGAAAAACCCATGCGTTTTTCTATCGATAAACCTGTTTTTGAGACTGGTTTAATTACCCAAGTCGACTTAGCATCCAGCAGTGCGCCAGACGCCGCTTTTCCTTACGAGCAACATCTAGGGTACACACAGAACTTGGGTAATTAAACCGGCTCGATGGCTTTTCCGCCCCCCTCCCCCCCCCATCCGGGACCGTGTGCCAGACGCTGCTTTTTCCTATGAACAACACCTAGGATACACACAGGAACCTTGGGTAATTAAACCGGCTTTTCCGCTCTCCTCTTCCCTCCCCCTATCCGAGGTCGTGTGCCAGGTGCCGCTTTTTCCTCCGAGCAACACCTAGGGTACAGACAGAGACCTTGGGTAATTAAACCGGCTTTCCCCTCCTCTCCCCCGCCCCTATCCGTGTCCGTGTGCCAGAGACCGCTTTTTCCTGCGAGTGACATTTGAAGAACGCACCAAGTCATAGCCTAGTTCCAGAAATTTTATTTAATACAAATTAGAGAAATTTACCGTATTTACTCGAATAGAAGACCGGTCTTCTATTTTTTCAATCACCCCCCTAGACCCCGTCTTCTATTCGAGGCCGGTCTTCTATTCAAGACGGTCTTTTATTATTTGCATTCACGAAAATTTTCGGGAAAGTAACCAGCGTTTAAAAAAAAACTTTTTATAGAAATTTATTGTAACATTTAACAACAAAATTTATCAACAACAACCTTTAATAACAACATTAACAACAATTAATAAGAACATAAAAAGCAGTAATAACAACATTATTCTTCATTCTCACTTGATTCAATGTCATCCTCTATTAAATCTGGGATCTTGCAAATTCCATCAAGTCCCTCTGCGCTCGAAATTGAATCGTTTTCACTCTCATCTCCATTGTTTCTATCCTCGTCAGAGTCGATATCTTGACAAAGTTTTGCTAATCTTCCCTCCAATCTTGCAATATCCAGCTTGAATCGACCACTCTCAACAGCTTCCCCATTGCGGAAACAAACAATCTGATCATCCTCGCTGTTGAACTCCTCGTTGTCATTTTTGCCGTCACAAAAAATTCGCAAGCCATTCATTGCTTGCGGAGAAAGACTTTGTGAAATCTAGGTTTGATTCGCGAAAAAACTCCTTGGCTTTGTCCTGAACCATAAGTCGAGAAACTTTTAGCTTTTCGTCTCGTTTTTCTTTGATCCATCGATAAGTGGTCTCCTCGACTGCGCGAAATTTAAGCATTCGCCCTCCTCCTTTTAACCGCTTCGCTCCTTTCGATTCCTTTTGCAGCGACTCCTCTTTTGCCGTCCAGTCTGGAATCATCTTTGGAGTCACCTTAAACTATCGAGCAGTCGCCTCTTTTTCTTTGAAAAACGAATGGCCTCGAGTTTAAAGGCGGCACTGTAGGTTTTCCGTTTCGTAGCACCTCCGATCCCCTAAAAAAAAAATGCTACTTTTCCGTTATACCTCCGCCAACTCCACATTTCCGTTATAGCCCGCCAGTTTTTAGATAAAAAATGATCAGATAATCAAATAATTAAAAATAATCAGAGTCAAAATGACGGAAATGTGGAGATGGCGGAGGTATAATGGAAAAGTACCAAAAAAAATTATTAATACGAGATGTAGAACAATATCAAAAAAATAGTGCTATTGAATGAAAATATAATATTTTTACCCTATTGGGTAAATTCCCTTATTCTTTTCTCGTATTTGAGTACGTCCACTTTCGCGCAGAATAGAAAACAGGGTACCTCGAATATAAGACCGGTCTTATATTCGAGACGGTCTTCTATTTTTTCGATCATCCCCTAGACCCCGTCTTCTATTCGAGACGGTCTTATAATCGAGGCCGGTCTTCTATTCGAGTAAATACGGTAATAACTTATTTCAGGTGTGAATTGTTATGCATTCAGCCCGGTTTGTGGTGGTGACAATGCACAGGTGGAGTTTCGAAAAAATCGGCAAAAGTTTCTGAACAAAAATTGACGGATTTCTTCTGTGCAAAGAATTTTTCCTCTAAAAATTAACCTCTAAAAGTGTGACTTTCAAGTGATTTCTCTGCGTGATATTTATCAAATCGCTTCTCTTTTCCATTTTAATGATCAAATACCGGAGTGTTGAGTGAGTGTTGAATAAAAATTTACGGGTTTTTTCTTAGATTTTCTTTTTTGTTATTTACAAAACAAACAATTCCAAATTCTGGCGGATCACTAATCACTGATTCCGCTTGTTTTTGCGTTTTCGCCCTCTCTGTTTACCAAATTTTCAAAAGTCACGAACATGAATGAAAACTTGTCAAATGTCTGTGCGTTCTTTTACCGTTTCCCATTTGGGACACGGTCCGGCACTGTTTTTCCTAAGGGCGAGGGATAAAGCCCAATCGGAATCCCTCGCGCCGACGGTGCCTAATAGCCGAGTGGTTAGCGTGCTCGTATCGAGTGCGAGAGGTCGAGGGTTCGAATCCCCCTACCGTCAACCATTTTTCTTTTTTGTCAATATTGTCAATTTGTCAAAGGTTATTACCTCTTTAATCAAAAAGGAGCAAAATATTTGGAGTTTTTATTATAGAATTCGAAAATCTATGTTGGTTTAGCAGCATTTCCTCAAAACTCATCACACATCAATAAAAATAAGCCGGATTGATCGGAAGATAGTTTTTAAATTCTCAACTTCCGCCATTTCCCTTTCACAATCATTAAACTTCTTTGTTTACAGCTCTGAATAATTTACGACTAGTCTCACTGTAGCTAATTTTGAAAGGAAATGACTAATGCATTTCCATACTTGGAGTTTTTTATCGCAGAGCTGCAAAGCTTAGTATATGGCGCCTTATTTCATTTCACAGTCGCTCACAATGAGTCAAATGACCTCCCCTTTTACGAAAAATGTTGTGTTACCTTCTGATTGATCAGCTCAATATCAGAAAATCGCTCAAATGCAAATATTTTGACAACTTCTGCCCCTATATAAACGCTTGTGATCGACTCAACTTCGGAATATTTTGAACACACAAAAATATGCAATCTTTTATTTTTTTCTTATCGCTTTCCTTGCTTCTCGGCTTTACCAGGTGATGATTGTTTTTTTTTGGAAAGAAAACAATTTCAGAGGTCAAATGATTAGGAGATTTTGGAAAGCAATTGAATTTTTGAAAAGAAAAGCTTTATTTTAATTAGAGGATTAGCCGATTCTACTGTTAAAGTTTTCAGTCTTTGATTGAATTCAAAATCCTTCAAAACAAGGCTAGGATATTAAAGTTTCGACATGGGCACTACAAACGCTTCTAACTTGCTTTAGACTTGCTGGATTAACATGATCTATAGCTGAACAAATAGAGGATCTCAAGAGCTTTCGAATGGACTAAAGCCCACCCAAAACATCAATGCTAAAGAAAGTTACAGTGGCTTGTAGCCTAACTCAATCGCTTCGACTACGCGCGAGTACGGCCCGTTTCGAGTCAGACTAAAAACCACTGTAACTTTCTTTGGCATTGATGCTTTTGGATGTGCTTTAGTCCATTCGAAAGCTCTTGAGATCCTCTATTTTTTCAGCTATAGATCATGTTATCCAGCAAATTTGAAAGCAAGTTAGAAGCGTTTGTAGTATGACAGTTCGTCATTTTTGTATTTTATAGTGTCCATGTCTATTAAAGCTTGATGATTAAGCGCCTAGTCAAGATTCTAAGTCAGTTTGGTCTTGCTTAGCTTACTAGTTACTATACTGTGTTTGAATAGTATGCTGAGTCTTATAATGCTTCTTATAGTCTTAAGTTTAACCCTTTACACCTAAACATGAAATTCCAGTGCTTTCCCACTTCGCATCGACGATCCGAGTGATATTTGGGCGGTTCTGGTGGCTGGATCGAGTGGATACATCAATTATCGACATCAAGTGGGTTTTGCAATAAATCTAGATGCAAGGATTTCGATCCTGCAAGGCATGATCCTGCAAGAATTCCCATCTTCTTGAACGAAATTCCTTGTAGTCCGACGTCTCAGCCTCCTATCAATTACTGATTGAAAGAGGCGTTCCAAGAGATCAAATCCTGGTGCTCATGTATGATGATGCGGCTAATCATACAAAGTAATGGATAAGAATACAGTAATCTTATTAGATTTTATAATATATCAATACGTTAACCATTTAGCAACCCATATCCGGGAAAGTTATTTAATTGGCCGAATGGACCGAATGTTTATGAAGGAGTTCGGGTCGATTATCGAACAAAAGAGGTCACTTGGGAAAATTTTAAGGTAGAGATTTAAGGTAAAGGTTTAAGGGAAAGATTTAAGGTAAAGGTTTAAGGTAAATGTTTAAGGTAAAGATTTAACGTAAAGATTTAACGTAAAGATTTAAGGTAAAGATTTAAGGTAAAGCTTTAAGATAAACATTTAAGGTAAAGCTTTAAGGTAAAGATTCAAAAATACAGTATTCAAAGTAAATTCAAGGTTTAAATAACTCTAAATTGTTAAAAGAATTCCTTAAAATACATATTATAGGCTGTGATGTTGGGTGAAGCGAATAGATTGAATGGAAAGGGAAGTGGACGAGTCCTAAAGTCGTGGGTTTAGAGATTTTCATACAAATCTTGAAAATCTGAAAAACTATATAAATTGTAACATTTGTAATCTGTTTTTTAGATTTTATTCTAGATTCTAAGCCTTTATGAGCTCTTTTAGAGATTCCACGAAACATCTTTTCTTTTATTTCACCGATCATGGAGCATATCAATTATTGCAATTCCCGAATGATGAATTGGTACTTGAAATTTCGATTTTGATTGATTTTGATTGATTTTGATTTGAAGATTTTTTGAAATTTTCCAATAAAATAAAAAAAATTTAGGTAACGAGTGAAGAAATGAAAAATTTATTGGAAGAAATGATGGAAAAAGAAATTTTTCAAAGCGCTGTTGTGTTTATTGAAGCGTGTGAGAGTGCCTCGATGATTGAGGATTGGAAAACATTTCAAAAAGGTTTCCAAATGAACGCCAGAAAGTTATCGGCTGTCTAGGCTATAGCTAAGTATTGGCTAAGAGCTAAGACTGGCTAAGAGCCTGTTATCTTAGTCAGAAGATCAACGGTTCAATCCCGCCGGCTAGATTCCTTAGTTCTTTCTTCCAGTCCTGTTTTCTTCCGGTTTTCTCCTAAATTTAGCGCTTAGGGCTGCTTGTGTATTGTATTATTCGTTAATAAATCTACTCTTCATCTTATCAGCCTTTTCCTAGTTCTCCTTCAATTTCAGTCTTTGTTGCCACCGCTTCCGCCTCTGATCAGCCATCATTCGCCGCTTTTTGTGATGACCCGAAATTTTTGACGTGTCTAGCTGATGAATTCTCGTATAATTGGATGTCCACTGCAAGAACGGTAAAGAATTCGAAGGAAAAATAACAATTTCCAATTTCATTTTCATTTTCAGCTCTCTCCTGAAGTCTCACTGGATGGATTGACGCGATTAACAAGAGCAAAGACAAAAATGAGTGATGTGCAGGGTGAGTGGAATAAAGGCTTAACACCATCTCCTGGAGGCAACGGGATACCTTTCGGTGTAGCTCATTGGTAGAGCGTTCGCCTGGTAAGTGAGAGATCGCTGGTTCAAGTCCCGGCACCGATCTTTTTTGTATTCCCAGACGCAACTCTTAAAAAGACAGCTTTTTCAACTCAATACAATGCAAAGTTGTGAGTGTCAGCTTCAACAACTACACAAATTCGAAATTCTGAAATCGTTTTTGCAGAGTTTGGTTCATCAACGATGAAAACGGCAATGTACGGTGTTTATCTCGGAAAAGAAATTGATCAGTCGAAACTCGCGTCTACTGTGTATCAAACGTACACAAAAGAAGTAAACTTTAAAAACTGTAGTAATAGCTACTGTAGTAATAGCCACTGTAGTAATAGCTACTGTAGTAATAGCTACTGTAGTAATAGATATTGTAGTAATACAGTACTGGACAATGAAATATGATATTTGAAAAACGATCGTCACTTTCGCGCGCCTGTAACTCCTTTGTCTTTACCGTATTTCTAAATATTAATATTACCATTGTGTAGCCCTTGAAAAGAGCTTTCAGAAAATGTATAACACTAATAGTTTAAACTCAAAAACAAGGGAGTTACAGACGCGCGAAAGTGACGATCGTTTTTCAAATATCATATTTCATTGTCCAGTAGTGTAGATATTGTAGTAATAGATACTGTAGTAATAGATAGTGTAATATTACTACTACAGAACTAGCCAGTGCTGATTGTGAGTATTTTTTAAGCATCCAGACAAGTTTCGCTCAAGCATATATCATAGAAAAGGTGTAAACTCGCTTCGGCATAGAAATAGTCAAACTGTATACCTTTTTAATCGTTTAAAGCCGTTAAAAAGCTTATTCAGCTAAACTCCAAAATATTATAGTCAGACAAATTGGTGGAAATTATCGACTTCCTCAAATTATCCTCTTTTTCCCTTTAGGAAACTCATCCAACTTGGAAATTACCATTGATCCATCTACAACGAAAAGCTTTAAGTGGAAATCAAAAAGATGTTGAGGCATTGAAAGCATATGAACAGGTTGATATCAACAAAATAATTACCGTAAATACTTTAATAGTACCCCACCACGATAATGACGGCCGGCGCATCGTGTAGTCTAGCTTTGAACGAGTTTTTCTCGACACTGGTTTATGCTACAATGTTCGTTTTGGTATCAAAAAATAGCCCTGAATTTCAGCTATTTTTTGATATCTAAACAAACATTGTAGCATAAAGCAGCGCGGAGAACGGGATGTTTAAAGTTAGACTACGCAACAATCCCGAAAAAACGCGTTTTTCTCGACACTGGCTTATGCTACAATGCGCACTTAGGTATCAAAAAATAGCTGAAATTCAGGGCTATTTTTTGATACCTAAGCGCGCATTGTAGCATAAACCAGTGTCGAGAAAATAGCCCTGAATTTCAGCCATTTTTTGAAAAAAATGAAATACTAAAAAACTTTTGCGACTACGCGACTGTACGAGGAGGGTCGGGTACTATTACAGTATTTACGATACGTATTTCTTTTTCAGAAACTTGTGGCATTAGATGAAAGAATGGCTGATTTAAAGACTCTTCTCGATATCCCAAATTCTTTCAAATTAAACTATAATAATTTTGACAAGGAATGTTATGGGAAAGCGATCAGAGAATTTGTGAACAAATGTTCGCAAAGGGAATTGGTTAGTTGAAAAAAAGAAATCTAGAAACTTTGTAAAACAAAACTTCTGTCTAGGATTCATTCGCTTTACGAAACGCTCGTTTAATCGCTTCTTCTTGTGGTGTTTATGATATTAAAAAAGTACAAAATGTGATCTCGATTGCTTGTAAATAATTGAAATACATGCATTTTCTTGTAAATAATTATACAGACAATAATAAAGCTTTATTTGGCGACTCACAACTAAACGTCGATCAAAGTTGACCTCTAATTACCCTATGCTGTATCCTTAACAAAGTTTTAGGTGACTTTCACTTGAGATACTCAGTTGATAAAGCTTCTTCTAGATATTTTCTAGAATCTAAATGATTCAGCAATCATTCCTAGATATCTCTCATCAAAATCTATTTGCAAACTTCAAATTAGACTTGCTTATTGAGACAAACGGCATGCTCATCTTTGATCGTTCAGATCTCGGCCTCTAAAACAGCTATCAATCTGAAAATTGTTCCATTATAAAGTCAAGAATGTCAGCTTTTGATTGTTATATATGTTGTGTCCGATTTAGATTTCCTTCCGATTTAGATTCAATCTAAATCGGACGTCTTATATAGATTGAACAATAATATAAACATGCTTAATATATGTTCTTAAGCGTTTTCTGTAGTTTTCTGCATTTTCAAAGGTCTTGTTTTCATTTTCAAAGGTCATGTTTATATTATTGTTCAATCTATATAAGACGTCCGATTGATTGATTGATTATTTCATGTTGGGTTTTCTTTTCAGAAAAGACAATAACGACCTTTGAAAAATGCAGAAAACTACAGAAACGCTTAAGAACATATCTAAACATGTTTATATTATTGTTCAATCTATATAAGACGTCCGATTTAGATTGAGTCTAATCGGACGTCCGATTGACTGTAATCTAAATCGGACGTCCCGATAAGTTCAATCTATCGGACGTCGATTTAGATTGAATCTAAATCGGACGGAAATCTAAATCGGACACATATACAATTATATACAATTATATACAATATTATATACAATATCGACTTTTAATGAGCATCTATAAACCTTATCGATACTTATCGATATCGAAAGTATCGACGATCGATAAGTATAGCTTTTTAAGGCACTCATCTATGAGAATTTGCTATGTGTGAGATAGCAATCGAAAGCTAACATTTTTAGCTTTCCAATGAAACCATTTGCAGATTGATAGCTGTTCCAGAAGCCGGGCTCTGAACAGTCAAACATGAGCATGCCGTTTGTATCGATAAGCAAGTCTACTTCCAACGAGACTTCGATCAGAATTCATCTTTAATTAGCCTAGTTTAGCCTAGTATTAAGTCATCGAACTGGATCCAAACCACTTTTACAAACATAATAAGGAACTGGTTGGAGCTTGTGGTTCACTGATCTAGTGGTTCACCGATCTAGTGGTTAGTCCAATGGTTTGTCAGCCAAAGGGTCAGGGTTCAATTTCTTTAGAAGTTTTCTATTTTATAGATCTTCAAAAAGAAGTTTTTGTTGTTGTTTTTATTAGAAAATTGTTTGGTTTTATGACATATTTAATTACAAAATTGTACTTTACTACAAATTGTTGAACTTTGTCGATCTAGGATGTCGATCTACGATCTACGATGATCGTTCTACGATCTACGATGATCGTTCTACTTGATCTCACCTCAACATCAATACGTTTCACCTACAAGGGATTTTCTTCTATGAAAGTGAACAAAAAAAGAAATAGAAAAGAGAAAATCTCGACTTTATTCAAATTTCACTCTCGATAGCCTATTGTGCAAAATGATGAATGGCCGATTGAACTAAAAGGAGCTTTGGGTTTCTCTTTTTTCACTCAACAAAAAAGGTAACTCGTTCTTTTCAATACATACTGGTTTTGGTGTAAGTGAAAGGGATTGCCGATGGCAAGCTCAATCAAACAACAAAAAGGAGAATACGAAAAGGACACACCAAACTATTATAATCGAAAAATTTTGTTGTATAAAAGGGAAACGAGAAATGCTGAGACAGACACTTTTTCAAAGAATTCTCGATTACTTGCTAAAGCTAAAGCAATAAGATGGTTTGTTTTCTTTTCTTATTCACTTTTTCTATCAATACAGTAAGGATAAAGTCTTCAATAGTAAAACCAAACCTTTTAAATTTTCAATTAAAGATAGGTATTGAGTCTTATGAATAAACTAGCCTTTACAATACTCTAAGAAACTCTAAGACTTTCCTCTAAGTGGTCTAAGTGGTCTAAGTAGTCTAAGTAGTCTAAGTTGCTGACTCTTAGTACTCTAAGAAAGCTACAGTAACCCTGTGGACAGCAACAATAAAACTAAGAATAACTGTGAGCAATGGCGCACAATTACATACTTGTTTTTAGTTAAAATTTGGGAATTAACTCAAGAATGAACATTTCAAGTATTTCCCTAAAAACTATTTCATTCCAGAACTCTCACTTGTTCGAATTGCTCGTTTTGATGGTTCTCATTCAAATTTCGCTGGCTTGTCTTGGCGGATTGGGTGGTGGATGTGGATGTCCGATGGGACCCGGATTGGGTGGATTTGGAGGGTCAGTTTGGATTCTTCTTCAAGCCTTCTCCTTCAAGCCTTCTCCTTCAAGCCTTCTCCTTCAAGCCTTCTCCTTCAAGCCTTCTTCTTCAAGCCTTCTTCTTGATGCCTTCTTCTTCATGCTCACTCACCTTTCACTTTTTCTAATAAATTACTAAGGTAATTAAGGTGTACGTGTCATTTTCTTCTAGAAGTTCCGCTCCACTTTACTTTTCGTTTACTTGCTGATTTGTGCGCGTGATGTGTTTAAGCGTTAGATAGATTTACGCGATTATGGGAGAGCTTTTAATAACTTGTGGAAGGTTTTTAATCTATCTAATGCTTAAGCATATCACGAGCACAAATCAGCAAGTAAACGAAAAAAGTCGAGCGAAACCTCTAGAAAAAAGCTACCTTAGTTTTTTGAGAAAAAGTGAATGGTAAGTGAGCATGGATTTTACTAGTTGCTGGATTTGAAGATGATAAAAATACATTGAACGAGATTGGACGCTTGACCTGCTGACTAAGATACAGGGCTTGTCGGCCATGTCGGTCAGTCGGCCAGTCGGTCAGTAGCCAGTAGCCAGTGGCCAGTGGCCAGTAGCCATGATGGCTATGGATGAGAGATAAAAATTAAGGCTACAGATAGATTTAGAAGTCTAAAGTGACCAAAGGAATCTTTAGCTCTTGAAAATCGTCATAATTTAAGCATAAAAGTCTGTAAAAGTTGTTTTCTCTTTTTCGAGTTTCTACAAATGGATCTCATTTTACTAGCTGGATTTTACTTATTCAAAATTGAATTTTAGATGCACTTGTGGGAAATGAATGTCTTCAAACTCGAAATGAATTTAATTATCTAAAGGTTTTTGTGATGGGATTTCATTAATTACATGTAAATAAATGATTTTAAAAGTATCGAAAGTAAAAGACTTGTGATATTTGGCCTTTTCTTGAAGCAAACACAATTGGTGCAAACACAACTTCAAGAAAACACCTTTTCTTGAAGCAAACACAAATGGTGAGGTTCAGTAGGACTCTCTAGTTCTTGTAAAGGTCAGTTCTTGTGCACGATAATATACAAAATCATGTAACAAAGTAAACAGCCGTTGGAACAAGTTCAATTGCAAATTGTAAAATTCAATGCTCAGAGATCACAGAAAAAGAAGCACGCTTTTTGTAGAAGATTGGGTAATATGTTTGGGTTAATGTATGGTTAATGAACAATCTTTTAGCATATTTCCTTTTTCAAAGATTCCATTAACGTTTAACCTTGACACTTCTGTCCTCTGTCTTCTGTCTTCTGTCTTCTACATTATGACATTAAAGCAAAAACTGAAATAATGAATAATTCTTTTCACAAAGCTACCATCATCAGATCAAATTCCTTGATCTTCCTTTCATTCCATTCCATTCCATTCCATTCCATTCCATTCCATTCCATTCCATTCCATTCCATTCCATTTCATTCATTCATTTGGATGAAGCTTGCATGAACTGCATGAAAATGAATTGTAAGAGAAATTGTAAAAGAAACGAGTCTAAACAGAAAAGTAAAACCCTTTGCTAAAGTAATATTTGCTAAGTAATATTTAAATCAATTTCTTCATTCATTGTTACTTCTTATTGGATAGAAAAAGCAGATCCAAACTGTGGTTCCACCAATCCGATCGCTTTTTTTTTTTCAAATGCCATTCAACAAAAACCCGTCAACTATTCAAATCTCTTACACGAAGATCTCAAAGATCAGAATTGAACGAAAGAAGAAACGAGTTTCTTTTCTCAATGACAAATCAATTGAGATTCAAATGGATTGAAATCTTTCTCTTCATTCAAATAGATTTGTCTCACCAATCCATCCATTTTATCCTCAAATCACAGCTTGAGAGCAAAGAAAAACTTTTAAGTATGGATCTTTTGGCAAAACTGAATATCTGAGTAAAAAGAGTAACGATGCAAGTTGTTTGCTAGACCTAAGATTTTTGATCATTTCATTTTACTTATTCATCAAATCAATCAATCAACATAAAAAAAGATGATTTCTTAATAGTTTAACCTATTCGGGGTAGGCTAGTTTCCGCAATTTTTTTTTGTGCAACAGGGTCATTTGCGCAACTGGGTCGTTTGTGCAACTCGTCATAACTTTCTTCTCAGTGGACCAATCTTTATGATTTTGGTGTCATTTTGTAGATCTCAATAAGTGTAACAAAATGACACCAAAATCATAAAGATTGGCCCACTTAGAGGAAGTTATGGCGAGTTGCGCAAAAGAGCTAGTTGCGCAAAAAAAAATTGCGGAAACTAGCCTACCCCACCCATTCGAAACCGCAGTGTTTTTCCTTTTTTTTTTCATCTAAGCGTGTCAACACGATGTGCAATCGATGTGAGAAACCCATTTGCGTCAATTTTTATACTAAAAAAACATAAAACCTGTTGATTTTCTCTTGTTGAAAAATAAAAAAAAAAATTAGTATAAAATAGTTAATCTTGCAACATTCATATAACATTAAATATGACACGTCTTTTTTGTCTTTTTGCCCACGTAATTTGTAGATCTATTACAATTGAAACATACATTTAATGCAATGAATGTAATGAAGTAAAAC